AGAGTATAAGGAAATATTAGAAATATAAATATCTTATTAAATAGAAAAGCTACCTAAACTCTAAAAATACCTAGGAACCTATTAAGAACCTTAAGAACTACTTAGGTCTACTAAAGGATTTTTATTAGCTAAGATAAGGGAACTAAGCTTAGGAAAGTTACTTATACTAAACTAAGACTAGTTAAAATTAGTAAGAACCCTAAGTACTTATAGGTTATATATAACCTAATATTTATAAGAATTTAAGGTAAGAAGAATATTATCTTTTTTATCTAACTCTTATATACTTTACTTAAATAATTTATAACTCTTATTTTTAATTTAATAATAAATTTAATAGATCTTTACTAGATAGTTAACTACCTATAATAGTTATATCTAAAGCTTAATTAAATACTCTTTTACCTTTTTTTTGTTAGTATCTAGTTTCTTTTATTAAGTTATTAAATAATTTACTAAGGAATATTAGTAAGGAATTAGAAAAAGTAATATAAAAGACCTATAAGAGGATACTACTAAAACCCTATTATATAAGTAAATATAATAAATATAATATTTATATTATAACTTACTATTAATAAAATAGTACTCCTTTTTATTCTTAAAATAATATATATATAATATCTTTATATTATAACTATTTAAAATAATAAAAGCCCTTAAGGTATCTTACTTATTTAACTTTTAAGAGTAAGGCTTATCTATATAACTAGATATAATATTAGTATATAATAATATAGGAGGAAAGTTATTATATATAAGAAGGAATATAACCTAAAGGGGAAAAGTAGTCTTAAGGATAAGACTAATAAAAGAGGAGTATTATATTATAAATAAAGTAATATAAGGTAACTAGGGAAGTAACCTAAACTAAAGGCTAAGTAAGAACCTACGCTTTACCTAATTAGGATAGATAGTTATATAGCTATATAGGATTATAGGCGTACTATAATTTAGTAAACTATAAGGGATATAGACTTAGTATAAGCTAGTAATCTAAGGCCTATAGTAAAGAGATAGATAGGTACTTAAGGAGGAGGTATTCTTATAGCTAGGTAGTCTAGATCTTTATTAATTAATCTAAGTAATACTAAGTAATTAGTTTTAAGAGTTCTACTCTTAATAAGACCTTACGTAAAGATACTACTTATTACTACCTTATAGTATTTTAACCTAACTTACTACCTAAGAAATAGATAACTATAGATTAGGAATAAGCTATCGTTATAACTAGTAAGGAAGAGGATTTTAATTAGTTATAAATATTTTTTTTTAGTATTAGTAAATTATTAATAGTTAAAGGGTAATAGGTTAGTAGAGGTGTGTTACTTACTTATCTATGCTGCTTACTTATTAACTACGTTAGTAGCTTTTATAGCTATTAATAATAAGAAGTCTTTACTTAAAGGGTCTTATTAGCTTTATCTTAAAGATAAAGATTATCTTAAGCTAGTAAATAGTAATAAAATTATTTATCTAGCTTCTTATAATAGCCTAAAAATACTAGTTTTAGAAGGGTTTTAATTTATTAGGAAACTATTATTATTAAATATTCTTTTTATTAAAAAGTACTAGTAAATTTAGCTTTTTCCTTATAACTAAGATATACTTAAAAATTATACTCTAATAATACTAGCTAGACTATCTCTTTAAGGTAATTTACTTTTATAATAATTCTAGTACTAGGCTATTCTCTTAAAGCCTTATTATAAGTTTTATTTTATTTATATTATATTAGTTATAAAGAGAGATATTATTAATTTATTTAATAATAAGAAGCTTAAAGAAACTCTAGATAATATAAGTTAAAGCTTTATTTAAATATTTAAAATTAAGGTACTTACCTTTAAGGGTCTTAATCTCTAGGTTATATTTTAAAAAGCCTTATAACTAGTTCTTTCTAATACTATAATTATTACTATTATATTAGTAAAGACTTAATATAATCTTCTAGACTTACTTATAAATAAGGAGATTACTAAGATAATCTTAAATTAAGATCTAAGAGACTAGATATAATTCTTATATTATTAGAAGCTATTATATTAACTTAAATATCTCTTTTTATAGTACTTTATTATTTATTTAATACTAAATTATTACCTATAAGATTAACTAGTAAGCTACTACCTTTTATATACTTATATTACTAATTATACCTTATATAGTATTTTAAAGGTCTTATTCTATATATTAACTTATAATAATATAGTGGTAAAAAAAAATAATAATAGGATTTATTTTACGTAAGAAAACACGCTACTAGTAATGAAGGTTTGTCGGTGTTAAGGGCAAGGTTAGGTGGCCTAAATGTGGGTGTGGCCCACAAGTGGGTAGTCGACGTTATGCGAAACCACGCACCACAGCTACCTACATGCCTAACAACGTATGACCTCCTTTTAGGGGGTTCTACTGGCTAGGTGCTTCGTATCGCTGACGGTATAGCTCTAAAATATTGTGTTTATGAGCGATTTACCAATTTCTAGACGGAAAATAAGAGTTATGATATATTCTAACAGAAGAATCCTCCACCTAGCATTATACAAAGCTTTCTCTGACTACATGGTATTAGTTTTATGCCACTTATAGCCGGTAGTCTAGAGCAGCGTATCTATTCTAATCAGATTCGCGACTTTTAGAAATCGCACTATATCTAAGTGATGCGTATAGAGCCGACCGCCCTCATTAAGCAATAGGCTACAGAGCTCGCCGGAGCGATCGCATGGCTCGAGTTTCTAGGCGTCGTACACGGTGACTTGCGACTGGCTGATATCCTCCTCGACCGGCACGACCACATTAAACTCGCCGATTTCGACAGCGTCGCCAAAATAGGTTCAAGAAATCCCGGAACCACTGCCCTATGGGTATGACTACGTGACTATGAAGGCAGTTAAGGCTCCTGCTCTTTTAGATTCTACGACGCCTGGAGCGAGTAGTTTGCTTTTGCCTCTATTTTACATTTTCTGACGACGGGTATTGAGCTCTATAAGGACATAGGACCCGAGGCCCTTAACCTCTTAAAGAACCTGGAGTTTCCTGAGCTAGGGGACTCGCCGCTAGATAGGCTTACTATAACGTGTTAGATGGGGGGCTTTGCATTACTAGCCGACTTGGCCATGGCGATGGACGGGCTGGACGGAGCGTAAGGTGTAAAGTGCGCAACGAGGTTTAATGATGAGTATGTGAACAAGATGAAGGCTCAGTGTCAGGAGCTGCTGGAGGGGAAGCTTGCTGGGATTCAGTTCGACGTTGCTGGTGCCGAAGCAGTCCAGAGCTAGGCAATCAATGATTACAGCAACGCCATGTTCTTCTCGCGCACGAACAAGGGTAGTCAGCTGTACTGTAATCGGATCGACTTCATTTACGCGAGTCATCCATCTATCCCTCCAAGGAGCAGATCAAGCCATGCCTCGTTAAATTCTCGAGGCGACTGAGCTCACAGTGCGTATTGCACCTGGAGATCTCGCAGCGCAGCCTTTTAGGGCCTGCACAGCTGCTCAGAAAGCGACCAGGTACGCGTCTAATAGCCCGCAAGTGAAGCTCGTAATAACCGAGTGCATCGGATCCCTCACCACCAGGAGCATCGAAGCATACCGCAGGCCGCAAAAGACCCGTATTATCGATATGTCGCACAGGGTTGAGAGTATTTTCGGCTTCGTCGAACCATACCGGCATCCATACCGTGTACGCGGATACTTTTCCATCTCCGACCCCAAGGAGATGAGAGCGCGTCTGGTCAATGACTCCACCAGAATCCTTTCCTAACTCCCTTGGGCGTCCATGGAGAATGACGATAACTTATAAGGAATCTTTTGAGGCAAGTTTTTTAAAGCCCCATATAAACATTGTGCATGGGTCTGTCTCCCTTTAGAAAACCCCCCTTTTTACTCCGCAGAAGGCCTCACAGTCTCGTTGCAGCAGGCCGTGTCTGAATGAGTAAAAAGCCTTTCGTAATGCGACCAAGCCTTGTTGACGCTTATTTAAGGCGTTTTTTGAAAAGCTGATAGCATGCAACGAGGAACGCAGGTCGTGCGTGGATGCATTTTGCGTTCCACTTGTCCCTGGCAGGCTCTCAAGTTCTTTTTTTTTTCTGCTTTTTTGAAGCGACAGCTTACGGACAGCTCTTGCGTGTTGAGCAGACGTCGTGTGAGATGGCATCAAAATGCCAAACGCATGTGTTCCTCCAACTTACACCTCCTAGATGTTAGTACGATTGAACAGGCCTCTCTCTGTTGTGGCATTGAAGGGCTCTACTGACGGCACTACAGTATAGCGGTCTTCCGGAAACGTGTGTCTCGTGCCCGTAGTCAAAAGGACAGACTTTCGAATCAGGAACCTAGAAAATTACCCAAACCTTCAATGCATCATACACGGTGGCTTATAACCACACTGCTTGTCGCCACGTATTTTTTTCAGCCGCTCTGCCCTTCTCAACGCCCCTCGCCCATCTGGCTCTGTGGCTGTAAGCCTTCAGCCGGCCGTATTCAGCCAGCGCCGCATCACATAGCAGTGCACGGCGTGTGCTTCGACCAAGGCGCCGCTGACTTTCCCCTTGCCTCGTGCTACAGCAGCTTTAATCAGTCACATGGCAGCTTATTCTAGAAAGTGGCTAAGCTCTTTCGAACTTTGCGGCTGAGCCTTGTTCCTACACCCAGTCGTCATACACACACACTTTTCCACATTGGTCTCAGCTGCCAAGTAAAACCGAAGCCGCATCTTGGCACCATATACTAGCCATAAACGCAGGGTCTTGGGCAAGTCAAAATGATGACAGGTGTTCTTCTCCTGTAGATTTTTCTTTTTCTATTGCTATAACAAGGACGCTCAAAAATTTTCACACACTGTCTTTTTTATTTTTGCCCACCCTGACCAACACAATGACAGTCAATGACGATGAACGCTTTTGGGATCGCGCTGCCGAAAAATACTCAACGAGCAAAGTGGGTGATCAAGCAGGCTACGAACGAACACTAGAAAAGACGAGGGGCTTTCTCAAGGACAGCGATTCTGTGCTGGAACTGGGTTGTGGTACTGGCTCAACTGCACTTGTTCTTGCGCCATGCGTTCGCCGATATCTTGCCACGGACCTGTCGCCAAACATGATCGACATTGCACGGAGAAAACTAGCCATGGAACCTTCGCTCACTGGCCTCGAGTTTTGCGCAACAACAGCCGATGCCCTGTCGAGCAAGGCGTCCAGGTATGATGCAGTCCTCGGCTTCAACTACCTGCACCTTGTGCGAGACCCCTCCACCACTTTGCAAAGCATTCACACACTGCTGAATGCTAGAGGTCTGTTTATCAGCAAGACGCCGTGTCTCGGAGAGATGAATCCGCTTCTACGATGGGTGGCTCTCCCGGTCATGAATACATTCGGTTGGGCACCGTATGCGGGCAGTTTCACCGCCGCTAGTCTCAAGAGTAGCATTGCGGCCGCTGGGTTTGAGATTGTCGTCGATGAGATACACGGCTCCAAGGGCAATGATAAGCGTCCGTATATTGTCGCGCGCAAATTGTAGCCTGCTTGATGGTGAGGAGAAAGACGATGCCTTTACTCCTGGCTGACAACTCTTGGTCTTGACGTACGTCATATCACAGAAATGATTGGCTAGACAGATGTGCTACAATAAAGACCGATTGATCTTTGCTGTCCTCATATTGAAGGGCCAGATATATTACCATGTCTGCCTATGGCGACCACAATATTGACTATTCTTACCCGAGCCCGGATACCTAGCGCGTCGACGGGCGGCATCATTCATAGCACATCTGCAGCACGACTAGTCAAGGCCATGAAGGACGGCAATACTCAGCAGAGCAAACCTGACTGAGATCGAATCTTGTCATAGACAAATAGTAGCGGCATATGTGTTACATCTCAGAGAGAGAAAGCATGTAATTTCTCGCTATCAAGGCTAGTAGAGGGATAAGCTACATCTCTAGACAACAATCAGGTAGCAGGTTTGCCCAAAAGTCTGCTCTACTTGCCCACTTAACAACCAGGGGGACAAATTTCGCAGCCGTCCGGGCCAAAGTAAGGTTTCCCGCAATCCAACCGTCTAAGACAGACCTATGTCAAGAAGGTGGTTAGTATCTCCTGAATGTGGTCGTATGAACGTCGAGTTCGGGTGGGCAGGAATTTTCATACCACTACCGGGCAGGGACCCTTAGGCTTGGGCGGACCGTAATTCTCGTTGTGGGAGCCAATGCAGGTCGTTCCTTGAGGTCCTTCAACTGCAATCCCCTCATCACATCCGTCGCCCTCATCATCAGGGAAAACAATATTCTGCGGCATAGCGGCAGTGATGCCGACTAGGAGAGAGGCAAGAATGACCCGAAGCTGCATGTTTATAAACGACTCAGATGTTATTGTCGGTAAGAAGAAAGAGTTATGAGTAGTTGGAGTGTGTTGAGTTTGAGCGTTTTGTGCAGTGCTCGAGTTCTTTATAGACTTCATAAACCGGGCGAGCTATAACCATTCATCTTCTATTCTACTATAATAGTGTTTCACTATTATCCTCCTCATCCTTCATCAAACACTAGCCCTATAGCCTCTATTAGTATTCTCTACTGACTCGAATACGGCATCGTTTCACGAATGCGGGCACCTACTTAGAAGCATATAACCATGTCTAATTTACAGGTTTCGTCCGCCATAGCTTACTAATTGAGCTGCTCGTGTGCTATGGCCGAGGCCTCGATTGCGTAATATATTCGCCGCGTTAGCATTATAATGATCTTTCACCTCCACTTATCAAGGGCTATACCGACGCGTCGACCGTGGGGCTGGTTTGAAGTTGACTCGTGACTTTGACAGGAGAGTGTGGCCCGCGAGCCGCGAGCCGCGGGAAGCCTATGACTAGTGCACACCGGGCCACCAGTAACACTAATCAAGGCTCTGTCTTTCAAGGTACGAAGTACGAGTGCTACATGTGCGGGATAGAATCTCCGGATAGATACGTCAATTGAAAGGATGACATACTTATAGCGCAAAGAGTTACAGACGAATAGGCACCTAATACACTTACTACAGCCAGTCTCTTGCCTCCTTTACGGTGTAAAATTCTCTATATATGCCTAGTCTCGTGTAGCAGAGTGCTCGGTTAGCGGCTAGTAAACCGTGATCAATGCTGGAAAAGAGCGCTTAGTCAAAGGATGCAAATTGAATATGCTCGCCAGGGTTAGTCAGTTTTCGTAGTTCCATAGCTAGGAACGCTCAGCCTTTTAGCTAGTGTTTCTAGGTAGTGGGAGACGAGACCCCTATTGCGTATAATGATTTGAAATACGAGGGCCTCATTACGTGCCTCTGTCTTTTTTTTACTAATTACTAGCATTATGCTGTCAACGCACCTTGACACCAAACAATTATTGATCCTGTCATACATATACAATTTCTTCAAAACCAATAAACCAAGACCATTTCCGCACCTCCAAAGACACGCTTTGTGTAGTCTATGAGGACACTTGCAGGCTCCTCATAGGTGACGGCGCCGCTGACACTGGCTGGAAGGCCTGTATGATTATGCACTAGCAGCCTCAAAAAAGTGGTTGGTTTCCTCCCCCTGCCTGTCTGGTAACCACCCTGGTAACGGTGTGTGGCGGATCAAAGAGAGCGAGAGCGACGGAATCACACGGCGAGGCACGAGCTAAAGCAAAGACCTGATGAATGTGTGTATGTATGAGAGAAAGAGAAGAGAGGCTATCTAGAAGGTGTGGCGGCTGATGAGGGTCCTGGCTGAGTCAGCGAGCCGAGGCGTGCCTGCCAACACGGTGCCCGCAATATTGCAGAGAGCTATTGCAGCGCTCGGACTGACTCGACTTCGGCATGTTGGGTAAGCGCGCCAATGACGAAGAGCATCTCGTTAAGCAACAGTCGAGATGGCCTGTTAATAGCGCCCATCGTCAACATCTGGCTGAAAGTACGGCTCAGCCGCTCTGCCCATGCGTTTGAGGTCCGCTCTTGTCCTAGCTGGCCTTGTTGTCAGCCTGTACTTTCGAGTGCACATCGGGCGATGATTGCATTGATGACTATACATACATATCAATTACATTCTTGCGTCAATCTTTGGCCCTCCGCAGTAATAGCTTCCTCAAACGCAGCAATCATCCCTTCGTAAAGCGTGCCCACACCGACCGGCGTGCCATCAGTACCCGTCCACGCTGTCCCGTCTCGTGAAGGAAATAGAAGTTGGTGCAATTTTTCGACCAATGGCTTTAGAGAACAGAATTGGCTACCGAATTCGCTCAAGAGTTCTTGAAACTTTTCGTCAGTCATGTCGAGAGTCTTGCGTGCAGCTAACGAATCCCAATCGCCATTGCTCCAATGTCGAAGCCTGCTTCCCTCTGGCGGAGACTCTGTATCGTCCGTTATTATCATCCATATGAGGACATAGAAAAAAGATTCTAGGTCATGTCGACAAGTATGGGGTTCGTTCCTCAGGACACCAATGGCCATGAATGGCCTGGTGCCAGTAATTCCGAGCTCTGCTTCCGATGTCTCGTCAAGGTTGATAGCGGAATCGAGGTCAATTAATAACCCCTTTGGCTGTTCTTTATCCTGGTGATCTAAGATGATGATATTGCCCGGCGAGATATCGCGATGAAGAAGTCCGGCATCGTAGTAGAGCGATCGATGACACATGATAGCATCCCGAAGTACTTGTAGCAGCTCGACCTGTGACTGGAAGCTGCAAAGGGGTCTGCCCAGGGGAGAAGTAATCGTGCAGATCAAGATGCGGTTTTGAAAGAAGTTGGTAGTTTCTTTCGTGTATTGAAGGAATCCATTGATACTGGAAGTCGTTTCCCGGAGGTTTTCTTCATTCTTGTTTTGTTTGTCGCCAACCGATGGGGTGAGAAACTTTCGCTGAGTTCCCCATCGAAGACATCTCCGCAGATTCGCGGTAGTCTCAAGCTCCTTGCAGTACTTTACTGAGACAGCACCCCAGACATGTTTTTCCTTCGCTAGATTTAGAAGCTCGTTCTCCGGACGGTCCCGGGCCCACTGCCACTTGAGCTTCAAGGCGTAATTCCAGTCGTGGGAGTCTGTTTTTTTGGCCCGGTAGCAGGTCGTGCCTGTACCAACAAGGCTTTGTCGGGCTGCAATTGGATGGCCCTCGACATGAAGTTTTCCAGACAAGCCATCCACCATACCATCAAGACGAAAGAAATTGCCGTCATCGCCAGTCTCAAAAATGTTGCTTTTCCCGAGGTCCTGGTCGGTCATATGCTGGTAGCTGAGAGCAATCGGGAGAAACTCGGCGAAGTCGTTCTGAAGGTCGAATGCTTTGCTACAAAATATGCCAGATCGATCAAAGACCCAAAGCTCTACCCGTGAGCCACGCATGTATAAGCCATGCAAGAACAGTCGTGTAGGCTGGCTGATAAAAACTTCATGCGCAGATCGGGACAGTTGTATCAGTCCATCTTGGTAAGGCAAACAATCATTGGGGTGGAACTGACCAATAACCTGGACACAATCCCATTCCATCTGCACGCATGAAGGTGATGAAGACGGCATGACTAAGAAAAACCCCGCTCTGTTCTGCTCGGCTGCTTTGTTGTTGCTAATTATGTGCCATGAACCTCGAGCGTTATCCAGCTCGCACGTTGCGAGCTCGGAGAACCAGGACAGGAAACTGTCGGGTAGCGGTGCTGCTGATGGGACAGTATAGCGACCACAAATTCTCCCATCCTTCCCAAGTTCCAAAATTGACCCCTTGTATGTATGCTGAAAGCTGCCAAAGTATTTGCCGGTGAACCCATTCATTGGGCCATGCATGCGGCCGTCAATGTTCTGAAGAATGTCTTCATCGTCCATCGCAAGACTCAGAGGGGAGGTAGAATGATTCGCCGACGACTGATGATCCACGGGCAATGTGGTGGGTCATTTCTTGTATGGGTGCGAAGCCCATGAATGATACTGGCATATCCTGTCGGAGTCGAAAGTATTTAAAAATGTGATTGCGAACAACGTTGATGGAGAAGGCAGAGGAGCCACGCGCAGGTGAAAATGACTGGCTGTGTTTTAGAGAGCTAGGACGCTGCTACTTGCGCACAAGACAAGACAATCTCACGTGGTACGAACGGCTAGGCATTAATGGATCCATAAGGGCAGGAAGGTCGCGAGAGATCCGTCGGCATGAATAACGTTTGTTTTGCAATTTTCGTCACTTGCTTCTGAATGATAGCTGGAGCGTTTCCGCTTGGGTCATCTGGGCATCGAAAAGTGAGCCAGCAGCGGATTGGAAGAAAGGCGCCTGCTAGCCCTCGGAGAATTTGGCGTTTGATTGGGCAACCCGATCACCCCGAGATCGCATTCCGTGTTTGCTCGCTGGGGGATAAATAGCTGAGGTGACGCTCACGGTGACGGTAGCGTTTAGCAGTGGTGGCGGGTTGGGAAGAGCCACAGCCAGTTCGAGGAGACTTGATCGCCAGTGCCTCCTCACCAAAGCCGCCGACGAGGATGCCATCGTCAGTGTAGGATGCCGGCGACGGGACCTGATGTTTTACTGAACGTCTTGTATCAGGGCAGATGCCAAGGCATTCTTTTCCCTAAGCGCACATGATGGGGCAAGAGTCGGCCGAGCGTGCCCCTCTCTGGAGGCGCTGGCGAGCTAGAGCTTACGAAGACAGTTTACCGCCTCTTCACGACACACTCATCCGCGCCGGCAATTCATTCCCTGGCCAATTGCCACCTTTTCGAAATCTCAAAGGCACCGCCTACCGAAATCGACCGAGAGCAACGTCCACTACCTAGTCTGCCGTGCCGTGCCCGCTTCGACTCGCCCGCTTCCGATCGACGGCCGCTCTTACCCCGGGCGCGAAGAAACGAACAGCAACGCGATAGTACAAAACTAGCCAATTAGCAGACCGACCTCTCTCGCTTTGCACACGCCATGTCTGGGCTCGAGGCCGCCGACATTGCTGCGGCGTACGATGCCGTGCGCAGCGACAAGGAGCCGACCAACTGGCTGCTCATCTCCTACGCCGGGCCGACCGGCAGCAAGCTGGCCCTCACGCGCACCGGAACGGGCGGTCTCTCCGAGATGGCGGCGTCACTGGACACGGGCGAGGTGCAGTACGGCTATGTGCGTATCGAGTACGCCAACGACGCAGAGAGCACGCGGGTCAAGTTTGTTCTGGTGATTTGGATCGGCGAGGGGACAAAGGTGATGCGCAAGGCAAGAGTGAGCGTCGAGAGCGGCGACGTGAAGCGCGTGCTGAGCCACCACAGCATCGCGGTAACGGCGAGTGATGTGGCGGAGCTGGAGGAGGGAGATATCGTGACGAGGTTGCGCAAAGCGGGTGGTGCAGATTACAATGGCGGAAGGGGATAGAAGAGGCGGGCACGACGGGACTGGACGGATGCGGGAATTCTCTGGCAGTTCGGATAGACCTGTTTGCGGCTGCTGGATATGGACTCGGGTGGTGGCATGGCGGTGATGAATGTGGCACGGTTGTCAATCTACGACATCGTAAATAGAGCTGTAATGGGGATTTTGAAGTAGTTATAGAGTTTTGGAGACATGGAATAATACAATTGATGAAGGACGCGACGTGCATGCATTCCTGCAGGTACAGGCATGTGATGTGTACCCTGGAGATACAGTTGATGGAGGACGCGACGAGCTGGCGGACGCCAACGCGATGGGCGTCGCTTGTATCCATCAATATGTAACGTATACGAGCCTTGTTCCCACGGCGGCGTGGACGTGCATGTATTCAATCAATCAAGGCTACTTCGTCTGTTCGTAGGGTCTGGTAGCTGGATGGCTTTGCCTCGTGGCTTTGGTAGCGTTGTCCACACGAAGGGCTCGTAAGGGTATTATTACGAGTACCTAGTGCCAGCCGCAGCCCTACTAGTTGAGACAGGAGGGACTTGGCTTTGGGGATCAACAGGAGCTAGCCAGATATGAAGAAACACCATACCAGTAGTTTCTTCAGCCTCAGCTGTCCCAGCTGTGAGCCTGCGACAACTGCCACACAAAGCTTCATGTCTCGTACCGGCATGCCAATAGTAGGATACCGACATTTCGTTCTCCATTCTGCCGTGACAAACCGCAGGCCCAGTCCGTTGCAGACGTTGCACCGTGTACTCCACTAGTCGTATCTTTTTGCGGCATATAATTCACTCTGGTGAGCACTGAGCACTGAGGAGACTGGTTCGTTAAATTACGGCTGTAGAAACGGTCCACTGGGGGCCAACCCACAAAGGGGGCAGTGGACAGTGTATTATTCAGTTGGTGCTTTAAAATTAAAATCAAAGCTAGTAGGCAATAAAGGAAAAGCCTCTTTTGAATTCGGTCAAGACCTTGTGTGGACTGAAAGCGGGTGTTTGGGCGAATGGCAAAGATGGTAGAAGCGGGCTGGCCGGAATGTGCTCGGCGCGATAAGAGAAGAATAAATAATCTGGTAAAAACGGTACTCCGTACAGGAGTCTGCGACCAACCAGACGGGCAGGTTGCAGGTGGGGCGGGGCGGTCCCCGTTGAATGCGTGGCTAGTCAGGAAACCGTACTTGGCCGCTTTGGGGACCGTCCGAGACGGCGGCGCTTCTTGGTTGGTGGAACTGGAGGGTTAAACCATGTTTGTCCTTCTGTTTTCATCTCCTTTTTTTTTTCTTTTAGGTACGGTACTCTGTAAAGCCCCCTGCAAGTTGTAGTGCAGCGCGGCTGGTGGCTTGTCCGCTAGTGAACGCCAGCGCTCTTTGATGGCTTGATTGCATGAATGGTGGTGGTGTGTCGCGGGTTCGTGGGCGAAGAAAAATATGCATGTGCGGAAAAGGAGCGTCTAAAAGGCCCGATGTTGTTGTTCTTCTTGTGATTGCTCTTTTGTCAAAGTCCAACTCGGTCTTTGGCAGTTGACATTTGGCTGACATGCTGTCACAGCCTGACAGTGAACAGACTCAACTTTAACCCCTCTCCCCATCATAACCACGCGGTTATATCGCGCCAAGTCTCTCCACTGGCCCCGTCCAAGTCAGATGGAATTGATTCTATTGAATCTCTTGCACAGTTTCGCGGCATGTTGGCCCCCGAGTGACGTAGGTCAAGCCTCCACTTCCTGTGGGCGAAGCCTCATCAGTGACCGGGCTCCCCATGGGAGGGGGACCCATCCGCTAAAAGTCCTGTGTACCAGTAGGTATTACGGACCCTCGCCCCTCCCCTCCCCTCAACCCTTGCAGTGACTTGCAAGAACCTTAGCAGAACCTGTGGCTAGTCAGCGTTGGCAATGTTGCATGGTTGCAGACGCCTGTTTGTTGGATCGGCAGCAGCCATGTCACCTTCAGACAATGGGCCATGGACCATGCAAGTGAAACCACCAAAGACATGTGGCTTTTATTAGAAAAACATGCAGAATTTTTCCCTCTTCATTTTAAACATCTATGCCCTTCCTGGTCGTTCACCAACAAACATAGGTGAGGATAATTGGTCATTAAATGCGCCCGCAGAATTTAGTTACAACGTACCACATGCACCAAGCCCTGTGCACTCCACTGTCGCCCGCCATCGAAAATCTTCTTTTTAGCCTTGCTGCTTTTTCGCCTCGCTGCCCTTGTCAATAACCAGGAACTCTTGTACTGTACTCTGTACCGCCCATTCCATTTTATTGTCAGCCTTTCTACTCTTCTTCCGTGTCTCGTCTTATATTCGGCTCCTCCCCCGCGCCCAGCCACGTTGCACGCCTTCACAACACCTTCTATACTACTTCTCCCCGGTCGCCCTGACACAGCGACAACACCAACACGTTGCCGCGGCTGACATCTAGCACAAACGCTTTTATTTATAGCCATTCTATCTCATCTCCATTTTACTGTGCATAGATACTTGAGACCCGCCTCTTGTACATCTTGGCTTCTTGTGGCGCACATCCTACGCCCCCCTCCGGTCGTCTGCCTCCTCTAGGCATAGCCTCACGTGCGCACCCTCGTCGAATTTCGACTCTTCCAACTCCCAACAGCCGCCAACCTCGACGAGTCATCTCCCCCTCTCTCTGTCACATACACACATCACCATCTACCTCGTTCTCCCTGCCCTCCACCATGGCGGACGGTTTCGACTCCAACGGTTCCGCCAAGATGGACGCAAAGACCGATTACGCTGCCCCGCGCATGTCGACCGAAGACAATGCCGACCACTTTCTCGAGTCCCTAGGCTACAAGCCCGAGCTGTCGCGCAACCGCTCTACCGCACAGGTCGCCTTCATGTCCTTTGTCCTCGCCTCGATTCCCTACGGTCTGGCCACTACTCTCATCTATCCCGTCATTGGCGGCGGCTCCGTCGTCGTCATCTGGGGCTGGGTCCTCGTCTCTCTCATCATTGTCTGCGTTGCTGCCTCTCTGGGTGAAATCACTAGCGTCTATCCAACTGCTGGAGGTGAGCTCAATTCGTTTGCCCTGTTTCCGTAGTCGTTGCTAAAGTGTCCAGGTGTCTACTACCAAGCATTCATGCTCGCCCCGGCCAAATGGCGTCGCATCGCCAGTTGGGTCTGCGGCTGGCTCTACGTCGTCGGAAACGTCACTATTACTCTAGCTGTCAACTTTGGTACCGCGCTTTTCTTCATTGGCTGCATCAACGTCTTTGATAAGGGTCTCGACGCCGAAGGCAACCCCATCCCCATGATTGAGGGCACCAGCTGGCAGCAATTTCTTATCTTCCTCGCCATTACCTTTCTCTGCAACCTCGTCTCCTCCCTCGGAAACAAGTGGCTGCCCTGGATCGACGTAAGTTGACAAGCTTCCCCACACCGAACTATCACCGAGCACGGCACCCGGCTCCGTGCTCCGTCCCTCCGTGTACTTGATTCATGCTGACTTGTGTAGACTGCTGCCATCTTTTGGACATTTGCCGGCGTCATTGCCATTACCATTACCGTTCTCGTCATGGCCAAGTCGGGTCGCAACTCCGGCGCCTACGTCTTTGGCCACTTTGAGACTGAGTCGGGCTGGCCCAAGGGCTGGTCCTTTATGGTCGGTCTCTTGCACGCCGGCTACGCTACTTCATCTACCGGCATGATCATCTCGTACGTTTCTTTGGCCGTCAACTCTTTAGACCCTTACCATATTGGGCAATGTGCTAACACGTCACAGCATGTGCGAAGAAGTCCAGGAGCCCGCCACCCAGGTCCCCAAGGCCATGGTAGCCACCATCTTCATCAACACGTTTGCCGGCCTACTCTTCCTCATCCCCCTCATGTTCGTCATGCCCGCCGGCGAAATCGCCGCCATTATCGCTTCCGGTCAGCCCGTCCCCTACATCATCAAGTCGGCTGTCGGCTCTCCCGGCGGCGCCATTGGCCTGCTCATCCCTCTCATGGTACTCGCCCTCATCTGCGGCATCGGCTGCACCACCGCCGCCTCCCGCTGTGTCTGGGCCTTTGCTCGCGACGGCGCCATCCCCGGCTCCAAGTGGTGGATCCAGGTTAACAAGAAGCTCGATGTACCCCTCAATGCAATGATGCTCAGCATGATTGTTCAGATCGTCCTCGGCGTCATCAACTTTGGTTCCGCCGTGGCCTTTAATGCCTTTTCTGGCGTTGGCGTCATTTGTCTGACAGCGTCGTACGCCACTCCAATTGCCATTAACATGCTCACTCGTCGCACCAAAGTCGCCGATGCCCCGTTTCGTCTCGGCAAGTTTGGCTACGTTGCCAACTTTGTCGCCGTCGGTATGTTGTCGTCCCAACTTCCAACCAAGGAAAAATCTGCTAAACAGTCACAGCTTGGTCGCTGCTCGCCCTCCCCCTCTTCTGCATGCCCACCAACTATCCTGTCACCAAGGTGGAAAACGTCAACTTTGCCTCGGTCGTCTTTGCCGCTGCCATGACCATTTCTGCGCTGTGGTACGTTGTCTGGGGCCACCGCAACTACGCCGGTCCTCCTGTTCAGGAGCATCAGCACGTGCAATAAATCTAGGCGTGATTGGGTACTGTGCATGTTTTGATTTTGGTTTAAAGCCCCGGTTCAACGCGGCGTTTTTGCATATCTGTGGATGCGTGACCGATATATACTATACCCAGCAATTTACAACATTCACGAACCTAAACACCCAAATGTTTGGAATAGTAACATCACATCCAAGCCTCAGCCTAATTCATTATACAAGTATTCGTTACACCATGCTATACGTCCCCAATCGGGTCATGTAGCCTCCTTGACCAACTCCCAGCATTTTCGCATTCCTGTACCCATCGACTCCGTGTCCACACTATCCGACCACCTTGCCTCCGTCGTTCTTTCAACGCCCGCATCCTCCGTCCCTTTTATCTTGAACAGATGCACATGCATTGTAAGTCTAATGTGTGAGAATAGCCACGGCACACTCCCCAGCTCCCCCACATGCTCAACCTCGTCCTTGTTGAGCCACCCCTCCACGAATTCTCTCGCCAGCTTCTTGCGCTCAGCCGCCTTGCTACCTTTTGGATTCTCCAGCAAGGAGCTCGGAAATTCCCACAGGCCGGCCAGTAAGCCCTTGGCCGGCCGCTTCCAGATCAGGTACCGGCCGTCGGCGCGGACCACCGCGCACACAAGCGTCTCCTCCTCCCGGACGGCCTTTTTCACCGCCTTGATGGGAAACCGGCGAGCGTGGCGCACAATCCCGTCAATGTCGACTTTTGGTTTCGCGGACGGCTTCGCGGGCACAGCAGACTTGGCAAAGAATGCGGACAGTGTGGCTTGTTTGCCGCCTTTAGTGACCGCGGGTGGTGGTGGCTGGTTCTCAACATCGTCGGTGTCGTCGAATGGTTGGCAAACCCCGCACAGATCCTCCATGTCCGCAATGCCATTCTCGCCCACTCGTGACTTTTCCTTGCTCAGCAGGGCTAGACCCTCGCTGTACGCGCGACACGTCGATGTAATCGGGCACGCGCCGCAGTCTGGCCTCGGCGCGCAGACCGTGCTGCCCAGCTCCATGAGCGCCTGCCCCCAGCGTCCCGGCCGATCGCTTCTCGTATCCGCCGCCGCTACCTCTTCCCCATCCTCCCCGTCGAGCGCCACGGCATTGACGAGCGCCTCGGCCGCAGCCCAAATCAAGTCAATGACCGCTTTATCCGTCTTGATGTTTCCGTAGAGCCCCAGCTGCCGACTCAGCACTCGCAGCACGTTGCCGTCGACCATGGGCGCCGGCCGTCCAAACGCGATGCACGAGATGGCGCCGGCTGTGTACCGCCCCACGCCGGGGATCTTCTCCGCGAGGTCTGCCGCGGAAGAAGGCAAAAGACCTTGCATGGAGGGGTCACCGACGGCGAGCTGGGCGGCTGTGTGGATGCGCGTCGCGCGGCTGTAGTATCCCAGGCCTCGCCACGCCGCGAGCACGTCATCCGTGTCAGCGGCAGCCAAGTCGTGAATCGTAGGCCACTTGGACATCCATCTCTTCCAGTAATCCACCACGACGGCGACGCGCGTCTGCTGCAGCATAATCTCGCTGATCCAGACCTCGTACGCGCGCTTCTCCAGAGCGGCGCGCAGCTCAGACGGAGAGGCAAAGGAGGACGGGTCGATCCAGGGTTTACGCCAGGGCATGGCGCGGGCGGAGCTCACAGAGTCGAACCAGGAGAGAAAGGCGGCGCGAGGGCCGCCGTCGACGAGGAGTAGTAGAGGCACATGGTACGCGAGCGTGTGGCAGCGCGTCGGCGGCAGGCTGGGGGTGGTGAGGTCGGCGGTGGGTTTTTGCTGGTGGAGGAGGAGGAGGGCGCGATAGGCATCGAGCTTGGAAGTTGAGGAGGAAGAGGCTGTTTTGCGACGCTTGGCGGGTCGCGCGAGGGATACGCTCTCAGAGTCGCTGGCTGAGGGCGAGGATGAGGAGGAGGAGGAGGAGCGGGCGCGTGTGCGTGCGCGTGCGGCGGCTCGGCGTGCGGCGGTCCTCGTCTGGCCGCGCATGGTATAAAAGACGACAGAAGAGTGCAAGACTGATTCAATAGTGAGAATGGGCAAGGTGGTGATTGTGTGTAACTATGCTGATGCTGGGGTGAGTAATTCTGAGCCGCTCATAGGCCGTCGTCGGGGGGGGGGGGGGGGCTTGGCCGATCGCGACTTTACGCGTGTGGAGGCGTCCATCGAAGATTTATTATCGCCTTAGCTGTCTTTTCTTTCGCGTCCGAAACCTGATTACATGCGCTGGCCATATTTGAACGCTCATCATCCTCTATAATGATGGCTTCTTCTATATCAACATCTTTATTATTAATATTGATTTTGGTAAAATCTTCTCATCATGCCATCCACGTTGCCACTCATTCACATCAATTCCGTATCGACCTAAAACAGCCTCTCAACTTTTCACACACATTTTAGCCTCCTCTAACCGTCTACTTTACTTTTTTCGCGGCCAGCGATCGACACAGCGCCTTGTGTTCCTTGAAATGTCCCACCTGGCATTCCCGCCCGCAGTACCAAACTGCCTTGCACCGCCCGCACGCCATGAGCCGCGTAGCCGCCTCCTCCCCATCCTCCTCCTCCTCCTTTCCGCATCGCGCGCACCGGTTCCTCCGTCTCTGCGCGTCACCATGGTCGCCGCCGCCGCCGTCGACCGCGGATAGTAAGCGCTCTGCCTTGTCCCTGGCCAGCCGCAGAATGCGCTGCTCGCCGACGCTGACCTGCGCGGCTGCCCAGGCGTTGCCTCCCACGGGGTACACGTCGCCGGCGGCGAGCTGCGCCGTCAAGATGTCGAGTGGGATGCTGAAGCCTTCGAGGATGGCGCTGATGGAGTCGATGAGGAACTGCAAAATCAGAGTCTCGCTGTCGTCGCTGATTTTCTCGTCGGCGCCAGTCGCAATCTGCATAGTCATGGCGCCGAGCAAAGACTCGTCGAGCCGCTGGATGCGTAGATATCGGAGTACGCTGCGAGGAAGCGGATCATTCGCAGTGAGAGGGATCGTGCAGGCCGTATCCAGGCCGGCTAGTTTCCACAACCTCTCTTTCTGCTCGTAGAGCGGCGCCATGGGGCTCGTCTGCAGCACGAGATCGTAGCTGTCGTGGGGATTCTCCGGCAGCACGAAGCCGTAGAGACGCAAGAGTCTGTTGTTGGGAACGGGCCCGTAGTAGATGAAGACTTGGTCGCCGACATTGTAGTCTTTGGAGGCGAGAATAGACAAGTCCCCGGTGGTAGGGTCGTAGGCATGGCACTGCTTCACGTCGGATGAGTGGTTGAGCATGTCTGCAAAGGGCGCCAGAAGCCGCAAAGAGTTTCCCTCGGAGACGGTAAAGTCCATGCCGCGACTCCATACCGTGCAGAGTGCCCATTTATACTAGAAACGACAAGCCATGTTAGGTGCTGCTTTGTAGCTGGCCGGTACATGTTACGTACATGTTCTATGCCGAATTTACTCAATGGGAATAGATTGCGATGGCGCATCAACACGCGCGTCAGCAACTTTTTATAATCGTCCCCGATCCTGCCTCGTAGCTGCGTCGTCAGCGTATACAGCGAGCTTCCCTTGCACACCTGCATCTCCTCGTCGCTGAAGAAGATGCTCATGGTGTACCTGTCCGGCAGCACGTCCACATGGCTCCTCCGACCCGCCTCGTACGCGCCGTCATCGTCCGGCCGCCGCCGCGCGCGCACCAGCAAAATGTGCAGCGCCAGCGTGTCCTCCACCGACAGCGGCGGCTGCAGCGCGCGAAGCACCGGACCCAGCAGGCGATCCGCGTACGCGTGCTCGACCGTCCACAGGCACTGCGCGGGTATGGTGAGGATGCGCTCGCCGGCGGAAAAGGCGCGCTGGGCCTGCACGCCACGGCCGGTGAGGGCAAAGTCGGCGACTTTGAGATGGGGCAGGCCGAGAGCCCCGGAGTCGTTGAGCCAGGCCTCCATGGCGCGGGGGATGAAAAGCCGCGGGCGAAAGCGAATACTGAGAGGTTGGTGATGACTTGAGCAAGAATGGGTGTTGATCTGACGTCTGGCAGCAAGTGAAGATTTTGAGGCGGGGTTTGTAAATAGCTGCAAAGAAAGACGTAGTAGCAGCGCCACCAACCACGACAGCGATCAGGATATACAGCAGCTGACAAGGCGTATGTTGTTCCTTGCGATTTCACACCAACACAATTTTTCCAACAGAAAATACTCTGCTTACTAGAACAAAGTAATTGTGAGGTTGTTTTGAATCATTGTGTGTGGCAACCAACTGGGGTTGTACAGCCTTGTTCAGGCACAGATTACGGCGTAGTACTTGCGCCCGCGTGCTATCGCACTGTGTCTCTGAGCGCGCAAATATACCACGCGAGAAACAGTCGTTTTTACTTGTCTCATCTACACTCACCTACAGGTACAAGTATTTTTTTTTTTTTTTTTTTTTTTTTTGCCTTTGATTCATTCATCTGTAATGCTGTAGTAGCATCGCCCCAAGCGGCCGATTCTGTGGAGCGACCGTTGATCTCACTCAACCCTGGGCGGCTAGCCTAGGCTAGCTAAAACACTGACAGCGATGAAACAAACACTGTGCAGACCAACAAGAGCCAGAAGCATTAATAACACAGGTTTACGGGTGACAGGGTATAAAACAAGGCATCCCACGTAGCCGGGATATCATTACTTGGATCCCCGACCTCTTCATCCGAACAACTATGCCGTTGGTGTTGTACATTAGCTTATGCTTATAATTCTCCGAGTTTCGTTCTTGTGACCCGCGACTGTAGCGTGCGCCGCCCGTCATCACATGTACCAACTACTTGCCAGCAATCAGTCGAGTCGCCCGACCGGAAAAATCGCCCAGTCGGGCACCAACAAGCCCAGCTCACAGCCTGTCTGTCTCCTCTCGCCCAGTCCCTCCCCGGCAGCAGGCCGTTATACCCCATACACAATTATCCGATTTCAGCATCACCCGCATGCCATGACTCCCCGGCCGTACTGCAGGTACAGAATCCCACAGCCGCGCAAAGCACGACATGCGCAAAAGCACGACATGCGTACGGGATGCTTGGCTCGGCAAATATGCACTCCATGCCGTCCCGTCCGTCTCGGGACTCGCCAACTGTCACAGCCTTGCCTGTCAAACCACACACACACATGCCCAACTAGCATCATCTCCGGCACAAAAACATCCTTACACACTCAGCTCAGCAGGGATATACATACACAACGTCCCCTTCCCATTCTGACTAATCCGTACCGACGACGCGTAACCGCCCGAGTTTTTCGTTTCCTTTATACAAGATACCAGGGTATTTGACTACAAACCTACACCACTTGTTCGTAAAAACTTTCCCCCATCACAAGACACATACATAACCCCCGTGTGTCCCGCAGTTTTTCGACTTGTAGCGGCGCCCCCGCTCTCGGCGTCCCAGCCCGCGTCCAGGCAGCAACCCGGCCGATGGGACATGTCGGTCACTCGAACGGGGTGACGTGCTTTTAATTGCTAAATCAGACTTGATTCGTCAATCCCCATTGCTAAATGTGGTTAAATGTTCCGATGATGGGCTAGGGTCTATAGACCGATTCTACCCTTTGTGAAACGGCAGATTGTGGTTCTTTACACGGCTGCCTACCGAGCTCTATCCCCCGTTGCTAGTGGAACAGGCCCAAGCCCAAACTCATCATCGACGACAGACAGACACAAGGCGTAAAAAGGCTATCAAAAAAGGCCAAAGAAGTCCAATCGAATTTTCAAGACTTTCAACTCCAATCTCCCGAATTTGCAACTTTACAGAAACCAACTAGCCCTCCAGGCAGCAAGTCACTGGTCCATCGATACGGGCCCGCCTACACCAACTGATCTGCCTTGCGTCCCTCATCATCCTCCCACCCCTCCCCCCCCTTCCCCCTCTTCTCGTGAATCCCCTAGGGCTAAAACACTGCAAAATTCAATCCGTTCCTTTTTGGCCAAGACAAAAACCCTGGTCACATCTGCAGCAGATTTGAGCGGGCGGGGCTAGGCAGTAAGTGTAAGTGTGAGTCAACGATCCGACCTGACAACTGCGGGCTTGGGCGTGCCAGTGGTATCGTATGCTCCTCGGCCCACGTTGACAGTCACTGAGGTTATGGGTGAGATAGGTATCAATAATTGGTTTTTTCCTGTCATTATGGCTCCGAGAGCCTTGTGTCTATGATATCTGAAATAAAGCTAATAAAACATTTTTGCTCGCCTTTGGCCGTTGTTCTTCTATATCCCGTTCTGTTGTGTCCCAAATATAGTTCATCAGTAGTAAAGTAAAGTAAAGTAATCGCTGTTGCTGTTTGCCCCATATTCTGTCCTCCTTTGATACTCCCACCTCTTTTCTACTCCCAGCGGTAGAGACCGTCATCATAGGCGATGCGGTGACGACGGCTTCCAGGCCCTACCGTCGCGCGACGCTGTGGCACGGTGCGCTCCCGCATACGCTGATTCTGCGCCTCAATCTCCTCCTGCTCTAGCATCGCAGCCTTTTCGTATGCTCTGCGTTGCCTCCAGTTTTTGTCCTCGACATTCAGACGGCTCATGACGCCGCCTAATTCCTCGTGCCCATCTCGACGGCTGCGACGCTCCGTCACAGGCTGCTGCGACTGCGGCTGCGGCTGCTGCTCATCGACGGTACGCACAGCGGGACGGTTGGCAATTTCGTCGTTTGCATGCTTGATGCGGTCGCGGAGCTCATCCGTCTTGCGCGAGCTGCGACGCTCGCCACGCTCATCCCTCCGCCGGCGACGCTCCTCGTCATCCGCAGCAGAAGAGAAGGAGCGACGACTGCCCTGCGAGCTGGCCGATGTCTGGCGCGAGTGTCGCGAGGAGCTGCTGACGGGCGAGGCCGGCTGGACCGCAACGTGATGATGATGATGCAATCCGCGCTGACGCTCGTCCACGAGGTATGGCTGGTTGTAGTGCTGGCGGGGGGAGCTGCTGTAGGGGATGGCGAGGTTGGCAGAGGGCGACGAGGGTGCCGTGCGCGGCATGCTGTTGCTCTGCGGCGGCGTGCGCGGCGTAGGCGGGTGCGGCACCAGCATGACGCGCTCTGGACGACTGCTGCTGCTGTATGCATTGACCATGCGCTGGCCGTTGACGTAGATGCCCGGCTCGCGTCGCCGCGAGGACGATGTGGACGAGTGGCGGGACGAGTGACGAGACGACGAGTGAGGGTCGGCAGAGCCGCGGCTCGAGGGACGAGGAGAGTAGTTGGACGGACGAGGAGAATAGTTGGAGGACGGTCGCGGAGAGTACTCGGGCGTCGGGGGAAACGAGATTGCGGGTGCGGCCGGCGCATGAGGCAGCTGGTCTCGCGATGCCGGCTGCTGCACCACGGTGTGGTCGGCGCAGGGACGGTTGCGGCGCGACGCCGGGCACAGCAAGACCTGCGAGGTGGTCGAGCGGTGTCCGTCCTGGTGGACAGTGACAAAGACTTTGGTGGTGCACATGGTGAATGGCGTTGAGCCCCGCGATGGGGGGGGAGGGAGAAGCAGTAGCTTTGTGGTGGTTGATGGGGGGGGGAGACGGCAAGTGTCTTGCTGAAAAGGCTCTACAATGTAGTAAGTAGAGCAGTAGAGTACAGGTAAAGTAGTCAAGATGTTATGTTGTCGTGAGTATAATGGAAAGGAAAGAATTTGTTGGAGTTGAGGGGGGAAACGAGGTAGTTTATAAGTGCATCGCAGAAGAAGATTGGTGTAAGTCGAAGAGGCAGGGTGTGTGTGTTCATGGGTAGGGGGGGCGTGTGGTGGCGGGCGAAGAGGTACTTGCTGCATGTATATAAGACTGGTGAAAACGCCTTGTACATGGCAGATCAACTTTTGTGTGGAGGCCATTGTGTCCTTGACTGGGGTGGGGGAGCAGCAGCAGCAGCAGCAAAACGGCATTGACAAGAGGCACAACAACGAAAAGAGCGAGTGGGACGAGGCAAAGGCGTCGCCTAGACTTTACTTACCTGGGCTTGTCATCTAGTGTCATCTAGGATGGCATGGCCATGGCCCGCGGGCGGTGGTGGTGCTAGTGGTGCTGGTGGTGCTGGTGGTGGCCTTGGAGGCCGTTTCTGCCTGCTCCAGGCCCCCCAGTTTCCGACAATGACTGTTCGGCCTGGCCTCTTTGTGGGCTAGTTGCTAGCAGCACATGCTCATATGTTGGCACACCCCCATAACTTATCGCTTGTTTCTTTTTTTTGCCCTTGGCGGGGCGGAGTTGTCGTCGCGAGTTGACCCATTTGGTGCTGACAGCTAGTTACCAGGGTTAGGGGGGAACGCGCCGGCCCGGGGAGGGAAGACCCAAAGGGCTCGAAATAACTTGAATGGCGGGAATACCAAAGCAGACGTCTGCTATTTTTGCACGGGTTCGAGTTTCGAGTTTCGGAAACGATGAAGCGAGAGCCATTCATCCTTCTCGAGCGCTCGAGAAGGAACTTGAGCGGTTACTGAAACTACGAGGGCCGGCCTTTGGGGGGCGGCCGACTGGAGAGAAGCAGACCGGATGGAGGATACAGAGGATTTTGACGCCTGGGTCATCTATAGTTGGCTACAACTCTGTCCCTGGAGCCAGTGTGAATCCGATAATAAATCCAACTAGTTCTTCAGTAATCCGTAACTAAGTAGTGGCCACTTGCTCGGTCGTTGTCCTTGGTCGGTCCCTTGGTCTGTACCTGGGCGACAAGTCGCGCGGACAGAATATGGAGAAAAACGCCTCGCAATTCTCCTCGTCTCGACGCCTCCAACAAGCCCTGTAAACCCCCGTCAGTCAGCGCAACTTTTGCACACTGTCCGTTTTTGTGTTTGTCGGCGAGAGTCCGTGACCTTGTTGACACTTTTTGCTTCCATTCTCTTCCAAGGCAAAAAAGCGACACCACAAGGGAAAAAAAAAAAAACGCCAAAAATCACCCCCTCCCCCTCCCTCGACAAGCTCTTTGTAATGATCAACTACCGCATGCATGTCAATTCCGCCCTATCATCAGGTCCATCTTGACAAGCCTGCATGCTGCAAATACCACTAGACTGAACCTGGGCCATGGCGCAAATATCATACCAATAAACTAGGTTATTAGGGCCAAAAAAAAAAAAGCTTTTCGAGTCACGCCTGCAACTCCGAATCTACATCCTCGTGATGGGCACGCCAAATCTCTTGGTTTAGGCTAGGCTTGGCTTGGCTTTCCAACGGCGCGCCTCACTTTTGTGAATAACTAACTAATCTTGTTGCCTCTTTTGAAACGCGCAACGCGGCCCGAGGACGCGCCGTCTCAGATGAATTATTGCCACTGTTCGACACTGTTGAATCATTACCTCAACATGTTGGAAATCGGATTTGCAATTAATTCGTTACGGAATATTAAAATGTATAGCCTCGATGCTAGTTGATTTAGTTACCCGTCAGCCGTTCAGCCCTGGGGGGTGTGCAATTACCCAGTAACTACCCAGTAGCAGCGCCGAATTGGTCTTTGGCAGTTTCCAAGTTTGCCGGTTGGTCAATGTACTCGTCTGAACGTTGGTGTTTGTTGCATAGTTTCTTTGCAGGACTTGTTCAACCTCTATCAGTACGTCATACCTCAACACCACAACCTGCGCATCATCGCAACAACGCATGGCAGAATCCAATATTTAGCCGTTATCCTCGAAATTCTCGCCTTTTGCCACCCCCGCCATGACCAATTCACCCCCTTCTTCTTCAAGGACCCTTGCCTTTTTTTTTTCCCCCCTCGTAAACCAGGGTTCTAGACACCAGCCTGTGCCGTCAGAGGCGTCCGTCAGCAGACCGACGCCATCGTCGTCGCCCTCTCCCACCCACCCCCCCGGGTTAACAAAAAAGTCGACTGACGCAGGCACAGGCCACCACTTATTGGTAGCCTTGTTTATACCAACAGATGCTTTTTCCATTTTGACTGGTTTAACTACCAAATTGTCCATACTTCCCCCATTTTGGGGGCGGGAAAGCGGCTCCCCTTTGACAAAAAAGCAGGGAAAAACGTGTCCCAAAAGGCTGCCAGATACCGGTATTACTCCCCCCCCAGATGCGGTACGAGAAAAGCGACACGCGACTCCCCCTTCTTTTGCCGATGTCTGCGCTCGCTAGCTACCAGTGAGGCGATTGGCTCGTGACGAGGTTGTCGTCACGACATTGCGCGGAAAACGGCAAAATCGCAAAAAGGGGTCACAATTGTGGTCGCCTTTGACCGTGACGCAGGCATGCTACGTCATGTCTTTTTTTTTTTTTTTTTCTTTTTCTCTTTCTATTTTCGATTTGCCGCTCTCTCACGTCCTCCGGCTCTCCCGAGGATGTGCAAAAAAAAAAAAGAGATGAAAATTTGCTCGTTGTTGCGGCGCTCGTTCTCGACGTAAATTGGCGTCGTGATTCTAAAAAAATGCGCCCCGTGGCTGGTGAGGCCTCCCCCTCTCCCCTTTTTAGTTTCCAAATACTCTGTAATTACCTGGGAAATGGTAAAAGATGATGCCGTTTTCGAGTTCAGCCGCAAGTCGGGAATCACCGGACTTCTCTTAGACTTGTTGGGCGATTGTTCCTGACAGGCGGCAGGCGACCGCGCCGCCATGGCTGCGCTCATGCTTTGCAGGAACCGTATCCAATTCCCCCAGCTACCGAGGCAGTGCAATATGAATTTAGTCGAGTTTAGTGCTGGGCATGTCCTCTAGCGCACCAAGGCTGAATGAAACAGTCCTCGTGGACTGAGGCTAGTGCCCATGGGCTTGTGGCTCAGCATAAGCCTCGTCTGGCTCCGCCGCAACGGCCCGTCCCAGCCTTATTCGTCACTATTGCTCCTAGTTAGTTACTCCTACTAAGTTAAGAACTTGATCATCATAACGAGTAATACACCCACTAAAAGAATCCTCCGTGCTGATTAGGGCGGATTCGTTTCGCTCGCAGGCCCCCATCGCCGAGACTTCTCCTGACAGCAAGGCACGCGCCCGATCCGGGTTGCTGGGTTCGTGGGCGTGTGGACTCACTCCCCAATCGTCTGAAACTCAAAACTAGGCCGCCCATCATGGCCAGAAAATCTGCTATTTCGAGCACCGTTTCCCATTATTCGCCATCACCCTCGGCACCCGCCGGCTTGTGCGAATGCTCAAGTGTTTCACACGACGCTGCGGCGCGTGCTTGGATAGGCTCACGATGCTTGCTTCGCTACAAATTTTTTGCCCTGTCGTCCGCAGTAGGCGCTGTCGATCGGGCGACTTGTAGGCCGGACACATGCAGATGGCTTATTCCCACGAGCAGTCGGACGCGACCCTGCGTTGGCCCTCTGTAGCCGCCCGTTGCGCATCGGTGCAGTCTGCGCATCCATGTGACACGAGCGCGATGCAAGCTCTGAATCAAAATAAAAAATAAAAAAATTAGGACCGTTAACTTTTGCGAGACACTGATTCAGATGTAGTGAGCGTCAGAGTAGCCGGAAACTAAACTTGGTCGCAGTGTTGAAGAAAGAGTCGCAAGCTCTTGCTCGACGCATAATTAGACGAGCTGCCACCTCAGGACGAGTACCTAGATCCTCGCAAAACAAAAAAAAAATGGCTTTTCAGTCTATAGTCACTATGGCATTTTTATAACAGGAATCACAAAGGCAATCAAGGAGTTGTCAAGTCAAGGGTATTTATTAAAAGGCACATGCTTCAAACATGCATCTCTCCCTCACCGCCACAGCTTCCTTCAGGCGTTGCTCAACGCTGCCGGTGGGCAAGACACACCCCTTTCCAATAATGCTCGTCGCTCCTCGTCTAATCTCTGGGATCGGTTGTACTGCCTGATAGTGTAGACGACGGCCCATTAGTATGTACTTTTGGGAGATACATTGAGAGAGCAAAAGGGAAAGCGTGAGGCTGCTCTGACATAGATTGGATGATGCCCTAGGTAGAGTAGCATACTTGCATCATCATGCCATCCACTGGCTTGGCAGTAATCTGGTACATCTACGCATTATTCCAGTCAGCACGTAGCTTCGACAAAGTCACCATATCAAAGAAAAAAAAAGCGCCACTTACAGGATATAGCCACGACTTGGGCCTGGAAACCCCCCCATCATCAACCACCACCCTTCCCTCATCATCCCTCTCCAAGGCCCCCAGACCAACTTTGGTAAAGTCAAAGTGCCGCGCCAAAACAGCAACCACGATGCAAGCTTCCAACAGGGCCAGTTCCTGACCAATACAGTTCCGGGGCCCTCGTTCAAATGGCCTCCAAGCACTCGCAGGGTATGCCCCCGCTGCATCGAGCCAGCGCTCCGGAACAAAGTCCTCTGGCGAGTCACGATACACGGTCCCATCTCTTTGGAGAATTCTATGACAGTTCACCATGATAGTCCCGTCGAGACAGTACTCTTCTCCGGAACAAGGGTCCCGGACAGTGAAACCCTGACCCGGTGGAACATACCTTGCCGTGCTAGCCGGCGGGTACAACCTCAGTGTCTCTTTCACCACAGCTGATATATACTTCATTTTTCTGACGAGGCTCGGGCCGGCTTCAGATCGGAGTGCCTCTTGGACGATTTCCGGTCTCGTGTCCTTACCAAACAACGCGTCTAGTTCCTCTCTCACACAGTCTCGCGCGCGCGAACAGCACGACAATTCATAGAATATCCACGAAAGAAGCACACCCGTCGAGTCATGTCCAGCGAAGAAGAACGTCATTAGCTGATCGCACGCGTTGCTCACGGCCTCGGGAGTGGGCTCAGTTTCCCCACCCGCAGAGAACGTGAGCGCGAGTATCGATCGAGGCTTTGCTGGCTTATTTCCCGACGAGATTTGCTGTCGATATTCAGCATATTTCCGTAACACAAGGTCCTCCAAAATGGGTCTGAGCTGGCGTGTCAGCCGCCGACGCTTCTTTTCCATGAATAGAATGGTCCACCAGCGCTGGCTGTGGCGAGATGTATACGTCTGCAGAATTTCGAAGAAGAGACGGACAATTTCACTTTGGGGGGAAGAGCCGCAATCAATTTGCGCGTGGAATTCCTCGTCCATGACGACTGCGCCAATAACGTCGATTGTGAGACTGGCGGCGACGTTGAAGAGTGAAAATGATTCCTGAGTTTGAGAAAAGGCCGTGAGACGGGCAATCGTCGGGGTCAATTTCTCAACCATGCAAGGGAGGAGCGACATGAGATGCGCTGGTGCAAACGCTAAAGAGTACGTCTTACGAAGACGTTTCCATTCTTGGCCCTGTAAGTTTATTAGTTCAAAACTATGGTTCCAACTAGACCAATTGGACAAGGTGGCTACCTCAGACGTCAGGATGGACTGTTGCCCTGTGAGGTGCACCAGGTCCTTTATAGCAGATGCCTTGGGCGGACTGAATGGAAATTTCGACGACGATCTGGCCATCTGCTCGGCCAATTCGTGGCTAGTGAGCAGCACGACGGGTTTGCTGGCCGGCCACATGTCGACGAACATGAGAGGCGGTTTGCCCAGAGCATCATGCATGTCCTTGAAAACGAGTTCTATTTGAAAGACATGAGCGAAATGGGTTAGCTTATGGCCGCCCTGATGCAATTTATTGACACATGTATGTACGTGCACCCCTGAAACATACCCGGATGTCGATCTATTGGGCCCCGGGATCGAAACTCGCTGTACAAACGTAAATGGCCCCATACAAGCGATGTCGGCAGTTGCGGCAACCGCGCAAATTGCTTGAGCCGCCTGTGCCGCAGCTTGAGATAGAAATGCGTAACAAGTAGCGCCAAAGCTGCGAGCAGGACGGAGAGGAAAGCCATCGTAGACCCTCGCAACTCGTCCGTCTTTGAAAGGAAAAGAAAGAATAATGGGCGGGTTCAAGGTTGCAAGTAGGCTGTCAGCAAAAGGAGCCGACGTCTCGCTACGTTACAAAATGAAACAAGCAAGATGGGCATTTTTCGTTGTTTGCGGATATTGAGATATGTTGTTACATTGTGGTGGGTATCGACTTGCGGTGGGTATTAAGCTTGCAAAATATGACAGCAAAGTGGGCAGTTATATGAACTGATCTGCTGCGAGAGCCAAGGGAATGTGCTTGCTTACCTTCGGAATACGGTAAAATGTAGCTCCGAATACAATCTTCCGATTCTAGTATTACTAGTTTATAGGACCTTTAATGCGTACTCTGCAGATTATACTTTATCTATGAAATAGTACAAGGTAAATAATAAATCTAATAATATATTAAATAGTATTTTGCTATAGAGAAATTTCTTAATAATACAGTATGTTGAATCTAATGTCCTGGTTTCTGATCGTGGAACCATCTCTATATACAGTTGCCTTGATCAGCATGAACCGCCTCCTCCGCCTCCGCCATCACTTCCGCCATGCCACCCGCCACCTCCATAATCATGATGTCCTCCGCCGTGTCCTCCGCCATGTCCTCCGTCATGTCCTCCGCCATGTCCTCCGTCATGTCCCCCATCTCCTGCTCCTTGTCCGCCATCACCACCACCACCACCCATCACTCTAGTATTGAAAAGCGAAACAGATTTGCTCGAAACTTGACGTACGACCGTCTCGACGCGGTCCTCAAGCGATTCGATGAACTTGTCCGCCTCCTTCTGTTCCTCTGGACTTAGATGGGGCCTGGCCCGTTTCAGGCGCGTAATTGCCGTTGCTGCACAAATGGCCTCGTACGGTAAAGGATATTTGAAGCCGTACGTGTAGCCACTCGGTGATTTCTTCATCAACCACTGCCAGTCGGGTGCCCTGGTAGTCACAATCTTATCGGCCAGTGCGCGCAGGAAATGTTGGCAGTTGTTGTAGAAGAGACCGTAGTTACCAAAACGCTGAAACACCTCCCAACACTCGCGTTCGACGTCTTCCTCGGCAAGGGTCGTCCACCCAACCATGCTGTAAAAATAGCTTCCAACCTCGGGAGAGTAGGCCGCCAGCACGGACGATTTGTAAAGCTCTGTGCAAAAGCCGGAGACGCCAACGGCCGGCTCGTAATACTCTGCCGAGGCGAAAAGGCTGGTGGAACCCTGCCATTCTATTCGTGCTACCGAGGGTGCCTTTCGACGCAGCTCGTACTTGTGGCCATGCGCGTGCAGAACCCAGTGGCGGAAGACGCCGTTATTGGTGTAGTGAGAGACAAAGACTGGCTCTCCAAATTCGTTGCTCGACTCCTTCTCAAGGCGTGCCGAAACGATCTTCTCGAGAGCCTCTCTGTACCGTCTCGAGAGAGAGTCTACGGTGGGCTCCTGCCTCCCCAGCATCCTCCAGACCACGAGTCTGACTGCCGCGAGAAATGCTAGGCACCGCCGCGGTAGCTTCCAGTACCTTTTGCAAAGCGGCTTGAATAGTACTACAAGGAAACAGAGACTCATAATCCCATTAATAGCCGCAAAAATCATGGCAATAATGAAGAATGCACTTGATTTGTCGACGGGCTTTTCGTCTCTCGATCGCATGGCCAAAGATGGAGCTCGGCCAGTCGGTGTCGCTTGCAAATCTGCAGATTTGAAAAGTAGGTTAGTAAGTGAAAATAGCTTTGCAAAGTGTTTGAGTTTGTATACCTGCTTCTAGGAGCGGCAGACCCCGTTGTGACATTTTCGCCAATGACAATACGAGAGATGGCATGTTGGGCGGCGCCCGTACGCAGCTTTTCCACTGAGCGTGCCAAAGGGAAAATGAGATGTGAAGGTGACGAATCAAAGTTTGGAATGGAACGCGTCATGAAATTTTTATATCGGCCGAGGAGCACATCAAAGACGGCGTGACCGCCTGGAAAGCGGCACAATCGCTAGGCGGGTTCTCGTACGGTAAAAGAGCTACTCGGCGAGTTCTTTAGATGCCACTGACGTCGCCACAGCCCCCAAATAACGTCACTGTACGGATTAGCCATTGGGACGGTTACACTGGCTAATAAAAATAAATATCTGGGGGATAATAAACCGCACTGCTGCAACGCTGGTGCCTGATCTCAACTGTAGAGTACTTTGGGTGGCTGGCTGAACTTGAAACAGACTAGGCTCACCGAAAGATGCTGGGCTTGGAGGCCGCCAAACCCAACCCCTTGCGATACGGGCCGCAGATTTTGTAGATCTCCCGCAGTGACCGACATGGATCAGTAAGTAGGCTTAGACAGCCCGATATTGTCATGTGCATCGCAGAGACTTGGCACCCAAGGGGTGGACAAAAAAAACGAGCGCTCCCACCAAAATACCACAAATAACTAGATAGATTTCCTTTAAAAGTAGTTAGCTAAGATTAATAAAATAATAATATATAGATAATATAATAACTAAAAAGTACTAAAATAACTTTTTTAAGTAATAAAAAAATTTACTTAGTCTTAAATAATATAAATAAATAACTTATTCTAAAGTAAAAATACCTACTATTTTTAATTAAGGTTTTAAATAGTTAGAAAAATAGATAGAAATATATTTTAGTTATTAATAGGTAAATTAATACTTAAATACTATATTAAGATTTTCTTTATATTTTTATATACTTTTTCTATTATAATATATTAAAAGTAATATAGCTTTATTATTAGGTAGAGCGCTCGTTTTTTTTGTCCCCCGCATGGCACCCAGGTTTCAAGAACAACATTATGACTAGTTCATGGCGAATGAGATGGCAAGGGGCTGTGTTGGGGCAATGCAAGAAACAAGGCCGCGTGCTTCTGACACGGCACAGCCACCTCTCTTCTGTCATGGCAACAAGTCTACGTTGTCAGTTGTGCCAGCGTCATGACCAACCTTCCATACGGAGTAGTGGCCGATGAAAAGGCAAGCAGGCTATGCTAAGGCAGCACTACTAGAACCAGCACCCACCACCCGTCTTTTTCGCAGCCAGAACTGCTACATACCAGACGTCTTTCTGCCATCAAGGTCGCCAAGAATGTGCAATACTTCAACAAAGGTATAAGCTCCAAGATGTCATCATGGCGTATTCGGCCGACACATCTTGTGTCCTTTGCCAAGAATTAGAGACCGTCGTCGGCGGCCACAACGGCCGACTTGCTGCCGTTTTTTGCTGGTGGTGACAGGAAGAACGGCTCTCCGAACCCCACAATACGCCGACACTATTTTTGACCGTTAATTACGGACTCGGTCTACTATGGCGAGAACCGTTACCCCAAAGTCAAGCGGCCCCTCTGCCTACGATAGAGATTCCAAACAAAGTTCAATTAAATACGGCATCTACCACGAGGGATTCCAACACATCGACCGGTGCTGGACACATGAACCTAATAGTCTGGAGAATATTATCAAGGACTTGTCCTTCCCTCGGGCGCCACTTTCACCATCCCTCTCCGTTTCAGCTTTCGAAACCTGGAGGGCTAGCCAACAGCTTCCGCACCAACTATATGCACATCGCGTGACTCGCCCTACGACCGAGGGAGAACAGCCCGAGTACCATATGACGCAAACTAATGGTTATGTTCTGGCAAGCAGTCGATATTCAAAAAATATTCAGTTGCTAGCTTGATTAGGGACTTGGACTGGTCACGCAAGATGGGTGCATATTGTCAAGCGTTTCAAAAGCCATTTCAGTTGCTACAAATAGAAAGAAAAAAAATACTCCCAAATCAAAACAAAACTAGAATAATCATTTTCCCATATCATCTTATTACAACGCGTTGATCCTTGTCCACGACCTTGTCCGTGAAAAAAAAAAAAAAAAACATGCATCTTACAAATCTCCCCCCTTCTCTATCCCTCTTAACGGCTTCCAACTGCCAAACTGCCTTTTTTCAAGGCTCAGAAGGCTTATGATCCACAATCGGAAACGGCTCTCTGCGACTCTCCAACTCGGCCGCCTCCGCCGCCACCTCCCGACGAGTATCCGGCACGGGAACGTGCTCCACGACGGGCATGCCCCAAAACGCCTCCGCAACCGGCTTTCCAGCGTCGTCTGCACGGCGATGGCGGCGTTCCACGGGCGTGTGGTCCACAATGGGCCGGTGACGCCCCGCGCGACGCATCAACTCCTCGCCAAAGTTTTCAAAATCCGACTTTTCGATGCCGCGGCCGTCGTCGGGAATCGTCTTTGGATGGGTCAAGGTGAGAGCAATGGGCTTGGGATGGGCGAGATCACCGCCACCTTTGCCGCGTCCGCCGGCGCGACGCTCCACGGAATAGAAGCCGATCAGGTCGTCATCGTGGTCGTGGTCGTCGCGGCGGTGGTGGTGATGCTCAGCGGAACCGGAACCATGGTGGTCGTCCAAGGCATCATCATCATCCTCATCATTATACTCATCATCGTCACGGCGTGTCACAGCGCGAGTGAAGCCGTCGAGGTCGTCGTCGTCGTCTTCGACATTGTCAGTTGTAGTCACCTTGTCGAGTGCGGGGCTGCTGCGGCGTCCTGCGGCGCCCGGGACGGGAATGTGGTTGATGATGGGCATGCCCCAGTTCTGGTGGGGGCGCGCGGCGGCAGCCTCGGCGACGGCGGGCAGGGCGGTGGTTGTGGCGGCGAGGACTGCGGCGGCGGCCTCGGCGACGGCTTCGGCGACGGCGGGCAGGGCGGTGGTTGTGCCAGCAGCGAGGACCGCGGCGGCGAGAGCGGCGGAGAGCTTCATGATGCGATGCTTGTGGCCTTGTTATGCGTGGGTGATGGCTGCTGTCGAGTGTGACTTTCTCTTTCTTTCTCTCTTTTACTTTAAAGTCAGCAGTCGTTTCCGTCAGGATGAAAGAGCAAGAGGGCGGACAGGAGATTAACTCTTTATAACCCTCCCTCCCTTGCTGTTTCCTTTTGCCGCTGCGAGACATGTCTCGCCCATGCAAATGACCTTTTTGCGAGTCTAGACGGATCCAAAAACGATAAAACGCGCAAACATGTCTGGAATGCTCATCGCAAAAGGGGTCGCGTTCCCCCTAGTTGGAAAAGAGAATAGATGGGCTTGTGTCTTGCATCTTGATCGACCGACTGGAATGGCATCGAGACAGGCTGACAGGCGTGACAGGTCATGTTTCCCCTCTTTTTCGCAGACTATAAATAACTAGTCGCTATTTTATGGGGTAATGCACTTCCCTTTTTTTTTTTCGTAACAAAAAAAAAAAAGGCCGGGCTCTTTCTTGTGGCAGACACTTTTGCATTCCAGTCAGTTGCTTCCCGCGGTCGTACAAAAGCCACAGCCTGCTATGCCCACTTCCAATACATCCGATGGCACGTCTCCACGTCGATGGACAGGGATATAATTACCAAACACATTCTTCTTTCAAGCATATATCGTTAACCTATGCAGGGGAGGGATCTTTTCATGCGGGTGTAGTAAGCCAGAGGGTGGAGAGGCGCGATGCCAAGGGCATAAATTGGTTCGGCAAGGGGCCCCCCGATGAACCCCCAAATTAGCGCTGAAGAGCCACGATGTAAAATCGGATAAATCATGCACGTCGACGCGCTTTCCCCATGTGCAAAAGGGGATGGGCTTCCGAGCGCCGCCTTTTCATCTCGACCGTGGCCTTCTTTTCATTTTGTACAAGCCGATAGTAATACCCCAAGTCACAAAACGTGGGCGGGTAGAATGCGCCATTGACGGGAACAAAAAAGCCAAAGGGCAGTTCCTGGCCATTTCCCCGCGCCGTCTAGCCAATCAAGACGACGCGTTGCCGTTGCACACGCACGCAGGCCTGGTCGTAGCCCCTTGTCCTGGCGGGCGTAACAACAGACAAAGAGCCCTTGCTGGCTGGATTCACGTGGCGGGAGGGCGTTATCCAAGTGTAACTAACTAAACACTGAGCATTTTGAGCGGCTTCTATTTCTTTCCCTGACCTTGTTTTCTGTCCTGCATCTTCTTCTTCTTCTTCATCGTCATCTCGTCATCTCGTCATCTCACCGTCATTGCCTCATTTCTTTTTTTTGCACAAGGTAGCCAAGCATACCTACAATTCCGGTTTTTTTTATAAACGCGCTACGAAAAATTATCAGGAATGCGGATTTGATGAATAGACACACGACGACACCGTTGGCCTCGTGCCAGACTGTGGTGCGGACGCTGGGGTGGATCACTTCGATAGCGACCATGGTTGTACTGGGCTTCATTGCGAACCGCTGGCCGGGCAAGATTGGCTCCGTGGCCGGTGCCATGATGGGTGTAAGTTTTTATTCGTCTTTTTTTTTTTTCTTTCCTCTCCTATTTCAACGCATTTCAATCTATTCTACCTGCGTAGAACTTGTCACCGCTCGTTGGGGACCGCTGTTGGATCGGCGCCAAGAATGGAGACAATGCGGGGTGTGGGGGAGGGAGTAGCCCTCACATCCACCGTTGAAGACGTTGAAACATACGGTTAATGCAGGGAAAATATGCGAAATCGATGGGCCAAAAAAGAAATCATGCACAATTGATGCAGAAAAATCGATGCAGAAAAAGTCCACCCAAAAAAATGCAGAGAGAAGTTTACAATCAAATGCAGCGCTGACTTTTTTTTTACCAGGTCGCCGCCGCCATACTGAACGACAGCTGGCTAGTAGCCTCGACCACAAACTGCGCCGCCGGCTTCCAGGCGCTGCCGCCCGCGCGCGCTCTTTTGCACGACATGGTGTCCCTGGCCATCTGCCTCGGCGGTCTCATTCTTATTATCTTTACCGGCGCGCGGTCCGTCAACAAGGACGACGACTACGAGTTTCAGCGACTGCTCGACGACGAGCAGTTTGGCGAGGCGTACACGCTGCGACGGTTGATGAGTGCGGCTCACTGGTTCTTGGTGGGGGTCATGTAAGCATACTGACTAAAATGGAGAGTGTTGAAATGGGGAACAAGAGGACTAATGTTGTTTTGGTGTAGATTGTGGCGGCTGTTGTTTTCAGTGTGGGGTTGTTATGATTGTGTACGGATCGAGACGCCGGAACGAGAGAGACTGCGATATCGACGACAAATGGAAGAGGCCCAGACGTATGATGCATGATGCATGAAGCGTAATGCATATTGTGGGAAAGGCCGTGGTAGCAACCTCGATATGGTCAAGTGGCAATGTCAATATGGTAATGGGCAATGTCAATATGGTAATGGGCAATGTCAATATGTAATGGGCAATGCCGTTTAGTCATGTGGCAGTATAAATCATGTTGCTGTGTCTTTGGCGGTTTGCATATTAAAGTTTCAAATCAAATGGCGGCACGTTTCTTTGCATCATAATGTACTAAATATATTTGGAGCTTTGTACATTTCACATCACGACCATCTAAAAAAAAACACAACAATGGTAGTCAAGTACATGCTCGTATAAATAAAACAAAAAAAAAAAAGATCATCAAAATGCATACTCCTCCACGTGCAGGTATATCCCCTGCGCACCCGTCCCTTTATGCACAGCGCGCTCGTCGCTCAGCGCAGCGACGCAGTTGCGCGTCCTGGCCACAATCTCCTTGCCGCCGCAGACAACCACGGCCGTCTCGCCCCAGGCCTCCTCGACGGGCTCTCTGATGAGCGCCTCAATGTCGGGCCGGGCCGCGTACTCTCTCACCACGTGCACAGCTTGCCGCGAATCGCCGCTGTCGGAGCCGCTCCCGCGGTCTGTGGCGTCGTCTTCGTCTTGGTGCACGGCTAACCTCTTTTCGTCGGCGTCGAGGTCGGAGCCGCTCCCGCGTTCCAGGGCAGCCCCGTGGTCTTGGTGCACGGCGGCCCTCTTTTCGTCGGCATCCACGTCGGAGCTAGCACGCGACTCACCGCCGCGCAGCAGGCTGCCGCCCGCTTTCCCGTCGGCGGGCTGGTGGCCGCCAGTGATGGCGAGGTGAAGATGGACGTCGATGCCGTGGGTGTGGGCGGCGTGGGCGGCGTCTTTGGCGCGCGCAATGTAGTACTGCGTCTCGGCGGGCGACTTTGCGACAATGGCGAGGTCGATGCGGCGGACGCACGTGTTTTGCCGAGATTTGGCAGCGACGGCTTCGAGGACGGGCACGACGAAGCTGGCGCCGGTGGAGGCGCCGATGAGCACCAGCCGCTCAAAGGCGTCCCAGTTGACGGGGGCGCCGTACGGGCCGGAGACGAGGCCGGTGAGCTCGGCGGAGGGGTTCTCGGCGGCGTACTTGTTGATGCGGCGGGAGAAGCCGGTGTGGGCGCGGACGATGAGCTGGATGCTGTTGCAGCAGCAGGTGCCGGGCAATGTGTGCGCGCAGGCAATGGTGTAGGGATGGGCTTCGAGCGGACCGAGACGCGGGACCCAGAGGTAGATGTGCTGGCCGGCGGACCATTTGAAGTGGACGTCTTTGATGGTGAGGACGGTGGTGGTGTCGCTAACGGCGCGGGCGACGACGCGGTGGCCGATGCGGCTACGGCCCTCGCAGGAAGACTTGCCGCGACGGAGCTGCACGTTTTGCCAGAGCAGGTTGGCCCAGCGCGCGAGTCGGTCAACGGCGAGAAAGGAAATGGCCATCCAGAGGAAATGGCGCGCATTGGCGGGAATGTGCTTGTAGATGAGCCACAGCATGACGACGGCCGAGGCAATGTGCTGCAGCAGCCAGAGCTCGTAGGCGGCGCGCCGGATGGGGACGAAGCCGACGACAACAGACCACAGCAGGACGGCCCAGGCGCCGAGGCCGTACTTGACCATGGGCATGATTTCCAGCTCGTACTGGACAAAGTCGGCGCGCACCCACTCGGTCCAAAAGTGGAAGCCGTGGCAGGTGGCCGTGATGAGCATGGTGCGGGCGACCCAGCGGTGCAGCCAGTTGAGACGCTCGTGGCTCGAGCCGACGAGGAAGCCGAGCGGGTTGTACTTCATGGCGAGGAGATAGAGCATGGGCAGCTGGCAGACGGAGACCCAGGCGTTGCGGAAGCCGATGCGCTCCCAGTAGGTGGCGTCGTTGGCGACGACGCGCCACGACATGAGGTAGATGACGACGGCCCAGTAGCAGAGCAGGACGAGGATGCGGCCGAGCGGGAGGGGAGTGGCCCAGCGGAGGGCGCGGACGCGGAGGTAGTACTGCGGATGGCTGATTTCGCGGACGACGGCCGTGGCCGTGGCCCAGGCCTGGGAGAGGCGGCCATCGGGACGGGTGGGATGCTGGATGGCGGCGTTACGACACGAGGAGATTCTGCGGGTGTGTTAGAGATGTGCTGGTGAGCTGATGAGGGTTGGTTGGGGATGCAAGTACCGGACGTGGGCGGCGTAGGCGTTGACGGCGCGGATGGCGGCGAGCAGGCCGACGACGCCGGCGATAATGTACCAGTAATCACGAGAGAATGCGTGGTTGATTTCGGAGCCTATTCCTGCGTGGTGGTCCATGTGCATTCCGCCCATGCTCATGTCCATGATGGCGGTGCGGCGGTGCCGGTGATGAAAAGGTACGTGGTAGTGAACATGTGAGGGTCGACGATGTCTGGCAAAGCAGAGTGTATATCGACACGGATCACACGTCACGATGAATACTTTGCAAGAGGAAGAATAAAGTGTGCCGGAATAAATCAAGACTGCCGCTTGTGCCGGTATCAGTGCCCAAACGGTGGTCAATGTGACAGGAACATGCCGACTGGGAACGGGGGGTGATAATGGATCATTGGCGATTGGCCCGGACTTGGCTGTCAAACCACTTAAACCCAGCTGAAACTGCTAAACACTATTTTCTAGATTTCTTTTAAAAATTTTAAAGCCCGCATTCGAGCGCAGCGAGGCCCAGAAAAAAAAAAGAAAAAGAGGCAAAAACGTGGGTTTGGCGCTATTGCATGCAGATGCCACTTTGGAAAAAGAAAACTTGCTCAAACATTCTCATGAGCTGTGGCTGAAATGGAAAATGGGGGGGCCTGGCTAGTGTCGTGGTTGGCTGGTTTAGGCTAAACAGAGGGGGCGCCACATGCGGCCAAGCTAATACAGGCGGGAGCCAGACCGGAAGCGGGTGGCTGGTGATTGTGCTTCCGGGTGCGTGGTGCGTGGTGCGAGGTGAGGATGATTGAAAATAGAGGTAGACGAGATGAATAAATAAAAAAGTTATCGAGCTTTTGTTTTTAAGTCGATGAGCATGGCAAGGCAATAGTATAGAAGAGAAAAAAAAAAGAAAAAGAAAAAAAGGAATAAAAGACAGAAGGACTAGGCCAAAGTATATAAAAGTGTCACCGTCTGTGCCCGTTTGCACGCCACATGCGCAACATGACCAGATTCACCAGTCTCGGTACGGAGATGGCAGTATCCGATACCAGCTCGTTTTCCCGAATGTCTTGGCCCGACCTTTCTGTGGACTAAATAAATTACTAAATTAATTACATGGTTCCTGAATTCCAATTCTCCAAACCCGCCGGATATAAACCGCCAAGCTCATCCATCCCCCATCTCCTCCCATCCCCTCCACCACTCTCCTCCTCCTCCTCCTCCTCCTCCCCTCCCTCCTCCAACATCACCTTTTTTTTCTCCTCCTCATCTTCTTCACCATGCGCTTCCTCATCTCCCTCGCCGCCCTCGCCGGCATCTCTTCTGCCCATTTCCAGCTCAAATACCCTCCCACCATTGGCTTCGAAGACGCCAAAGAAGACACGGGCCCTTGCGGCGGCTTCACCCCAGACCTCTCCAAATCAGACCTTCCCGACTTTCACATTGGAGGAGACGCTGTCGCCGTCCGTCTCAGCCATCCTCAGTCTAAATGGCTTTTTCGCGTCACCACCGACCCCTCCGACGAAAAGAAATGGGAGCAAATTTACCCGATTGTGCTGCAGAGCGGCCTGGGTGACTTTTGCCTGCCGCAGCTGACTGTTCCTGAGAAATACGCCGGAAAAAAGGGCGTCCTTTCCATTGTCTCATCGGCTGTCGATGGTCTACTGTACCAGGTGCGTCATCCTTTCTTTTCTTTTTTTTTTTTTTTTCCTCGCTTCGCTCGACGTTGGGCCGTGAACAAACGCCTCTGCAGCAGCAGCAGCACACACCATAATACATCGCTAACCGCAAAAGTAGTGCTCATCCGTCAACTTTGTCACCGGCTCCAAGGAAAAACCCAAAGAGTGCACCAACGCCACCCTCACCGCCAGCTTCAGCAGCGACGACGCCCTTTCCGCCATGGTCGGCAGCAGCAGCAGCGGCAGCAACGCCACCACCACATCTGGCGGCGGCTCCTCCACCACGGCCAGCCCCGCGGCGTCGCCTACTAAAAACGCCGCCGCCGCCGTCGCCGCACAGCTTGGCTCCGGTCTGCTCGCAGTGCTGGGCGGCCTGCTCTTGATTTAAATTCGAGATTCGAGCATGCTTTGCATGTTTCGGCGCAATTGGTCGATGGTGGGCGCGCGCAAAGGGTCCAAGCGTGGGGTTCAAGCGTGGGGTTCAAGCATGGAGTAATGAGCGTGCAGCAATGAATACATACATGGCATGTGTACATGGCATGTGTACATGGCATATGTAATTACAGATAATGATGCAGAATCCGTTACATTTCAAACTTTGCATTTTGTAAGCCACAGAACCTTTTTGCTGCGACATGTTGGAGTCTACTCTGCTCTTTTTCTTTTTTATTTCTTCCCATTCCACCTTACTCTTCCCATCAACCAAGAATCTTTTATACTGCCCATTAAACATGCCCGCATTCCACCTCGCCTCTTGCTCTTCAAAATGTCTGACCAACCCAAATAAGCAGGAGACTACTACCTCGTCTTCTACCTGACTGGCCCATATTTGCCCTGCCCACCAGGCTATTTATTAACTACCAGGTAACTAATATCCTCCCCCAACATGACATCCATTTCCCCACATTTCCCCTCGCGGTTCCTCCACACCGACCTCGTTTTCCCACCTTGTTCATCACCAGCCCGTCGCTTTTCCTCTCTACCTTTTTCTTATTCCTATTTCTTTCTGGTATCAATCATCTGTGACTAGCATCTTTAACACATCTTCGCTTAGTCTCTCCCTCCCGTTTTTTGCTGCGTCTGGCTGCTTCTACTGGCCGAGTCGAGTCGTCCGCTCCGTCGCCGGCTCCGACACCCGAGCCCGTGTCGCATCCAGCCGTGACACGCAGCCGTCGTCCACAACCTCGCACCACCTCATTCTCTGCTCCCATTTGCTCATCCCCTTCTTCTCCGAGTTTGCAATCCGCCAAATCGCCAATGCCGCTCATCTTGTAAGCCCAATCGCTCTCCCCGTGTCAACTCACGGCCCCAGACCCCCCCCCCCCCTCTGGCATCATGAATCTCTTTCTCTTTCTCGTGCTCTTCGAGCGTCCCCAATTCAAATACATCTTCTCCCGCCGCGCCGACTACTACCCCGTCGACCGCATTAGCTGGCCCGCCAACTACACCACCCAGCATGGTGAGCACTGTCCCACCCCCGCCGAGGCCGTCTCGCTCTACGTCGTCGCCGGCGTCGCCCTCGCCGCCGCCATGGCCTACTTTTGGCAAGCCCGTCTCTTCCGGCTGCTCCCCGTCTGGCTCCGGCCCTTTGCCGCCGAGCAAGGGCCCGACGCGCGCTCCTGGCCCTCGGAAGACGACGCCGACGACGACGACCTGTTCAAGCCCAAGCGCTGGACGCACTGGACCCTCATCCTCTTTCTCATTGCGCTCTTTGGCTTCCTCTTGTCGCTCATCCCCATCATACTGGACTCGGCGCAGACGCTGCATCTGTTCGAGACGGTGCCCTGGTTCGCCGTCGTCGTCGTCACTGTCGCGGACCGCCCGACGCGCACCCCGCGGCTGCTGCTCGCCCAGTACGCCGTCATGCTGCTCACCAGCGTCGCCATCTACTCGATGCACTTTCTCGACCACGACCTGCTCTACGTCGAGCCCACGCAGATCATCCGCGACGCGCTCGCCCTCGTCGCCCTCGCCTGCATCTTGGCCATGCCTCTGCGCGACCCGGCCTGGGACGTGGACAACATTGGCTCCTCGGCGCTGCCGCCGTCGTCGCTCCTCCGCAGCCCCGAGGACAGCCTCTCGCTCCTGCGCTTCTGGACCATGAGCTGGGTCACGCCGCTGGCGCGCCTCTGCCGGAAGCGCGAAATCACCGTCGACGACGTCTGGCAGCTGCCCTACGACTTTCAGCACACGCGCCTGTACATGGCCTTTCGCGAGGTCCGCGGCCGCCTGCTGCCCTGCCTCGTCCGCGCCAACGGCCTCGACCTCTGCCTGTCCACGTCGCTCGCCGTCGCCGAAAAGGTCCTCGAGGTGACCAATATCCGCCTCACCAGCAAGCTCTACCGCGCTCTCGACCGCGCCGAGCCGCGCGAGGCCATTTACTGGTGCGTCGTCATGCTCGGCCTCGACGCCGTCCGCCAGGTCGCCAAGACGACGGCCAACTGGTACTCCCGCAAGGCCTATGAGCGCTCGCGCGGCGAGACCTTTATCGGCCTCTTTGGCAAGCTCCTCACCCGCGCCGTGCCCGGCTCTGACGCCACCGAAAAGGGGCCCCAGAACCGCACATCCCCGCGCCGCGACATGACCACCGCTGACGGCGAGCAGCAGCAGACCAAGATGCAGCGCTTCGTCTCACGCATCTGCGGTCGTCGCGACAAGACGCCGCCGGCCGCCGCCGCCGCCGCTGCCGCCGTCTCCGCGCAGCCCGCGTCCAACGCCAAAGTCGTCAACCTCGTGCGCGGCGACACGTACGAAATCTCGCAGCGCTTCTGGGATTTCCAGAAACTCGTGTCGCAGCCCATCAAAATCATCTTCACCTTGTACTTTCTCGTGGACATTATGGGCTGGCCGTCGTCGATTGGCTTCGCGCTCATGGCCGTCTTCCTGACGTGCAACTCGCTGCTCGTCAAGCATCTCATCGCGCTCGAGCGCCAGCGCACGGCGCACTCGGACAAGCGCGCGCAGGCCGTGTCGCACTTTGTCGAGGCCAGCCGTCCGCTCAAGCTCAACGGCTGGACCGACTCGTGGAGCGCGCGCATCTTTGCGTTTCGCGCGCTCGAGATGCGCAAGCGCCTGCAAATGGCCTACGTGACCGCGTGCATCTCCACGCTCAACGTCGCCGGCGGCACGTCGTATCCGCTCGCCAGCATCGCGCTCTTTACCGTCGTCCTGCGCCGCGGGCTGCCCAACGACGTCATCTGGCCGTCGCTGCAGCTCTTTTCCCAGCTCGAGGCCTCGGTCAAGGAGGCCTTTGACCTCGTCTCGGCCTTTTGGAAGACCACCATCCCCGTCGAGCGCGTCCACGCCTACATGGCCGAGCCCGACCGCGACGTCGCCTCTTCGCTCACCCCCGACGCCAAGACCATTTCCTTTCACCGCGCCTCCTTTGCCTGGCCGTCCACCGACACCGCTGTCCTGCGCGACCTCGACTTTGAGATCCCCGTCGGCGGGCTCACCGTCATCCGCGGCCCCGTCGGCGCCGGCAAGTCCTCGCTGCTGCTCGCCGCGCTCAACGAGATGGAGCTGCGCAGCGGATCGCTCACCGTCCCCGACGAGCCCATCGGCTACGCGCAGCAGCTGCCCTGGCTGCAGAACAAGACGATCCGCGACAACATTGTCTTCCAGCACCCCTTTGACGCCCACCGCTACCGCCAAGTCGTCCACGCCTGCGCGCTCGCCCCGGACCTCGCCGCCTTTCCCGCCGGCGACATGACCAAGCTGGAGGAAGGCGGCGTCGGCCTGTCGGGCGGACAAAAGGCGCGCGTCGCCCTCGCCCGCGCCGTCTACTCGCCGAGCCGCGTGCTGCTCCTCGACGACCCCCTCGCGCCGCTCGACCACGACACGGCCGCCGCCATTGTCCGGCGCTTTTTGCAAGGGCCGCTCGCAAAGGACCGCACGATTGTCATGGTGACGCACCGCGACGACCTTGTGCTGCGCATCGCCGACGCCGTCGTCGACGTGGACGCCGGCACCGCGCGCGTGCTCACCCCCGCGCAGGTGCAGGAAGAACTCGCGCATCCGTACCACGCCGCAGACGAGAACACGGCCCACGACGACGCCGACCATTCTTCCGCTGCGCACGACGACGACGCGGCCCTCTCCGGCGGCGGGCGACTCGACCCCGAGGATCCAAGCGCGACGGGCAGCGTCTCGTGGACCGTGTACCTGCGGTACATGCAAGCCGGCGGCTGGCACCTATGGGTGCTGCTGGCTGTGGCGTACGGCATATCGCGGTACTGCGACATTGCTCGCGCGCGGCTCCTCGAGGAATGGGGCAAGGACACGGCCGCAGCGCGAGGGCTCCTCGATGAACCGCGCGGCTACTGGGGCTTACCCGACGCGGGGTCGCATCCGGGCGTGTGGCTGTACGTGCTCGCGGGCTTGTCGGCCGGCCAAATCGTGAGCTACGGCGGCGCGCAGGTGCTGCTCGCGCGCATCAGCATCGGCGCCGCGCAGGGCCTGTTCCGGACGGCGGTGGAAAAGGTCAGCCGGGCGACGTTTCGGTACCACGACACGACGCCGACGGGGCAGCTCAAGAACCGGCTCATTGCCGACATGTCCATGGTCGACGGCGGCATCCTGCAGCCGCTCGAGTCGTTTGTCTTCAACCTCATCTCGCTCGTCATGGCCGTCGTCGCCATTGCCACGCATCAGCCCATCCTGCTCGCCGTCCTCGGCGCCGTCTCCCTCCTCTTCATCTTCTTCTTCCGCCTCTACGTCCCCGTATCCCGCTGCCTCCGCCGCCTCGAGATGCGCTACCTCACGCCCATCATCGCCAACATTGGCGTCATGCAAGACGGCCTCGTCACGATCCGCGCTCTCCGCGTCCAGTCGCACTTTCAGCAGCGCCACCTCGAAGCCGTCGACGACTTTCAGAAGCAGGACCACTTTTTCTGGAGCATGGCGTTTTGGCTCGATTTCCGCCTCTCCATGAGCTCGGCCGTCACGCGCGCCGCGCTCATCGTACTCATGGTCGCGCTCGGCACCGCGGCGTCGGCCGTCGGGTTCGTCCTCACGCAGACGACGATTGCCATGGCGGCCGTGCAGCAGCTCTGCGAGCGCTTCGCCCAGCTGCAGCTCGACGCCGTGAGCCTGGAGCGCGTGCACATGCTCAACGCCATCCCCGCGGAGCCGACCGGCGACACGCAGCCCCCTTCCGACGACTGGCCGGCGCCGGGCGACGCCGTTACTTTTACCGACGTGACCTTTCAGTACGACGACGATTTGCCCGCCGTGCTCGACGGCGTCAGCCTCTCCATCCCCGGCGGATCTACATGCGCGGTGCTCGGCCGCACCGGCTCCGGCAAGTCCACCATTGCCAACGCGCTCCTCGCCACGCGCGCCCCGACCCGCGGCACCTTAACCGTCGGCGGCGTGGACCTCGCCACCGTCGACCGCGCCGCCCTGCGCCGGCGCATCACGTTTATCCAGCAGGACCCTGTTCTGTTCCCGGGTACGCTGCGCGACAACCTCGATCCCGAGGGCCGCTTTTCCGACGCTGCCTGCGCCAACGCCATATCGCGCGTGCTCGGCGCGACCTGGACGCTCGACACGCGCATTGACGCCGGCGGCAAGAACCTGTCGCAGGGCCAGCGACAGCTCGTCGGCATCGGGCGCGCCGTGCTGCGGCGGTCCGGGCTCGTCATCCTCGACGAGGCCACGGCGAGCATCGATCGCGCGACCGCCGCCACGGTGCAGAGGGTGCTGAGGGAGGAGCTGGCGGAGAGCACGGTGATTACGATTGCGCATCGGCTCGAGGCCGTCGAGGACGCGAATTGGTGCGTGAGGATGGAGAGGGGTAGGGTGCTCGAGTGTGGTCCTGCGCGGGACTTGGCGACGAATGGAAAGTAGAGGTTGTGTCGCAGGGTTTCTAAAATGTATGGATATTGAAAAGGGTGGGATATTCTGTAAAGAGATGGTGTAGTTGGATAGATGAGATGTTGTTTTGCAGTCTTGCGTCACATGCAACAAACAACATGCTTAATTGAATAGATTGCAGTTGGATAATACACAGTTTCATGTCAAGCATGCTCTGATTGGATAGTCTGCAGTTTTACATCAAACATTGCTCTGGTTGAACAGCATACTTTTACTCTGCAGTTTCACGTCAAACATGCTCTGGCTGAATAGCATACTTTCTTTCACTACTTTATTTCCCGTGGTATATGCAATTCTATATGCTTCTAGGGTATATAACTCACGATTCATGACACTGTGTGAACATCCTCCCGTGTACGCCCGAAATCTCGGGCAAGCAGCTACCCAAAAAGCGTGTCCAAGATGCGTTCAAAGCGAGACCTAATTTCGTTAGCAACAACTTTGTACAACGAACAACAAGACACAACATACTCTGCTTTCTTGGGCACAAAGTTGGCCTCGTGCTCCTCCACCTCGGCCAGGTCCTTGAGCAGATCCACCTCCTCGGGCTTGTGAATCTTGGTCTTCATGATAAACTTGTAGCCAAAGTACAGTGCCGGAAACACAAAAATCATCATGTACGAGAACAAAAAGTTGGGCGTATTCCAGCGGCCAGGCAAAAAGACCGGGTAGCCTCCCACCAACGCCATGAGCACGGTCCAAAAGAGCGCATAGTACGCGGCATACGGCATGAACCACGCGCGGTAGGGCAGGGTGGTGGGATCGACGCCCTGCGCGCGAATGGCGCGACGGAAGCACAGGAACGAAATGCAGACGCCGCCGAAATTAAGCAGCTGCGACGCCGTGACCAGAGAGACGAACCAGTTTAGAACGACGGAAGCACCCGAGCCCAGCTGCAGAAAAGACAGCAGCGCAATGACGAGCACAACGCCGACGCAGTAAACGGGAACACCCTTCTTGGTGCAGGTGGTGAGAAGACGCGGCGCCTTGCCCTCAAGAGCCAAGCCGTAGAGCGATCGTGAGGCGCAGTAGACGTACGAGTTGCCGGCCGAAAAAGCCGCCGTCAATACGGTTGCGTTGACGATATGAGGAAGAATCGGGATGCCGAGACGCTTCATGGCGACCACGTACGGAGAGGCGGCAGCGCCGGGTGAGCCGTTGGCATAGGCCTCGATGAGGTCCTTGTCGTTGTAGGGAACGAGGATACCGACGCAGAGGGAGCCGAGGATGAAAAAGGTCGTAAGTCGGTAAAAGACGGCATTGAAGGCACGGGGCATAACCTTGCGCGGGTTCTCGGCCTCGCCCGCGGCCATGGAGACGTAGTCGGGACCAGCAATGGTAAAGGCGGCCTGAATCAAGCACTGCAAAAAGCCAACGAATCGACCCAGGCCACCGGTGTAGCCGTAGAGCTGGGCAAATGAACCAGGGTTGGACCAGTAGCGGAAGCCGAACCGATCGTGCTGGGGGTTCCCGCCCAGCATTACGATGAAAGTAAAGAGTATAAGACCAATAATAAGCAGCACCTTGCCGAGAGCGGCCCAAAATTCGGTTTCACCATACCACTTGACAGCAATTACGTTGATGGCGGCGTATAGAACAATGATGATGGTAATCATTGCGCCAGTGGGTATCGCTTTGGTCCAGAAATTGATAATGAGGTTGCAGGCTACCACTTCAAACGGTACGAGGGCGGCCTGGAAAACAAAGAAATTCCAGCCAATGGCGAAACCAAAGGACTCGTCAACGTAGCGACCGGCGAATCGGATAAAGGGCGAGGATATAGGTAGATAGGTCACCATTTCGGCCATGCACAAGGTGACGGCGAGCACAACAGAACACCAGAAGCTAAAGGCAATGAATAGACTAGCGGGGCCGCCATGGAGAAGACCTTGACCGATTTGAACCTGGACACGAGGCCGACGGCTACGATAAGCAAGAGATTGGAGAATCAAGCGGGGATGTTTTGACAAGGACGCACATAGAGGACGGTTCCGATACTGCCGCCGATGCCAATGAGCTGAATGTGTCGCGATTTGAGCAGACGGTGGGTTTGGTCGACGTTGCCAGTGTCAATGGAGAGGCGGCCGGCCGTGACGTCGGAAACGGGCTTGGGGTCGGCGCCAACAGCTTTGTCGGGACCAATGTTTTTTTCGGCCTGGTAGGGGTAGGCCGGCGGGCTACGCGAGCCGTCTGAGCCCATTGTGACGATTGAGGCAAAACGAGGTGCGCGAGAGGCGATTGAAGTTGCGGGTGCAGTTGGCGGCAATTGCGGGATGCGAAAGAAGAGCTGTAGCCTTACTGTCGCAAAACAATTGGCGCTCCGTGGGTATGGGCCGAGGACGGGCGTATGGAGCTGTGGGAGTGGGAGTGGCTAGTGATGGTCTTGTTGCATGGTGAGAAAAGTGCGTAAGAGTGATGTGCCGCAGATGGCGATTGAGGAGCAGACGAGGGCGGGTCGGCAAAGTTGGAGATGGAAAATTAAAGATTGAAAATGGCGACGAGAAAAGAGAATCGGCGCCGGCTGGTCGGGCGGCATGTGCGTAGTATTTGAAGTAGCTAGCGGGCAAGGCGCGCGACAAGCAGCTGAATCCGTAATACGTCTTCGAATAGCGTCTTGGGCGGGTCAAAATGCAGGCTAGCCGAGCCAGCATCTTGGCCCCAGAATGGTCAGGAGTGATGGCACCAGGGCTGTAACTCGCGGGGATGTAATCCGTAGCTGGCCGGGGTCGGTACGTACAAAAAGTCAGAATGGATGCGGCCTCCAAGGCTCTCCACACGACGTTGATTGATGAAGGAGAGACAAGACGGAGTGTGGTGGGGGAGGCGGGAGGAATGCATCGGTAAAGAGTTGGTGTTGAAGTCTGTTTGCGGATGAACTTTGCATGGCGATAGATGGATATGGATGAATTGAATGGCTCTTGATGGTGATGAAGCTGGTCAAGATGAAGGTAATGAACGAACGAAGACTGGTGACGGATGGTGTTTGCTTGGCTGTGCAGAGTCAAGGAACGACAATGATGAAAGACTTGGCGCAGACCCTGTCTTGAGCGGTGTTTGTGTGGAAGCACTGCCAAGCAGCGGGGCATTCACAGTTGCTTACCCACTATCATTTCACTATATTTCATTTTTTTTGTGCCGCTTGTTGTCTTTAACAATGCAATGAACAGACAAGAGACTTAGATATATGCATGGCTTAGATCATCTTAGACAGACGGTAATTACCTACTCAATCATCTTCACAGTGCTATTAAATCAGTCTCGCAGGATACCTCCTCTTTACGCCCAAACATCACTACCACTCTTGCCAACTCAGCCCGCCAACCAACCCACCATCGTTCGTCAGTTACCATGCCATATTACCCCCCTCAACCCCTCGACCCCTCATTTTCTCCATCTTGTCCAGAAATTAAATATCCCGCCCGACCCATCTATTCATCGCATTGTGTCATCAACGCCAATCAGCATCACAACCATAATCATCCTCTCCCAACTTGCAGCCTGCTTGCAGCCTTGTCACACCTTGTTGCTGTATGGGTTGCACTGTTGTTGCCTCAACACCACCAACAGCCACCTCCCCCGCCCACTCAATTTACGCAAAAGCGCCTCTTTCCGCCACCGCCGTCACTACTGAGACCCGTGGCGCGCAAAGTCATCTTACTGCAGCTCAACAAGCCTCTGACTGCATACTGAGTAGCCGTCGTGCAGATCACGACACTACGCACAAGGACGAATTCAAAAGGGATTCAGAGTTGTAACCACTATTCTAAGAGAGATGAACATCGAATTTCATCCATCTATTATCAACGCAGAATATCAATAAGAGTAAGATTGGGAAGACACATACTCAGACCCTCAAAGACAAAATCCAAGACGTCACGTCATCAGCCCATCGCACCCGTGCCTCAGACCTCATTACAACACGGGCACAATCCGAACCGCCCAACGACCCTACTCATCCTCGCCGCTAGATGCGATCCTCCCATCTAGAGATGCCCAGTATTTAGACCCTTGGGAGGCCGCCTCCGTACCTCCATAAACTTCCTCGCCATCTTCGCTAGTTCCGATGAAACTAGCGAAGCGTTGGTTCACGCAAATCTAAATCACCGACGAACCTTTTCCGTCTCCACCACTTGACCAATCTTTATGCCCTGTGTGCTAAAAGTAAAAAAAAAAAATGCCTATATGCGTATATTCATCAATCACTCAACTATACGGATACATGTCCCATCTCTTCTTTGCCGAGAAACAAAAAAAGGTAAACCCCGTATATACATTGCTCGCTCGTTCGCTTTCCGTGTCCTGTTACACACATATACACCGCTTCTCCCCTTGAAAAAACGCTTGGTTCCAATTCTTGGAATCCGTACGTCGCGCTCAGCTGCAGTAGGCCAGTATAAAATCATCGACAAAAACACTGTACAATTTGCAAAGTTGCGTAAAGAGGGCTATTCGTCCCTTGATAGCCCAGTATATGGTGCCCCGGAAGCGCTCATCGGTCCACAGCGTTGGCGTCGGGAGGCTGTACCGGCAAACCGTGTTTACGGTAACCACCCTTGACCTCTTGCACGGGGAGCTCTTCTCTGGCTTCTTCTTCAGGGACGTCGGGCTTCTCCTCGTCGTTTGAACCGTCGGCGGAAGTCTCCTCCGGAGTGGTAGCAGAGGTAGGCTCCTCGGTCGCGGTAGCGCTCGACGTGGCGTCGTCGGTTTCCTCGGCATCCATCTCAGGCACGGCGCTCTCGCTGACCAGGGGGTGCGAGGTGGACGCCTCCCTGACGGAACGGATGCGCTCGTCTTCTTCGGTAGGCTCAGCGTCAATGTCGGCGCTAATCAGGGGCTTGGACTCGCTGGCTTCTTTTACCGAGTGGATTCGTTCGTCCTCGTCGTCCTCATCCTCTTCGGCGGCTTTAGCATCCTCTTCCGCCCTGATACGGGCCTCTTCCTCAGCCTTGAGCCTGGCTTCCTCTTCAGCCTCGAGTCTGGCTTCTTCTTCCGCTTTCAATCTGGCCTCCTCTGCCACTCTGGCTTTCTCGTCAATAATCTCTTTTAGCCGCGCCACGTCGAACTCATCGCTGACATCCTCGGCGTCCATCTTCCACTGAACAACCTCCTTAAGGCTGGCCAGCTCCTTGGCAGCGGCCGCCGCAATCGTCATGCCACGATCCTCTATCTCAACTACGGCGTCCTGAGCCTCGAGCAGCGTCGGGTGCGTGACAATCAGCTGTTTGAGCTCCTCGGTCCAGTCTTTGAATGTGCTCTTGAGCTCATGGTACTTGGCCCAGTCCTTGTAGGTAACACCATCAGTCCACGCCCACTTCATGCCAATCTGCTGCAGAGCCAGGCTGCGCGTCTCATCGAGAATGGCAAAGTGCACGTCAGAAGTGGACAGAACTGTGCTACGCAGGTCCTCGTCGTATTGCTCGCGCCAGCTGCGGATAGCCTGGGCCTTGGACTTGATAGCGACGCCGGCGGCCCGAACAGCCTGAATGGTTTCCTCAACGGCGTCGATTTCGGTTCCTTGCAACTTCTGCGAAACAAGGGCGTTGATTTTGTTCTTGAGGTTGGTGATTTCGGTGGTAATGGTCTCTTCCAGTTGCTGAATGAGAGAAGCTCCAACGACGTTGGCTTCTTGATCAATCATACGACGCGCGATTTCATCGACGCCGTCTTCGATTTCGGCTGCGCCCTGTTCAGCTTGGGCCGCAAACTTTTCCTGCCACAACTCTAAATCGCTCGTCACCATTTCACGCACTTTTCGCTGCATGTCGGATTCGTTTTCTTCGGGTTCTGGAGCCTCGACAGCGCCGCGTCCTGATCCGAGCTCAGCCTCTGTCTCGCGCTGCAGAGGCGTGTCGCTTGGTTGGCTGTCGCTGACGTCCAGAGTAGTGCTCTGGGGAGCAGGCTTGCTTACGTACGATGACTGGGTGATTGTACCAGTCGTCGAGCTGCTGCTGTTGTCAGAATCATAGAGTACAGTAGAGAACACGTTGAGTGCTTACCTGGAGCTGGGTGCCCAGGTGCTGGACGCTTCGTGCAAGGCCTTGCTTTTCGCGTGCGACTTGTAGCGCCCCAGGCGCTCACCAATGCGCACAAGCTGCGGCTCGACATTCTCAACGTATACAGCGCGCAACTGGGGCCACACCGCGCGATTGAGAAATGCATTGCTGTTGGACCACGTCCACTGGGCTGCCGGCAGCACCGTATTGGCGGCAAATTTGTGCGAGGCCTCGTAGACATAAATGGCGTATGGCTTGGAGAATTCATACGCAGGGTATACGATGCTGTCAATAGCGTAGAGCGACTGCGTCTTGGCGATGTTGTAGTAAGGCTCTGCCAGGGCGACGGCCTTGGAGACGTGCGGCGCGAGAAACTTGTCGTAGTGGTTTTGCGTAAAGGCCTGCAGCTGGGCGATGCGCGGTTGGCCATTGACCTCCCACTGTATGAGGGCATAATCGCGGCCCTTGACGACCCAAGGCTCGCCGTATTGGACAGCATAGTGTCGGACGGGCGCAATCACGGTGGTCTTGACCGTGTCGTAGTAGGGCTGGGCAATGTCGACGTAGGACGCGGCGTACTGGTCGTAGTAGGGCTGAACATGGGGCGCGATGGCATTTTTGACTTGAAAATAGTGCTTGCAGACAAAAGGGGACGTCTCATCACAGTCTTGGAGCGTGGGTGGGCATCGGAAGAGGATCGTGAGAATGGCAGCCCATGTGGTGAGGCTGGAGGTGAATTAGCGATGCGAATTGCCGAAAATGAGAGTCCATTGATATGATATCAATGGCGGGAGTAGCTTACCGTGCTACCAAGCTTATCGACCAACGGAGGAAGCCTGGCTTGTTCCGAATCCTGCGACTTCCGTTTGCTTTGGCGCTGGGCTGCGCAGAGCCATTCGGAGCTTCGGTCATGGCGCAGAGCTTCGGCTTGCAAAGCACTCGAGCGAGTTGGGTCGCAGATATTCAAACGCGAAATTGGCAGAGCTAGATTAAAGAGGTCGCTCCAGGCGAACGCGAATGGAAAGAAAAGACTTGGCAGGCGATGATGGCCGATTACTCGAGGTTTGGCGTGATTAGGTGGGTCGCGTCGCAGGTGTGCTTCTGTCCCGTCAGACTGTCACAGGCCAAATGCAGGGGCTGCCGGCTGCAACAGGCTGCCGCAAACCGCTGCAAACCGCTGCACGAAAGATGGCCAGGCACCGAGGTTGAAGCAGTGACTGTCTGAAGTGCGCGTCTGCCGGATATAAAGCAGGAGGGATATTTTTTTTTTCTTTGTTGTAAATTTCGACAATGTTTTTGGCAAGTCTTATGACTCTCATGGAGCGTCCATGGCGTCTGTTCACATGCAGTGCAGTCTCGCGTCATGTGGAGGCCTACTATTACCGCTACAGCCTTGGAGATCACCACTAAAACTTGGTCATGGTGGCAACGGCTTTTGGCATTATGACGTGTGAAGCCTGATAACAAACACAAGACACTATGTATACCCAGATTTCGCCTTTTTATTGTTTGCCCCTTCATCATCATCCACAGTTCTGGCCTTTGCCTGAGCTTCAGTTGCAACGAACGACATGATCAACCCGGAGCCGAAACGTGGAAGGGATCAATAATTGAATAGTCCTTCCTCCCCCGCCCTTTTCAAATACTTGTCGCTGCCTTCAGGGGAAGAATCGCGCTCGTCGTCGTCATTTCGCTTTGTGTAGCCCCGAGTGCAAACCCCAAACTGGACAAAAAGTACAAGGAACAGCTTACAAACTCACTCGAAGAATCATGTCAATCGTAAGCGACGTAGTTTGTCGAGCTACAGCTGAACCTAGAGTGAGCAAAACGCCAGCGCCGACGGGGAGGGGAGAAATTGTGCCCAATTACGCGGCGATAGATGTAGCATGGCTTGTACATTGCCCTCACATTGGATCTCTACTGCCAAGTTCAAAGCCGGGTCAATTATCCGGTACGAGCTGTGATGCTTGTAATCAACTGTCATCTTTTCTGTGCGACTTGGGCGCCCAGCAACAAGGCTGCGCGTGCCAGGGTGCAGTCTCGGGTCCGATAACAAGCGCAAAAAGGGGCCTTCCCTTTCCATACCACTTACCTATTTACTACGCCCGCTAGTTCCTACTCTCACCATGTTCTCAATCGAGGGTGACCATGACGCCTTGGATGAGAGTGATCGTCTGGACAAGGAATGGTATGAGAGTTTACTGGAGACAGACACGCAACAAGTCATCTCCCGCTTCGTCGCGAAGCACCGAAAGGGAGTTCCCACAGAGGTTCGCGCTTTAGAAGCTGGTGGACTCAATGCTTTACTCCGCGTTCAGTTTATAGATGGCGCTTCGGCTGTGATACGATTTACAAAGCCTGGAAAGACTATGTTTCCAGAGGAAAAGATTCGAATCGAAGTCGCCACGACAAGATCACACGTCAATTCCCATTCCATTCGTTCTCCACTGGGGAACGAAAGAAGAGAGTCCACTCGGTCTGGGAGCATTCATAATCATGGAATTTGTTAATTACAACGGGAGTATGACTGCAGTGATGCAGATTCCAGGCTTGTCGAAAGACATCGCGCCAGTCCTAGACCCAAATATTGACGAAACGAAACTCGAAGGTCTATATCGCCAGGTGTCAGGTGTTCTGCTACAGCTCTCAAGATTGGAATTCCCTTTGATAGGGGCTCTAGAAGAAATTGATGAATGGCAGTGGGAAGTGCGAACCCGCCCGCTGTCGATGCCACTAAATGAGCTGGTACGAAGAGGGACTTTTCCCCGGGCAAAGCTGCCTGCCGGCTCCTTTCAGAGCTCATCGAAATACTTTGAGAGTCTCGCATCACTACACGTTGACCACCTCTTTCATCAAAGGAATGACGTCGTCGAGTCAGAGACCGATTGTCGGCGCAAATACACGGCAAGGAAACTCTTCCAGAAACTTGCCAGGGAGAAGAAACTTATCCCAGACAGTCACGGGCCTTTCAAGTTTTGGTGCGACGGTTTGCGACCGTCTAATATCCTCCTCAATGATCAATTGGAGATTGCAGCCGTGATTGACTGGGAATTTTCTTACGCCGCCCCGTGCGAATATACATATTCTCCTCCTTGGTGGCTACTAATCGAGCGGCCCGAATTCTGGCATGATGGACTAGCAGACTGGACTGAAAAGTACGAGCGCCGGCTGAAAACCTTCTTAAAGGTCATGACGGAAACCGAGGACGCTGGCATCGCCGCTGGGCAGCTCCGTGAGGACCAGCGACTTTCCAGGAGGATGCGCGAGAGCTGGGATAGCGGCGAGTTTTGGACCGTCTATGCAACGCGAGAAAGCTTCGGGTTTGACGACGTGTACTGGGCGAAGCTGGACCATCAGTTCTTTGGGCCGCACGAGGGAAAGCTGGAGGATGCATGGATGCATAGATTGGGGCTGCTGGATGAGCAAACGAGAGCGGGCATGGAGCCTCTCGTAGCGAAGAAATTGGAGGAAATGAAGACTCGGCAGTTGGCATGGGAGCCAGACGAATGAGTTCTGGTAGTTATTCAAGAAGAATAGATTTCGCAACAGTCTGTCAGATTATTCTGTCGCGCTAGGCTATGATTCATCTCGAGTACAAGTCTTAATTCCTTATCACAAGTTACCTACTACCAGGCACGCCAGGCTAAATACCACCTACATATCTGCCTAATTAATACCCGGTGAAAGTGCTTCGCCACAGAGTAATTGTCGAAATACTGACTAAGCTGCCTGTCAACGATGACAAGTAGCGAGTACTTTTTTTCTCGCCCATATTGGTGCTTCCTGGCGCTAAATACAGGTATCCATGACCGCACCCCACACATTCATCAGCATCTCCTTCCGACATTGCCAAGCTAAGGCCGTAACCTCCGTTTGCCGCCCTGACCCTTACTGACATCACGACAGCACCCGCTTCGATCTTGAACTTGTTTACAATCTCATGGTTCCTCGAACCCTTTGCAAGTAGCTCTCCTCGCGCAGGGTACAATGGACGACGCAACCACAACCATACCCTCGTCCTCGCCGAGGCATGCCCGTCCGCCAACGAGGTCCGACAATCCCGCCTCGGGCACTGCTCCTAACGATGGCGTCCCCTCCATCTGTCGAATCTGTCGAGGCGAAGCGACCGAGACCGAACCATTATTTTACCCCTGCAAATGCAGCGGCAGCATCAAATTTGTGCATCAAGATTGCCTGATGGAGTGGTTATCCCATTCCCAGAAAAAGTATTGCGAGCTTTGCAAAACGTCGTTCCGCTTTACAAAGCTCTACGCACCCGACATGCCCCAATCGCTACCCGTTCACATCTTCATCGAACATATGGCCAAGTACCTATTCCGCAATATCTTGATCTGGCTTCGCGCAGTCCTTGCTGTTAGCACTTGGATATGCTGGCTACCGCTCTTCATGCGAGCTGTCTGGTCCTTCATGTTCTGGATCAGCGACGAAGGGTTGGGCGGCTCACTCTCATCGCTCCGAAGCGGCCAGGCCTCTTGGGAGGCTTCTTTACACAACCAATTCTTTGGCCAATGTCCTGCAAATCCGTTTGTCGATCTTGCCACGACAACCCTGGCCCAAGCTGCGACAATGATGAAGAATCTGCCCGGGGACCTTGGTGGTATTCCAAAATTCTCCGTCAAGTCGATAGGGTACGCCGCAAATACAGTCAACGGCACAGGCTCTTTTCGGTCGTACAGGGATGAGAATGGCACCATTACGGTTCTCTACGAGATCGATTCACCGTTTGCTTCTCTACTGAGCAACGTCACGTTTTTTCGCACTTTGACGCAGAGTCCTAGATTCAATAGAGCAATCATGTCCGTTGTCGAAGGCCAGATCATCACGGTTCTCGTCATTATCTGCTTTATTCTCATCATCCTTGTGCGCGATTACGTCGTCCAGCAACAGCCCGAGTTAAATGTGCGCGCCGCATTTGCTGAGCAAGAAGGTGATCAGGTAGACGCCTTTGAAGCCGGCCCGGAACAACTTCTTATTAGAGACGATGCTGCAAATGCAGCCGCCCGCGACCTCGATCACGATGCCATTGGGCATCGGCCTGATAATCGCCAATTGCATCGCCGTGAACCAGAGATGGATGAGCAAGAGGCCATCAATCAAGTTTGGGCCATGACTATCCGACCAGGCATATATGTCCCTGATCCCGAAGCTGGCGAGGAGCCGTCGCATGTCATGGAATATCTCCGCATATATCGACGTGCTCACGGTGATCATAGTGAGATTCTTCGAATTATCGAGCAAGAAGATACCGATGGCAGGCTTCGCTACTGGGCTGACGCTACTCGCCGAGCCATGTTGAGTAACAGACAACAGGGGCCTTCTGAGCACGGCCATGATTGGGCCAATTCCCGTGATATATTTGATCGCCCTGAAAGCCCAGTGTCCTCCTCTAGCCATCAAATTAATTACCCCCCTCGCGAGACAACTGCTATCAGTCGACAGGACTCTGATCCCCCCTCGCCCATGCTTCAGCGGGACCTTCCAGCCTCGCCTTCAACTCTCGGCAACGGGCTGCGACCTCGAGCTACATCAGCCGGACCTAGCCACTCAAATTCGATACATCCACTGGCGAACAACAGCTGGACCTTTAGTGAGCTACCAACCGACGAACAAGGGTCCGCGCGCAACTCACATGCACACGATGATTCCACATCAACCCATGGGAAAGGTATATTCGGCGATTTTGTTGACGACGCGTCGCCATCAAACTCAAGAGAGGCTTACCTAGGACCTGTCAATCACACGATTCAGGGGCAGGCATCCGACCGCGAACGAGACGAGAACGCTGTTCCTGAGCTTGAAACGGCTGTTCTACCAATCCAAGCTGAGACTCTTGCTGTCCCGCAAGGCGCTGCTCCTGTCAATCGCGAGCAAGATATTGGTTTTGTCGGCAGGGTTGCCAACTTCATGTGGGGCGACCTCGATCGCCATGCCGACGAAGTAGCACTGCAAGCTGCAGCAGAGCAGGATGCTGAAGACGATGCCTGGGTCGATATCGTCGACGGTGATGTCGGTGCAGATGACGCCCAGCCTAATGGCGAAGATATGATGCAAGCAGCGGCCGACGGCTTTGATCAAGAAGCTATTGACGACATGGAGGATTTCGAGGGGGTCATGGAGCTGGTTGGTATGCGCGGTCCTATCGCGGGCCTGTTCCAGAATGCCATCTTTTGCTCTGTCCTTGTATCCGTCACCATTTTCGCATGCATCTTTGTCCCCTACAACATTGGTCGTGTCACGGTCTGGCTCATGGCAAGCCCCATGCGTCTTGTTCGCATGATTGTCGAAATTTCAAAGCTCGTTCAAGATGCCCTCGTCATGGCTTGCGCATTCTTGTCCTGGTGCTTGATTAATTTGGTGGAGATGCTCGCCACCTTCCTGCCCAGCGGCGTAATTGCCAAAGTCATCGCAGTTCGAAAGGCATGCTGGGACCTTTGGATCAACGCCGGCGCCAGGATTTTCGATTACTTGTTCATGGACTTTCCCACGTCTGCAACAGAGATTCAAAACTTTTCAGCCATCAGCCACGCTGCTCTTATAAGTCTCAAGTCCCAAGCCTTCCGCTCATTCGAAGCCATTCAACAGCTGGGCTGGGCGATTTACAACAATGGTATCACTATACCGAGTGCGGAACATTTTCGGCTGCTTGGAACCAAGGTTAACGCTTCTCTGCAATTCGTCATTGCCTCCTCTTCGCTTCTGTTGACGCCCGACGCTTGGGTCATCAATCTGGGAGACTCCAAGGTCACTGAAGTTGTTGATCCTGAGCTTGCTCGTTGGTCTGGTGGCGATCGATTTTGGGCTATCCTGGCCGGATATGCCGCAGTCTTTGCCATGGCAGCCATGTATCTCCAACGCAACAGCCCGTTCTCAAATGGCGAGTTCATGAGAGCCTGGGAGGCAGGCATCATCGATACCCTTCATCAAGCTAGCGGCATCTTGAAGGTGATTTTAATCATCAGCATAGAAATGCTCGTATTTCCCCTTTACTGTGGAATGCTGCTTGACCTGGCGCTTCTCCCACTGTTCGAGGATACGTCTGTTCTATCACGGCTCATGTTCACACGCAACTATCCTGCGACGTCGATTTTTGTTCACTGGTTCGTCGGCACCGGCTACATGTTTCACTTTGCACTGTTTGTCTCAATGTGCCGCAAAATCATGCGCCCCGGCGTTTTATACTTTATCCGCGACCCCGACGACCCCGAGTTCCATCCTGTCCGCGACGTGCTGGAGAGAAACTTGATAACGCAGCTTCGTAAGATATTATTCTCCGCCTTTGTGTACGGAGCACTGGTCATTGTATGTCTCGGAGGTGTAGTATGGGGGCTCTCGTTCACATTGCCAACACTGCTGCCAATTCACTATTCGTCTAATGAACCAGTGCTGGAGTTTCCTGTTGATTTACTGTTCTACAACTTTTTGATGCCGCTGGCCATCAAATTCTTCAAGCCCGGAGATGGTATCCACGCCATGTACACATGGTGGTTTCGCCGATGCGCCAGAGCCCTACGTCTAACCTCTTTTCTATTTGGAGACCGCAAGGTTGACGAGGAGGGCAACTTGCGACTGGCAGAGTCAGCTGGAGCTGGTCTGTGGCAAAGCTTATTCTTGGGAATTGACAAGTCCAATAACACCGCTGTCAAATCGTGGAAAGATGCCGTCACTGGTGACGTGGGGGTGGAGGCTGGGGAGGCTGAGTCCGAAAACTTGAAAGCCCACAAGGCATATCTGGTCCAGTCTCAACAGCTGCTAGTAGACGGCAGATTTGTCCGCGCCCCTGCATCAGATCGTGTCAAGATTGCCAAGGGTCGCAAGGTGTTTATTACCGTCGACGAGGACAACAGGCGGCAGGACGGGAATGACGACGACGACCTTTACGCCTCGGATCAGTATCGTAACGTTTACGTGCCACCGAGTTTCAGGTCGCGCATTTTTCTCTTTATTCTCTTCATTTGGGTCTTCGCCGCCTTTACTGGCGTCAGCCTTACCATCGTGCCGCTTGTCATTGGGCGCATGATTTTCAAGGCTTTAATTCCCGAACATGTACGCACCAACGACATTTATGCCTTCAGTATTGGCATTTATATTCTCGGAGCAATTTGCTACTTGGGGGTACACAGCCGCAGGGTCCTGGATAAGGTGGAGGGATGGATGGCGAGCGCGCGCGAAGAATTTGAGGTAGGGACAGCAGTAAACCGCACATTATCGACGTTTGTGCGGGCGGCTCAGCTCGTCTACACCTACTTTTTTCTTGCCATTGTCTTGCCACTGCTCGTCGCATTGCTTGTGGAACTGTACGTTGTTGTTCCGCTGCACACGTACATGAATTCGCCAACAGCAGGCACGATTGAAGCAGGCAAGGTGGGCCATTTGAGTCAAGGCAAACATACAGTACGCCTCACACAGGTGTGGACTCTGGGCTTGCTGTACATGAAGCTAGGCGCGCGGATGATCACTTCACTGTTTCCGGATAGTCGGCCGGCCTTGGCGGTGCGAACCGTGCTGCGACGAGGCTGGCAGCATCCTGATGTAGGCGTTTTCACGCGTGCATTCGTCATTCCCGGGCTAGCGATTGCTCTGGTGGCGATTTTTACGCCGCCATTTGTAGCAAGATACCTAGTGCACTATCAAGTGTCAGGATGGGTGCCAAAGGCGGGTGAGACTGCAGAGGAGCTGGCAAAGCTGGCGATATTCTATCGGTACTCATACCCCGGTGCAGCAGTCTTGCTGGTAATGATGAAGAACGGCATGATGCTCGCAAACGTGTTTAGCAAGTGGACATCAGGCGTGCGAGACGAGGCATACTTGATTGGAGAGCGGCTGCACAATTTTGGGGCTGCGACGGCGGGAGCGAGGAAGGGTAGAGCGACGTGGCGAGCGGGAGGGAACCGACTATAAATGATGGGTGGAACAAGGCGTTGCTTTTTACGTATGATGTACATTATTTGTTATGGCACAATAAAGCTGATGAATGATTCAAGCCTAACGAAGCGGGTGTTTTCTAGCTGCGCCAAGTCGGCAGTAACACGTCGCCGCCCAATGTATTTCGTGATGCATCATGCCACCTACGTTCCAGTCTAATCTCATCTTGCCTTATATCTTTGTCTCCTGTACTTCGACAATCCTCAGCGTTTAGCCAGCCTTGTTTTGACATTTGGCGACGTGTTTCTTGCGATATAATGGAATACAGGACCGATACCCTGCAGATGGTCAAATATACGGCTTTCCTACGGAAGTACATTGCGGGTGATTCAAACCAATGTCAGACGAAAGTACGGATATATCGATGTTGATAACGTCTCAGTTTCCAGACGTGCATAAGAGAGCAAATTATCAAAGGTCATGCGACATGGTCTACCAGTGTTGAGATGTGGCGCGGAACAAGGATAATGCCCCTGACTTTAGACAACCGTTGTACAACCGATCGAGCGAGCCTATTAAATCGAACGGTATTACCCGGGGCAACCAGGAAATTGAGCTGATGAGGTTTTATTCGCATTCATTTTACATTCTGCGGCTGCTGCGTGCAGGCATACTTTCTTTCACCAGGGATCCTGTCTCCGGACTCTGGAGACGTGGGAATGAATCACGTGAACCGCCACAGACGGTCGCGAGGTTTGTTGTGGCTGGGGGTGATGGCAGGCTATTTTGGCGCCGGTTGCCCATGACTGCAAGGTGGAAGGGCCCCGCTAGACTCAAAACAGCCCAGATGCGCTGGCAGCCCCTCTTGGGACCCTGGCACCTGGCCCTGTTGCCCTGCTGCTGCAACTGCGCTTTCAGGGCACCACATGTGCGCTGCAAGTTCCCGACGGCAGTGACCGCGGTGCCTGGGGAACTTGTCATCAGCCACGCACCAGCCACAGTTGGGCTGCAAACACACATGACTGGGTCGGCGTCACAGGCCAAAACACCCGCCACACTGGGCGCGCATCCCGGCCTCCCTATGACCTTCCCTTTTCCTGCTTCTCCCATCCACGCGGCCTCGCACGACTTTCCGCGACAAGGTAAGCAAAGAACAGCCTGGGCTTTTGCGACAGCCCTTTCGACAGGCTTCTCTCGACAAATCTTTCGTTCCTATGCGCGACTTCGAATATCCGACTACTCCTTTTTCCTCGATTACACCTCACCGCTGTTCCCCGCCAGGAAGCCACGACAACCACTTTACGCCTCCCCCCTTACGACAAACGACAAGCGACAAGCGACAAATTCCAGACGTTGCGCGTATTGATTGAATATTATAAAGGCTTTCCTGTTTATGCCGTTTTGATATTCTTTCTTTCAACGCGTTTAAACTCTTCGTTACTCTTTCGCTCTCGCCCTCGTTCACACGATACCTAGCAAACGTAACCTTGGTCACACTCTTCCATTCGGTCGCCTTGCCACAGTGATTAGCTCAACGCATAAGCCAACAAGAGTATTCACGACAGCATTATTCATGCTCCCTGCCACGTATCCGTCATCGTAGCTGCGATTCGACCGCTACAGCAGCTGCGCAACGCACAGCATGGAACCACCCTCGTCACCGCCCGGCGAGACTGCCACCGCTGAGGATGCGCTCTCCTGGTACAAGTCCCAGTATGCGCAGCTCGAGGTTGAGCTTGCCGAGTTTCGCGACTCCAGCCGCGAGCTCGAACAGGAACTAGAGAAGGACATTGAGAGAGCAGAGAAGCAGGAGAGAGTCTTTCAGGAAAAGGCAGAAGCTCTCGGTTTTGAGGTGCAAGAGTGGAAGGTGAGATGTTCTAGTTCAGAGTCTTTTACCAATTGCTAACAAATGTAGCGCAAATACAAGGAATCCAAAACCGAGGCCGCATCGGCGCAAAATGCCCTCGAAAAGGAAATCACCGTCCTCCGCGATGCAAACCGCACCCTGCAAATGAAGCTGCGCGACTCTGAGGTGGCCAATGACGATTTTGAGCGCCAGGCGCGCAACACCACTTCGTCACTCGAGGACATGGAGTCCAAGTTCAACCAGGCCATTGAGCGCGGCGTCATCATGGATGAGGAGATGAAGCAGGGCGAGCAGGAGCGTGAGAAGCTGCGTATTGAGTCTCAGCGTTTGCGCGAGGAGCTGGCCGAGCTCAAGATCGAGGCCGAGCTCATGCAAGACAAGATCCAGAAGCACGAGGCCCGCCAGCACCACCTTTCCATCATTTCCACCGACATGTCCGCCCTCGGCTCGCCCACCTTTGACCGGCATACGGAAATGTCACCCAATTCGATCGCCAGCTCGCCCCTCATCAGCACACCGCCACCCAACGAAAAGGCCCCGTCATCAGTAGGCACCGTCTCCGACATCAACGAGCCGCCCTCGCCGCCCATGTCCGAGGCATCCAACCCGGTGCCCAGGGTTGCACCCTCCAAAACACCTGTCCGCACACTGCAGCGCAAACCGAGCCGTCTCCCTTCGCTGGACCAGAGTGTAACACCCAAGCCCCGCGTCAAGTCGACGACCACCCGCATGGCTCCCCCGCGTGTCTCTGGTACAAGCCTTGGCTCAGGCTCCAAATATCGCACACCCGCCAACAATCGTTCCACCAACTCTCGCACGACGTCACATAAGCTGCCAGCCTCCAACTCGCTTTCTCACATTCGCACGCTGACGGAGAAGATGCAGCGATTGGAGGCGCGCGTGCACAATGTACGATCGAAGCTTCCCGGACCGGCGAGCAGCCCGCCGCGCGCCTCGCCGCGATCTGCTAAGCACATCAATGTTCCGTCGTCGGTGACGGTCCGTTCGCGCAAGCGCACAGCTGGCTCGGCGACGTCGTCCATAAACGGAGACGAGAAGACGCCGACTAACTACCGAGCCTCGACCTCGTCACGACAAGGCCACGTGCCTAGACTCAGCACATCCAACATGAACCGCCTGTCGTTTGGTCCGCTGCCAAACCGGGCACCTGATGCAGACAGCAGCCGGCCTAGCTCGCGGACCAGCATGTCATCATACGCGCGACCCCCTTCACGAACAGACATGGCGCCCCCAAGACCCATGTCGCGCACGTCGACTCGCACACCCCTCAGCCGACCCCGATCATCCATGTCCCTTCACAGCCACTCGCACTCAGCCAGCACGCACCAGCTCGATCTCGACATTGAAGAGGAGCACGAGGGCAGCCTACAAACACCGAGCCGGCGTGGCACGTATGGCAAGGTGGATTTCAGCAGCAGCATGAGCGGTGTCCCAATGTCTAGTGGCTCGTCGATTCCGATACCCGGCGGTCGTAGGCAGAGCGGTGACCGTCGAACGAGTGTTGGCGTAGGTCGAGTCCCCATGGTGGCGGGTCGGCCTAGCACAGCCGGCGGGCAAAAGCTGCCCGAGGCGAGCGACTTGGGCGAGACGTATTAAGGAAAGATGTTGAGCGACGCGTAATCATAGATATATTCCCTGGCTGTACTATGGAAGCGAGTATTTGCATTTTTGGGCTTGTTTTTATATTATAAGACGGCACGATCCCCCATGATGTTTATATATCTCTCGAGAAAGAAGAGACGGGTGGGGGTAGTGTTTATTGTTTTTATGACGAATTATGGAACATTTCTTTTTATCTTGAACAAGGCAACGAATGGCCAATACCCCTGTTTGTGCAAAGGACGCGAGAAAGGAAGGGTTACGATAGGTTGGTATGGAGAGTAAATGATATAAGATTTAGGGTGTGACTTGTAATTGACGACGTCATATCAAGATATTTTTAAATGAATACGACTATGCGTTCTATGCGCTAAGATGAGATTAGGATGCATATTTCTCTGATTACGGCCGAGATGGGCTATTGACCCCAAGTGAGCACGTTGGCGGACTTCATGTAGGGAAGAGAAGAGTAGAGAACAAGGCTAGGGTAGCAAGAGAAGAAGCGAAGAGGTGAAGTGAGGTGAGAGCTAGAAGGGTGAGATTGGAAAGACGGTGGAGCGTCATGAGGGAGATTTTGCATGTGGAGAAGGAGGCGGGTTTGATCAATGGTGGACCGTAGAGTATGACTGGGCTGGAAGATGGAATCGAAGTTGGGTTACGAGGAAGAAGCAGTAAAATGGTGGAAGCCCGAGAAAAGAACGCGAGAGGTATGGAGAGTGTGTCGACAAGGGTAGCAGCGGAAATCACATGGCAGAGAATGACTTGTTCTCGCCAGCAAAAGTTGGCATTGTGCCTTTGATGCCCGAGCACATCTAGGTAGCTGCGTAGTGAAGATGGTGATGTCGGGTTATGGCATTCATAACGGTCACGGCAGGCACACTTTAAGCAGATCCCCGATGAGCATAAAAGAAATGGGACGGCTTGGTGATGGATGGGAAAGCAGTAGAAGTTTTGTCAGATTCTAATTCTTTTTCAGAATTGCCTTGTTTGGCAAATGTAAAGAACGCGGGATGTGGGAAAAGGGAGATGAGGCTGTCAGCGGACGAACGGCGGAGAGCCTGTCGGCAGAGAGTCGGCCGGCCACCGTGGTTGCCCAAGATGGCAACAGAGACCGGAGCAGGACCGGTCAGCGTCAATCTAGGGGCTAGAGTTTACTTGTTTCTTGTCTTGATAATGATTACTTTTTATTAATACAAAAGCAGTCCGCGAACCAAACCATTGCTCCTCCGGGGGTCCGGATGGCTACTGTGCGAAAAGAAAGCCGAAAATGGATTGCGATTTTGTTGTAAAGACGCAAATGGGACCCGGCGATGCGTCTTGGGAAACAAAACGTGCGCCTTTTTGTCCCAAGTTGGAGTCTGCCTGTCGGAGGAGGGAGGGCACACTTTTTTCGGGTCAAGCCGTGTAAGACGGGGGAATATGAATAAGATGTCATCAAAGACGCCTCGTGCAGCCGGCTGAATGTGGACTAGTGTTGCTGGGCTGATGTGGGGACTTTCTAGTTGGTTCGTAAAAGGGGGTGTGTGGTTAGTTTAGTTTGGCTGGGCTCAGGTCAGCAAAATAGCAGTAGATATTTAGATGTCAGCCGAACAATGATTGGCATTGTTTGAGATCCCAAGATGATGGGAGTTGGACAAGGGAGCGATTAGTTTTATTGCCCTTGCATTTGGCGGGCGGGCTCTTGGAAAATAATTTTGCATGCCATGTTGGGGGAGGCAAAAATCGGAGAGCCGCAAAGGTGGGGCGCCGGGGCGGGGGACTCAACAATTGGGAAGAGCACAAACAGGATGAATGGTCATGATGAGTTGGAAAAGGGAGGGGGCCTATTGGATGATGAAAAGAGGGTAGGCAAAGTTGCGGAAACTTGAGCTGCGATTTGTTTTCTCTTTTTTTCTTCCGACTTCATTCGTCGTTTTCGCCGGGACTTGGTGAACCCGAGTGGTGTTGACCGAGATGTTATGTACTTGAGTGTTGACATCTCAGTTTCTTCGTGCAGCATACAAGATGGCGAGGACAACTAAATTGAATTACAGTTTTGCATAGATGTCAGCTCCGCTTGGCATCCGTCACCGTGGGACTTTTTTTTTTCTCCCGATCTGATATCGCCCATAGTTATTGCTGCATCCTAGCCATGCCATGTTGGGATTCATCAAAAGAAGCGCCAATCAGGATGCATGATTAGCACTAGATTAAGTGCATATATTTGTGCATGCATTTGTGCATGTGCATGTGGTTGACTTACTGGTACACCCCCTCCTTGGAACACTCTCCAGTTTCCAGACGCGCAACAATGCATTGCTGGCTGCCGCTGTCAGGTTCTTCTTCGTGTGTCGGAGATATTGTAGACTCTTTTGCATGGTACATGGATGAAGAAGAAATGCTCGATTTACCCTCTGCAACAAGTTACGTTGATGCAGGGAGCAGCAGTAGTATCTCCACCCTACAGTCACTTCACACACCCCCTCACGGCGATTCTGTCATCAGCTTCCAGTTGGCCTCTGGACCTGCTTACGTGCAGTTGTACGTTTCGGAGCTCCATGTCTGTAACTAGTACGAACTAATTGTGTCGTATCAAGCTGTTCCTGATTACACTCCCACGTCCGTCTTCCAATAGCTGAAGGATAGCCTTGGGCAGACCAGATACATAATCCTCAGAGCGCCGTCTTATGCCCCATCTGCGGCTGTCTTTTGATTTTCCTCTTTCTAGCATTTACTCTGATAGACTGTTTGAATCATCTCGTCGGCTTCTATTTTTATACATTTCTTGTTCCTTCGAAGCGATTATTTCGATACTCGACTGCCCCCACGACGACACTACGACGAGACTGGTAAGTAATGATGTTAATGTGGAAACCAGTCGATTTCTCTCTTTCTTTCTCTCTCTCTCTCTCTCTCTCTCTCTGTATCTTGTCTGCTCTCTGGGATGCCATGGCTACAAAGGACAGTCGGAAAAAAAGACGAGGGCGCAAGAAGCTTCTTATCGGCGCTAGTAAGAACGGCCTTTCCCAAACCCCCCGACAGAATGCGCTGTAAAGCAGCCGCCCGGAGCTCATCAATTCATCGCTTGGCCCTTTTTCTGGGTCGACCCTGACTCGGGGGCAGCGTGAAACTGCCCGAACGGTCAATTGGGAGACTACCCCCGCGACAACTCGCTGTCTGAGCTGAAAGGGGATAGCTGCGGTGATTACGGCAACGCAGTCAGTTGGCAAGTAAGGTGGGTTGGGGGAATTATTCGCTGCCACTGTTGCAGCTGAAACTGGGCCCTGATGAGCGCCGAAAGCTCGTCCCCGCTGGCTTCGGGTGATTGCCACAAGACTGGACAAACAGGCTGGTCATGGTTCCTGAGGCAGCTTCCAAAATGAGAGACTGTGAGATGTGGGATGGAGAGATGATAAAGATGAGAGAGATGAGAGAGATGAGAAAATTGCCTGGCGCTCCACCTTCCCCAAAAAGAGTCCCAACTTGAAAAGAGGTGCCGTCTGACTTTTCGGAACCCCAACAGATCAAAAAAAGAAGCGTCCTTCTTGCCCATTCATTTGGCCAGCCGCTAGCGTCATTGGCTTCCTTGCGAACTACCTTGGGGTACGGTTCTCTCTATTTCCCTTCTACAGCATTTTGACATAATTTCTTCGCCATCTCAAGGTGCAGAATTGTTACAAGTACGCTTATTCCTTGTTGAGCCAAATTTTTCTCGAGCTTCAGCGATTTTTTGGCGCATATTTCAGCAATTCACCCCCATCGCAAGCTCCCCTCTACACGCCCCTCTGGTCACTCCCAAGTCTCCAAGCGGTCCCTCGTCCCGTGTTTGGGTACGTGCTAGTACTTGCCAGTACTTGCGGGTACTTGCTGCAACCTGTTGTCGCTTGCTCGTCCCTCCAAGAAAAAGCTCCCGCGACATTCCTTTTCAAGCCTCTTCTCTTCTCTCCCAATCCCATCCTCCTCACCCACCCTTCAACGGCTGCTGCAGCTTCTCCACGACCCTGTCAATCCTCTTTATACTTGATTTTTCTCAGCATCTGCATTGACTGCTGCAACTCACGTTTCTGTATATTGATTCTCTCTGCCAGCCTAGGTTTCTTCTTCTTTCCTCCCACCACCTCGAAACCGACATTGTCTGCTCTTCTCGGCGCAACCGCGACATCTCGTCCGCCTACTCCTACCGACTCCTTCTCCTCTCTTCACCTAGCCCTTACTTTGCCATTCTCCCATGAAGCCCTGAGCAAGCTTTCTGGCCGCTACGCATTCAACGACCGCCAAGATCCTCCCTTTTTCCTCCCCACGACAACATTTACATACATACACATCCGTCGCCATGGCTTCTGAGACCACAAATGGCGCCAACGGCCATGCCTCATATGCCGAGAAGCATAGCATTGCTCCTCACTTTATTGGCGGCAATAGCCTAGAAAATGCCGCTGCGAGCAAGGTCAGGGACTTTGTGGCCCAGCACGACGGTCACACTGTCATCACAAACGTAAGTTCCTTCACTCTGACACGCGACACGCCATAACTGGCACCAATTAAATTCTGGATGTCTAACAATTCTCCAGGTTCTGATTGCCAACAACGGCATCGCTGCCGTCAAGGAGATTCGTTCCGTACGAAAATGGGCCTACGAAACGTTTGGCGACGAGCGCGCCATACACTTCACCGTCATGGCCACCCCCGAGGATCTACAAGCCAACGCCGACTACATCCGCATGGCCGACCACTATGTTGAGGTCCCCGGTGGCACAAACAATCACAATTACGCCAACGTTGAGCTCATTGTCGACATTGCCGAGCGCATGAATGTTCACGCCGTCTGGGCTGGATGGTACGTCACACTCTTAGAACACCAACACACAATCTCAACCTCGACTTTTCCATTTGCACAGTCTCCCATGTGTACCAACATGCTAATAACTCCAGGGGCCATGCTTCCGAGAACCCCAAGCTTCCCGAGTCTCTCGCCGCCTCTCCCAAGAAAATCGTCTTCATCGGACCCCCTGGCTCCGCCATGCGCTCGCTAGGTGACAAGATTTCTTCCACAATCGTTGCCCAGCACGCCAAGGTTCCCTGTATTCCCTGGTCCGGTACCGGCGTCGACCAGGTTGAGGTCGACAAAAAGGGGATCGTCACCGTCACCGACGACGTCTACTCCAAGGGCTGCGTCACCTCGTGGCAGGAGGGTTTGCAAAAGGCAAAGGAGATTGGCTTCCCCATCATGGTCAAGGCCTCCGAGGGTGGTGGTGGCAAAGGTATTCGCAAGGTCACCAACGAGGAAGACTTTGAGTCCCTCTACAAGGCTGCCGCCAGCGAAATTCCCGGCTCTCCCATCTTCATCATGAAGCTCGCCGGCAATGCCAGACATTTGGAAGTCCAGCTTCTCGCCGATCAGTACGGCAACAACATTTCCCTCTTTGGCCGTGACTGCTCCGTCCAGCGTCGCCATCAAAAGATTATCGAAGAAGCTCCCGTCACCATTGCCAACCCCAACACCTTCAAGGCCATGGAGAACGCCGCCGTTCGTCTCGGAAAGCTCGTCGGCTACGTCTCAGCTGGTACCGTCGAGTACCTCTACTCTCACGCCGACGACAAATTCTACTTCCTCGAGCTCAATCCCCGTCTCCAGGTCGAACATCCCACCACTGAAATGGTTACCGGCGTCAACCTGCCCGCCGCTCAGCTCCAGATTGCCATGGGTCTGCCCCTTCACAGAATTCGTGACATTCGTCTACTCTACGGCGTCGACACAAAGGCCACCACTGAGATTGACTTTAACTTTGAGAATGAGGGCGCTGGCGAGATCCAGCGTCGCCCCAAGCCTCGTGGCCACACCACGGCCTGCCGTATCACCTCGGAAGACCCCGGTGAGGGCTTCAAACCTTCCAACGGTGTCCTGCACGATCTCAACTTCCGTTCCTCCTCCAATGTCTGGGGTTACTTCTCCGTTGGTACCCAGGGTGGTATTCACTCCTTTTCCGACTCACAGTTTGGCCACATTTTCGCTTACGGTGAGAACCGAGCTGCCTCAAGAAAGCACATGGTTGTTGCCCTCAAAGAGCTGAGCATTCGCGGTGACTTCAGAACCACCGTCGAGTACCTCATCAAGCTGCTTGAGACGGAAGACTTTGAGGACAACACAATTTCCACCGGCTGGCTTGACGAGCTCATCTCCAAGCGCCTGACAGCTGAACGCCCTGACACCATGCTCGCCGTCATCTGTGGTGCCACCACCAAGGCTCACATTGCCTCGGAGGCTTGCATGGCCGAGTACCGCGCCGGTCTCGAAAAGGGTCAGGTTCCCTCCAAGGACATTATGCGCACCGTCTTCAACCTTGATTTTATCTACGAGGGCTTCCGCTACAAGTTTACTGCCACCCGCTCCAGCCCGGATAGCTACAACTTGTTCATCAATGGCTCCAAATGCTCTGTCGGTGTCCGTGCCCTCTCTGACGGCGGTCTCCTGATTCTGCTTGACGGTCACTCCCACAACGTCTACTGGAAGGAAGAAGTTGGCGCCACGCGCCTGTCTGTTGACAGCAAGACGTGTCTCTTGGAGCAAGAAAACGACCCTACGCAGTTGCGCACCCCCAGTCCCGGCAAGCTTGTCAAGTACACGGTTGAGAACGGTGCTCACATCAAAGCCGGCGCCACCTATGCCGAAGTTGAGGTCATGAAGATGTACATGCCCCTCGTCGCTCAGGAGGCCGGTATTGTTCAGCTCATGAAACAGCCTGGTACTACTCTCGAAGCTGGTGACATCCTCGGTATACTGGCCCTCGACGACCCCAGCCGCGTCAAGCAGGCCCAAAGCTTTGTTGACAAGCTGCCCACCTTGGGTGACCCCGTTGATCTCGGTGCGAAACCCGCTCAGCGTTTCCAGCTTCTCCACAATATCATCAATAATATTCTGCTCGGTTATGACAACTCGGTCGTTATGCAGGCCACTCTCAAGGAGCTCATCGAGGTCCTGCGCAACCCTGAGCTTCCGTACAGCGAGTGGAGCGCCCAGTTCTCTGCGTTGCACTCCAGAATGCCCCAGAAGCTGGATGCCCAATTTACCCAGATTGTCGAGCGTGCCAAGGCCCGCCAGACCGAGTTCCCTGCTCGCCCTCTTCAAAAGGCCTTTTCCAAGTTCCTCGAGGACAATGTTGCCGCCTCCGATGCTGACCTGCTCCGCGGCACCCTCGCCCCCCTGACGCTCATTTTGGACAATTATGCCGACGGCCAAAAGGTCCGTGAGTTAAACTTCATCCGCGGTCTGCTCGAGTCCTTTTGCGAAGTTGAGAGCCTCTTCCGCGGAAGCGGCCAGGAGGAAAACGTCATTCTCCAGCTTCGCGAACAGAACAAGGACAACATCAACAAGGTCGTCCATATTGCCCTCTCCCACAGCCGTGTCAGTGCCAAGGCGGCCCTCATCCTGGCCATCCTCGACGAGTACCGTCCCAACAAGCCCAACGTTGGCAATGTTGGCAAGTACCTCCGCGATACCCTTCGCAAGCTTACTGAGCTTAGCTCGCGCACTACTTCCAAGGTTTCTCTCAAGGCTCGTGAGATTATGATTCAATGCGCTCTGCCTTCACTCGAGGAGCGTACCTCGCAGATGGAGCATATTCTTCGCTCCTCCGTCATCGAGTCTCGCTACGGTGAAAGCGGCTGGGACCACCGTGAGCCTAACCTCGACGTCATCAAGGAGGTTGTCGACTCCAAGTACACTGTATTCGATGTCCTCACTCTCTTCTTTGGCAACGAAGACCCTTGGGTGTCGGTCGCCTCGCTTGAAGTCTACATTCGCCGCGCTTACCGCGCCTACATCCTCAACAAGGTCAACTACCACTCTGACGACAGCGACAACCCTCTCTTTATCTCTTGGGACTTTAAGCTCCGCAAGCTTGGTGAGGCCGAGTATGGCCTGCCTATCCAGTCCGCTGCTCCCTCTGCTCCTGGCACGCCTCTTGGCAACGAGTTAGGTAGTTCCAAGCGCGTTTACTCCATTAGTGATATGTCCTACCTCGATGCCAAGATTGCCGACGAGCCTAGCCGTATTGGCGTCATTGTTCCTTGCAAGTACATTGACGAGGCAGATGACCTGCTGCAGAAGGCCCTCGAGGCGATTGCTTACCAGCTCAAGCGGAACCGCCAGACTAACCCCTCTGGCCTCATTGCGGACCTTAGTGGCAAGCGTAAACCTGTTCAGTCCTCTACTGCTCGCGGCACTACTGATGACCTGAGCGCCGTTATCAATATTGCAGTACGTGATGCCGAAAGTCAGGATGATGAGGAAACACTCGCCCGAATCCGTCCCATCGTTGCCCAGTTCAAGGAAGAGCTCCTCGCCTGTGGTGTACGTCGCCTGACCTTCATCTGCGGCCACAGTGACGGCTCGTACCCTGGCTACTACACTTTCCGTGGGCCTCACTACGAGGAAGATGACAGCATCCGTCACAGTGAGCCCGCTCTCGCTTTCCAGCTCGAGCTTTCTCGTCTGTCCAAGTTCAACATCAAGCCCGTTTTTACCGAGAATAAAAACATTCATGTGTACGAGGGTATTGGCAAGGCTGCCGATTCGGACAAGCGCTACTTTACTCGTGCTGTCATCCGCCCCGGCCGTCTTCGTGATGAGATTCCCACGGCCGAATATCTCATCTCTGAGGCTGACCGCGTGGTCAATGACATCTTCGACGCTCTCGAAATCATTGGCAGCAACAACACGGACATGAACCACATCTTCATGAACTTTAGCCCGGTGTTCCAGCTTGCTCCCTCGCAAGTTGAACACAGCCTTCAGGGTTTCCTTGACCGCTTCGGCGCCCGTGGTTGGAGACTGCGTGTTTCCAACGTGGAAATTCGCATCATCTGCACCGACCCCAAGACTGGTCTGCCCTACCCCCTGCGTATTGGCATCACCAACACCTCTGGCTACGTTGTTGACGTCGACCTGTACGCTGAGCGTAAATCTGAAAAGGGCGAGTGGGTATTCCATAGCATCGGTGGTACCAAGGAGAAGGGCCCCATGCATCTTCTGCCTGTCAACACTCCCTATGCCACCAAGAACTGGGATCAACCCAAGCGTTACAAGGCTCATCTCATTGGTACCCAGTACGTGTACGACTTTCCCGAGCTCTTCCGCCAGGCCATCCAGAACAGCTGGGTCAAGGCTGTTAAAAGCCAGCCTGCTCTTGCTGCCCACCAGCCCAAGACGGGTAACTGCATCTCATTCACCGAGCTGGTTCTCGATGACAAGGACAACCTGGATGAAGTCAACCGTGAGCCCGGCACCAACAAGTGCGGCATGGTTGGTTGGATCATCCGCGCTCGCACTCCCGAGTACCCCAGCGGCCGTCGCTTCATTGTTGTCGCCAACGACATTACCTTCCAGATTGGTTCATTCGGTCCTAAGGAAGATAATTTCTTCAACAAGTGCACTGAATTGGCCCGCAAGCTGGGAATTCCTCGCATCTACCTGTCGGCCAACTCTGGTGCCCGTATTGGTCTCGCTGACGAGCTGATGCCTTATTTCAAAGTTGCCTGGAACGATGTCACCAATCAGGACAAGGGATTCCGTTATCTGTATCTTGACCAGGCTGGCAAGGAACGCTTCAAGAATGACGTCATCACTGAGGAGATTTCCGAGGCTGGTGAGAAGCGCCACCGGATAGTCACCATTGTTGGTAATGAGGATGGCCTTGGTGTTGAGTGCCTGCGTGGCTCTGGCCTGATTGCCGGTGCCACAAGCCGTGCTTATAACGACATCTTTACCGTGACCCTGGTTACTTGTCGCTCGGTTGGTATCGGTGCTTACCTCGTCCGTCTTGGTCAGCGTGCTGTCCAAGTAGAGGGCCAGCCCATCATTCTCACTGGTGCCCCTGCACTGAACAATCTGCTTGGTCGCGAGGTCTACACTTCCAACCTACAGCTTGGTGGCACCCAGATCATGTACCGCAACGGTGTTTCTCACATGACTGCCAACGACGACTTTGAAGGTGTCTCGCGCATCGTTGAGTGGATGTCGTATATTCCCGAGAAGCGCAACGCTCCCATCCCTGTCAGCCCTAGCACCGACACCTGGGACCGCGATGTCGCTTACTCGCCTCCTCAGAAGCAGCCGTACGATGTTCGCTGGATGATTGCTGGTAAGCAGGACGAGACTGGCTTCCAGGGCGGTCTCTTTGACAAAGACTCGTTCGTCGAGACTCTGGGAGGCTGGGCCCGCACCGTCGTCGTCGGTCGTGCTCGTATCGGTGGCATCCCGATGGGTGTCATTGCGGTCGAGACTCGCAGCGTCGAGAACACCACCCCCGCTGACCCCGCCAATCCCGACTCTATTGAACAGGTCAGCAACGAGGCAGGTGGTGTCTGGTATCCCAACTCTGCATTCAAGACTGCTCAGGCCATCAACGACTTTAACAATGGTGAGCAGCTGCCACTGATGATTCTCGCCAACTGGCGTGGATTCTCTGGTGGTCAGCGCGACATGTACAACGAGGTGCTCAAGTACGGTTCGTTCATTGTTGACGCTCTCGTCAAGTATGAGCAGCCCATCTTTGTGTACATTCCTCCTCACGGCGAGCTTCGTGGTGGTTCGTGGGTCGTCGTTGATCCCACCATTAACCCCACTGTTATGGAGATGTACGCTGATGAAGAGGCGCGCGGTGGTGTGCTGGAGCCCGAGGGTATCATTGGTATCAAGTATCGTAAGGATAAGCAACTTGAGACGATGACGCGCTTGGACGAGACGTACGCGCAGCTAAAGAAGAACTTGGCGGACCCCAATACGTCCAAGGAGGAGAAGGAGGAGATCAAGACCAAAATGGCCGCACGCGAGCGTCTGCTGCTCCCTGTGTACTCGCAGATTGCCATTCAATTTGCCGATCTTCACGACCGGGCGGGCCGCATGAAGGCCAAGGGTGCAATCCGCGAGGTGCTGGAGTGGTCCAACGCCCGCCGCTTCTTTTACTGGCGCGTGCGCCGCCGTCTCAGCGAGGAGTACATGCTGCGCCACATGGCCAGCACCATGCTGACGGCTAATCAGAAGGAGTCGGCGACCAAGACGAATGCGGCACGCGATCGCAACCTAAATCTGCTCAAGAGCTGGTCGAAGATTGAGAAGTGGGACAAGGACGACCAGGCGGTGGCAGAGTGGTACGAAAAGGAGCGCCGGACGATTGGCGAGAAGGTTGAGGCGCTCAAGGCCGAGAAGCTATCGGGTGAGCTGGCCGAGGTGGTGCGGCGCAACAAGGAGGCAGGTTTCAAGGGGATCCGGGAGGTGCTCCGCGTGATGCCTCTAGAGGAGCGTGATGCTATTCTCAAGTTTTTGAAGGAGTAATCCCGAAGAGACCAAAGGAGCAGGACAAAGAACAAGGCCAAAAAAGAAAAGAGAAACAAAGCATATCCTTAATGATAGATGGTGGGTTGTACGTTGATGGAGTTCTGTTTGTCATAGCTACGTATTTATGTTAATGCTCTATTGATTATTTATCCAGTCATATATGCGTGTGAACCGTAGAGAGGTAAATTGACAAGGGCCACAGTTGTTTTGACTAACGTTGAGCATCGGTCGTCGCCAAATGGCCCGTGAATAGCAATAGCAGGCTGTATGTTGAGGTGAATGCCACGTTTATATGTGGGTGGTTTAATATACATTTTGTCTATTTGTTGATACACGTCGAATATCGTCATTCTCGGCGAAGCCGATTCACCATCTCGTACATGCATACTTGATACCCATGCATGCCCATCCGCCAGACCTTTGTCCCTCCCCGCATTTTTTATTGTCCCTTCTTGTTCATGTACATGCCCGCGTGCTTCGTTGCGATCATGAACCGGGCACCCTCGTGCGAATCTGCACGCCGTGCCAGCTCTTCACCACGTCCCCCAGCGCCGCATTCACCATGCGCTGCTGCTTGAGTATCGTTTGTCCGCGAAACGCCTCGGCCTCGATTTCAATCGCATACATGCTGCCGCAGCCGCCCGACACGTCCTGCACGAGCACGGCGGAGGGGGACAGCGAGTCGGTGAGGAGCTGGGCGATGGCCGTCTCGGCGGGGGACATGCTGGGTGTTTCGGGCGGTATAGGTGAGGAGGAGGCGGCGGCGGAGGAGGAGGAGGAGGAGTATAGACGGCGCGGAGGGAAGGAGATGAGGCGCGGGTGGTTTTGGCGCGCGAGGACGGGTGGTCGGGTGGTGGTTTTGGTCGTGGTGATGAGGAGAGGGCGCGCGAGAATGGCGGCGCGACGGCAAGCGGCGCATAGACTTGAAGGAAGCATTGTGATTTGTGGTGTGGAACCTGTCGGTATTGGTGGTGGTGGAGGAGGCGCGAGAGATTGATTGATGGTGATGCTGGTGAGGAGAGTGAGTAAATGTGGTTGAAGATGATTATTCAGGATATTTTGGCGCGGCCGTGGATTTGCCGACGCTGGCCGAGGATAAGGTGTGGGGCGGCTTTGCAATCTGGTGATGGGAATTGGCTGTGTGGTGAGGAGATGAATTATAGGTAAATGGTGAAAGTCATCAAGTTGTGGGGGCAAAATCAAACTCTTTTTATCGATAACATACATGCTTATCTACTTTGGAGGTAGGTTAACAAGTTGGAGAGATGTTGCGTCGGACGGTGTGTTATTGGTGTGCAATATTGTAATGGAGGAACCAGGAGCTAGCTAGACAGTAGACATGAGCAATTCCACGAAAGAACAAGGAAGGAAAAGCAAACAAGAAGAAGAATTCGTATCTGAGAGTACGACTGTGTCCTAAAAAAAATCATCTCTGGCTAGTTTAGTATTCGGGCGTTTCGCTCGCCGCAAGAATGGTCTCGTTAGGTTATTTGGTTGGGATGAGAGAGGAATTGACAGCATACAAAGCTTAGCTTAGATAGAATTGTTTGTCAGTATTTTAATCGATCCCCCCAAGATCCTTGAACCATACCTTACTAGTAATGGTACGCAAACGCCGATTCCATGTAAACGTGCTGAAGTGGGTTCATCACCACGCCTACAAATTTCTTGCTGTTTATTACTGGTACACTCGGCAGCTACAACACGTCAATTGGCAAACCATGACTCGGTTCTCAACAAGACGCACTCGAAAAGTCGACAATGTTCGGCAGATAAACCACCTCTGCTCAGCGGATTACCGATAACTCTGCTTTCACCTCGTACCGGTCCACCTGTCAAGGTCCAGGCCCCCTTTCTTCCACCTGCCTAATCACTCTGCATGCAATTTCGCGTTCAACTCTCGCGCTCTGCATGTCCAGCTGAGCCACTCGCGCTCCTTCTACATCAAGTACAATACAGCTTTTATGCCATGACCCGTGTGATAACAGTGCCGGATTATAGGCGGCGCCGAGCGACTGCGGAGACGGAAACGAGCGAGCCCCTGGGGACGCCAACAGCAGCCCACATGCGGGCCGCAAGTCCAAAGAGGAAGCTGCTTCAAGGCTCGGCATCACCCTACGCACAAACAAGAATGGCATCATTACTGTCCTTGTTTTTACGCTTAACTGGTGTTTCGAACCGAGTTGAGAGACAAGCCCGCCTTTGCTGCAACACTGGAAGTTGCCGAACGTGGTGGAGTGGTGATGATCTCTGGATTTTGCCATGCAGGTGAAACACGATGTGATCACAAAGGAGAAAAAAAAACAAAGTCAGAGAGCATGAATGCCCAGCTATGGGGCATCTGCCAAGACCGACAATGGGCTCGGGGAACCTTTGCATATCGGCAGCGGTCCTCCTTGTGATGACAGTGTGGTGGAGCGCAATGCAAGCCGCTGGTCGCCGCCACCAGGCACAATGCCTGTCCATAACACCTCGGATCGTATTCGCTGCCGGCCCAAGATAAAAAGGATCGCAGGGATCAAAAGGTCCTTTGTGGGGGAACTGAGATGTACGGATCTGGCGGTGCCCTATGCTCGAGGGCAAAAGAGAGCCGAATTCTAGTCACTGAGTGCCAATTGTTCTCGGCAGCGATACCAAGTCAATCAGCAGGTAAAGCAACCAGCCAAATAATCAGGGATTGCACAATCTTCTGTCACACCCTCGATTGTGGACGGACGTAAGATTGGGCTCGCCATCGAAAAAGAGGCCCCAGCCCTCTTTTCCGGATGTGGCGCTTCAGAAGTGCCCGGCCGCCACCTGCGGAGAAGGCCAAGACGTTAGTGCTGCTGCTCATCATCAGGACTCACTTTTTACTAATGTGCAAATAGTTGCTTTTTTTTCGCACCTTGGCCGGCCCATCTGCATTTTTCTTTTCGCCGCTGAAAAGTCAGGCAAACGATACTACTAGAAAACCAACAAATCTCCGTCGCAACAGTGGTAGCTCTGCTCATGCCGCTGAAGAAACAATGTTACGGATAACTAGCCCTGTGCGGCTTGTAGCAGACAGAAACAATGTCTTACCCATTATCCGTACCTTTGTTGCGGACATGGCAGTCCGCGCGCAGACCAGGGGTCGCCCATTGAGTCTCGCGTACCCTTGAGAGCGCGGCAATGGATGCGCTCGAGCCCAATCAGGTCCACGCCTATCGGTCAAGAAACTACTCCGTAATAGTACGAGAAATACTTCCCGGCCGGCGAGAGCCCAGCGCTGCAGACCTACCCAAACCAGACAGGCCCGTGTCCCCGCACGCGATGCCCACATGGTCAGGAACAGAAACCTTACAGATATGTACGTAAGGTGAGTGGAATCGAGCTGGAGAAGCGTCCCCAATGCTGCACTCTGGTGCGGTTGACTGCAGAGGCGTTTCTGACCCTGGAACTACGCTGTAAGCCTCCTCATCCTGTCGTCGAAAAGTACCTGTGGCTGAGCGCTACCATTGAATGTCGACTAATGGAAACTCCCCATGTACTCCGTACAGCGCTGGTGTTTACGTACACATGACTGACTGGCCATGGCGCTGATCTGACAAGGACAAGCTGACACGCGCGCGTGGTTGTGCAGCCGAGAGCATGTTTTAATTCGGGGACTACAGGAGAGTCACTAGCGGCGTCACGCCCTGACTGGTTGCCTCCAGGACAGTCCTAGCAACTCATGACTGCGATAGAGAGTTTGTCTACAAAGTAATGATTGCCATGCTGCCAACTTGCTGTGTTGCTGACCCTCGGGGGCGAGCCTGACTGCAAGAAACACCGCCGCCAAACAGACGGCAAGGTCAGCAGCTTCCATGTACCCCGCAGCTTACTGCAATAATCTGCTGGTAGACGGAGCATCAGCGACGCGGCTGGCTGAATAAAATCTCGCAGCCTCGCTGGCACCCACAGTCGAGGCCTCACACCCGCCTGTGAAAGTCCTGGTTTGCCCATGTCTAAAAGGGACACCATCTCGCCCAATGGGGTAGGTCCTTAACCAGATAGCGTGCGCACTAATTTCGTCGGCGGCGCCATTTATTAGATGGCCTCTATCTGGGGCCAAAAGCAAAGGGGTTATACAGGCATGGCACAGCCATCGTTTACGACGGCCATGTGCAGAAAAGCCAAGCACCCGCATTCTCGTACCACGCACTTATGCAACTTGGTACTGCCCCCAAACGTAATCTGTCGACCTGCCCAGACGGGATGCGTCTGCGGCTGCAAGGCGCCCGCCCAAGTGGATAAGGAACATGGGTAAGCTCGTCCCCGGACCTTGTGAAGTCGTGACCATGTGCTTTTGGAGGCGCTGAGAGGGGGGGGAGGGAACGCGATAATGCGCAGACGGACCATGGCCACTATATAGATGGCCGTGCGCCCGGTTGAGCTCTCACCACCGAGGCCGTCATACTCTCGTTCTCTCCCAGTCCGACTTGGTAGCAAGTTGTAGCCTCTCTTTTTCTACCAGACTTGCAGCAGTAGCAGCCGCAACCATGGTCAGAACCTCTGCGCTTCTGACGCTCCTGGCTACTGCCGCCACGGCGGTTGTTGGTCAGGACGCCGAGATCGGCAAGGAACAGCCCGCCATTCCTGGTGCTTTCATCATTGAGTTTAACGAGGGTTCGGTACGTTGCTTCTACCAAATTGGCACTTAAACGAAGAAGAAGAACAGCAAAAGAAAAAAAAGAGGAAAAGAAAAGAAGAGGCGCTAACAAACGCGCAGAACAGCAAGGCCGCCGTTAGTGAAGTCGCCCAAGATGCCACTGTCCGCGTCGACCTCGACTTTGAGCTGTTCAAGGGCGTCTCTATTCAGCTCAACGACGTCAACTCTGCCGATGAAAAGGCCAAGAAACTCGCCTCCCTACCCGCCGTAAAAAATATCTGGCCCGTCAAGCTGGTGCCCCGTCCCGACCCGACCATCGAGTGGGTGGCCACCCAGGGCCTGGAGGCGCTGGTCGACAAGAGCGGAGCGAACATTATCGACTCCCGCGACACCGCTGAACCCATTAGCAGTGCCCAGCGCATGGGTCAGATTGACAAAATGCGTGCCAAGGGTTACAAGGGCCGCGGCATCAAGGTTGCCGTTGTTGACACTGGTGTAAGTGGCTGATCTATAAAACATCTCTCCCTTAGGCTTTGATACTGACCATCCAGATTGACTATAAACATCCCGCCCTCGGTCGCTGCTTTGGCGAGGGCTGTCTCGTAGGCTACGGCTACGACTTGGTCGGTGATGCTTACGGCAGCAACGGCAACTACCGTCCCGTGCCCGACAACGACCCCATGGACTGCGGCGGCCACGGCAGCCACGTCGCCGGCATCATTGCCGCCCAGCCCAACGAGTACAACTTTACCGGCACGGCCCCCGACGTCACTCTCGGCGCCTACAAGGTCTTTGGCTGCTCCGGCAGCACTGGCACCGACGTCCTCATTTCCTCCTTCAACAAGGCGTACCAGGCCGGCTCCGACATCATCACCGCCTCCATCGGCGGCCCCTCTGGCTGGGTCGACGAGCCCTGGGCGCTGAGCATCGCGCGCATTGTCGCCCGCGGTGTTCCCTGCACCATTGCCGCCGGCAATGAAGGCACCGCGGGTCTGCTTTTTGCCAGCAGCGGATCGACCGCCAAGGGCTCCGTCGCCGTGGCTTCCTTTGACAACACCGACACCCCCAGCCTCGCCAACGTCAACTACTACAGCGTCGACGGCGGCTACAAGCAGCAGCTTCTCACCACCGGCTCTTCCAAGGATGCCTGGGACGGCGTCACTCTCGACCTCTGGGCCGGCAGTTACGACACCACAAAGGCCGACGATGGCTGCAAGGCTTATCCCGCCGACACGCCGGACCTGAGCGACAAGATTGTCCTCATCCACCGTGGCACCTGCTCCTTTAACGACAAGGTCAACTTTGCCACGGCCAAGGGTGCCAAATACGTCATCATCTACAACAATGCCCCTGCTCCTCTGTCCATGGACGTCACCAACACGCCCTTGGCCAAGGGTATTACCCTCATTTCGCAAGACGACGGCGTTACTTTGATCAACCTGCTCAAAGATGGCAAAAAGGTGACGGCCTCGATGAACAGCTCGGCTAAGTCGGCCAAGGTGCTTTCCTACAAGGAAAACACAGTCACTGGCGGCGGTCTGAGCAGCTTCACCACCTGGGGCCCCTCGTGGGAGCTCTTTGTCAAGCCCGACGTCGGCGCACCTGGCGGTAACATTCTGTCCACGTACCCCACGGCCAAGGGCTCCTGGGCCGTCCTGTCAGGCACGTCCATGGCCACGCCCTTTGTGGCCGCCTCGGTCGCGCTGCTCCTCGAAGTCCGCGGCAAGAAGCTGCCGCCCGCCACCATCACCAATCTGCTGTCCGCCAACGCCAACCCGCAGCTGTTCAACGACAACACAAAGTTCCTTGGCAAGCTGGCGCCGGTACCGCAGCAGGGCGCCGGCCTGGTGCAGGTCTACGACGCGGCGTTTGCCACGACGCTGCTGGAGCCGTCCAACCTCGCCTTCAACGACACGGCCAACTTTGTCAAGAAACTCACCTTCAAGGTCAGCAACACGGGCAAGGAGTCAGTCAGCTACGACATTAGCCAGGTCTCCGCCTACACTATGTACGCGCTCGGCACGTCGGGCACCCACATCAAGGCGTTCCCCAACGAGGCCGTCGACGCATACGCCAAGCTCAGCTTCAGCCAGGACAAGCTGACGATTGCCGCGGGCAGCTCAGCCTCTGTGGACGTGACTGCCTCGCCGCCCGAGGGTGTCGACCCTAAGCGCCTGCCTATCTGGTCTGGCTACGTAACCATCAACGGCACCGACGGCACGTCGCTGTCGATGCCGTATCAGGGCGTGTCGGGCTCACTCAAGGAGCACGTCGTCGTCGACCCCACGGGCGCCAGCTGGATCTCGTGGAGCAATGACAAGGAACTCAAGGCGCTACCCGTCAACACGACGTTTTCGCTGCCCGCGCCCGGCAAGGCCACCGGTCAGACGCGTCTTCCCATGTTTGTCATCAACATGTCGCTCGGCTCCAAGAACATCACGGGCCACCTGCAGCCCATGACGACGTGCCCGCCCAAGGGCGCCTACGAGTACAAGGGCTACAAGACGATTGGCCAGCCGTTTGATTTCCCGCTGCTGTTTAGCAGTCGCGGCCCTGTGACGAGTCCTTGGGACGGGCAGCTCGAGAGTGGTAATTATGCGCCGCCGGGCAAGTATCGCCTGATTATCCGTGCGCTGCGCGTGTTTGGTGATCCGAATAATGAAAAGGACTGGGACACGTCGGTTGGTAACCGCTTCGTGATTAAGTATGAGTAGAAGAGGCAACGAAGGGCCGTTTATGTATATGTGTATTTAAGTGGGCGCGGCCCTATCTTTTTCATCTAATTTTTTTCTGAAGTATATACGAATAAGCAAATCATTTTGTCATGTATTTTATCATCTAATTTATATTGTTTGATTATTGATTCAAATGATGAGCTGATAAAGTAGGCTGAAGAATCGGCTGAAGGTCTGTCAGCCGTCCGGTGGGACACAGGCCAGGCAGCAGTATTCCTGACCAACCAAAGCTGTTTCTGGGCGCAGCAGGCTTGATTTGCGGGGGAAGGATGGGATGGATTGGTGGGGAGCAGCATTCGTCACTGCAACAGCCATCAGCATTTCCAGAATCACGCCTCGGCAGTTATGTGAGGTTTCTCTTGTTCAACTACTCCTAGGTATTCATCCGCAGCGTTCCCGGGTGTTCAATCAGGTACGGTCGCCACCGTGCTGCTCATGCGACGACGACGACAACACCTAGCTGCCGAAACAACTTGCGACCAACTGCGACAAAGAATGGCACAGATGTCGTGGGACCTCTAGGCACCGACTATTCGATTGACGAACCGCCGTGATACCCGCTCTTCTGCAACTGTCTGTTTTGTCGCTTGCCGCCCGAGTGCGACTACAGAATACGTCTGCCTGGCACGTTTGCAGGCGACGATAAACACCCACGACTTTCCTACAACACATGACCGAATACCATCTTGACCAAAACACATCACATACGATATACTCTCCCGACACTGTCCAACATGGAGACGCTACTCCCCGCGGGCGGCTTTCAGCTGCCCTTTCAGCGGCGCCTCTCGCGTCTCTACAACGACACCAAAAAGTCGAGCGATTTCGTGCAGGCCCCCGTACCCCGAGAGAAGCAGCAGGACCCCGACGTCGCCGGGCTGCACCGCAAGCTGCGCATCCAAAAGGACCGCCTCGTCAGCTGGGGCCTCGAGTGGTCCGACCCCGCCCACCAGGCCGCCGAGATTGACGAGTCGCTGTCGCGCGCGGGCCTCAGTGAAGTCGTCGGCAGCATCATGTCGACTATCAAGGACATTCTCGCCGAGGCTGAGCAGCTCTGGCTGAGTGGTGCCGGCGGAAACAGTGCCGGCGGTACGGGAAGTGCAGCGAAAGACAAGGAAAAGCTGGCGCAGTGGGATCGCGCGCGCTTCGAGGGCCTGGTCAGCGACTTTGCGGCATCAGTCGACACGCTGTACGACTTGTCGCGGACGCGCGGCGCGGCCATGAGGAGGGTCTCGAAAGGTGGTGGCCTGTATAAAGGAGCGGGTATCGAGGCGTCTCGCGCGTTTGAGCCGACGCGTATGCAGACGCCGCAGGTCATTGACCCCGCGCAGCTGACCGAGATCCTACCCGCCACGGACCTTGCCCCCAGCGTCGCCTCGCAGCGCGCCGTCGTGCTCATGAGCAAGACGGCGTACTCGGACATGGCGCAGGGCCGCACCCGCGCACCCTGGGGTCCGCTGCTCCTCGAGTACGCCGCGTTTGACCCAATTTACTCCACCACTGGCATTATGCCGCCGATGGCGCGCTTCGAGAGGCTGTCTGCGGGCCTGCAGCAGGACTCGCAGCGCGCGCCGGGCGCGTGGTCCGGCCTACCGTGGCTGCTGGGCTACTTTGAGGATATGGAAAACTCGCGCTTCGGGATGGTGTACCGTTTCCCGCCGCCCTTTGACACAGCCATTCTCGACAGCTACAAGAAGAGCGCGGCGCACAATGTGGTGACGCTGTGCACGCTGCTGGCGGATCCCGCAATGGAGCCGTCGCTCGAGGCCAAGTTTCGGCTCGCGTACAATCTTGCCAATACCGTCTTTGACATGCATGCGCGGGGCGTGACGCATGGGAGACTCACAGGAGATAACATTTCGTTTTGCAACGAGGGCAAGATGGATGGTCTGCCGCCGAATGCGGTGGTGGACGTACGACGGCCGCTCATCTCGTCGTTTGACATATTCTCGGAAGAAAAGACTGACGATACGCTGCATCACCCTCTAGACCCTCGCTATTCTTCTGCGTCTCCTCTTGACAAGAATACTGACGAGCGCGTGCTCGAGCTGTATGCGCTATCCTTGATGCTCTTGTCGATTGGTCTGTGGACCAGCATCGAGACGCTCCCGTTGGATGCCAGCGAAGCCCCATTTGCGGCTGCCATGGAGCGACTCAAGGTCAAGTGCGGCGGCCTGTACACCAAAGCGGTGCATGCGTGCTGGGAGGCTGTCGACCTGGAGATTGCGGGCGAGACCACGGGCGAAACGCTGCTGTCGCAGGTGCAGATGCGCGTGAGCCGGTTCCTCGAGACGTGCTGCATTCTGGATGGCGTCAGTGGCTTGGAGCAGAGGCTCAACACGGAGATTGAACAAGAGACACACGAGGCGCTGCGCTGGGACGAGTCGAGTGACTTCAAGACCAAGTCTCTGCAGTCGCCGTCACAAGCGCAAACGACTGTTGGCTCCTCTGAAGGCATGATGGGATATGACAGTGGCCAAAACAGGCCACAAACGCAGTCTACAACCCCCCCGAAGCCTGTAAGCAAGGAGCCCAAGCTCAAGCTGTACACACAAGTGCCACTACCCGCCGAAGCGGTTGACAAGTGGAACACGATTCTCATGCCGCAAATCAACCAGGCTCTTCGCCATTTCTACCGCAAGCATCCCGAATCAGTCGAGATATCCCTCGAGTCCATCGGCCTGAGCCCGCAGCAGACGGAGCCTACCGTGCTGGTCGTCTGCTCGTCCGTCGGCAAGGTGCGCGCCATCCTCAAGAAGCGCGTCGGCGACCTCTTTGACGGATCTACTGGATTCGCCCTCAAAGTGTGCCGCGGCCACGTTCTCCGGTCCCGCCGCGTATCCGACTCGGTCCATCGTTCCACAGCCACCGACGACGACGAGTTTGAGGCGGTCAACTCAAAGTACCAGGAACGTCCGTGCAGCGGTGCCAGCATTGGCGCTTGGATTGGCGACCGACACCTGCCGCCGGTCAGCTTTGGCGGGCTGGTGGTGGTGGATGGCAAAACGTACGGCATGACGGTGCACCACATGCTCGATGACCCGGACCGCGATTTCGGCGGCCCAGAGACGCACCGCAGCGCGGCCATCCCTTCAGGCTACAGCATTCCTCAATTCGACAGCACAGACGAGTATGAAGATGATGATGATGATGATGACGGTTACGAGCTATCGGACACGGAATCGGAACCTTTCTCGGAAACGGACATTACTAGCGAGTACGGCGACGAGAGCGATGAAGAAGAAGACGAAGAGGAGCCCGGCGACATTCCCGGCATTGAGCCCGGCTGCGGCGACGGCTACGTGGTGACGCAGCCGGCGCTGGACGACGTCGAGGATGGCTTTTACCCGTGCGCCGAGACGGAAGATGAGGATCACCTCGATTCGTTCAGCCTCGGCCCTGTCTACGCATCGAGCGGCATCCGACGGCGCCGCGAAAATGGCCTCGTGCATGAAGTCGACTGGGCGCTATTTGAATTCGACGACGCCCGCCTCCCCGCCTCCAACGCCATACTCGACGACAACCGCGAGAGCGACGCTCGGCTGCCCCAGCCGACCATGCTCGCGCCGTCGACCTTGCTCCCCGGGAAGCGGGTGCGATGCGTGGCGCGGACGAGCGGCCTCCAGCATGGACAGATTCTGCCAGCGCTGTGCAGTGTCAAGATTTACGGACGCGTTTCCCCGAGCCACACGTACCAGGTGGCGAACCCGGACGCGGGGCCGCGCGCCGCCGCCGCCGCCGCAATGGGCATCCCGGGGGACAGCGGCGCGTGGATCGTCGCGACGGGGGATGGGGCGCTGTGCGGACACGTGCTGGCGTGGAGCGCGAGGAAGCGCGTCGCGTACATGTGTCCGATGGACGTGCTGCTGCTGGATGTAGCGCAGACGCTGAATGCGTGCGAGGTGAGGCTGCCGGGCGGGAAGCCGGTGGTGATGTTGGAGGGACAGGGGGAGGCAAATGTAGAGAAGGCGGCAAAGGAGGAGGAGGAGGAGGAGGAGGAGGAGGAGGAGAAGGAGGAGGAGGAGGAGGAGGAAGAAACAAATGAGGAAGAAGAGGTATCGGCGGCCAAGTTGATGGTGACGACGCCGCCGCCGCCAACGGGCATGACGAGGCTGACGAGGGGTTTGGCGGAGCTAAATATGGGTGTGAATGTGAAGCAGGGCATTGATGTGAGTAGTTGACGGTTCAGGATGGCGTGGGACTGACGGAGTCTTGCGTGGTGTTTTGATGTCGAGTGGGTTTGGCGAATTTGTGTGCATCTTTTTTTGAAAAAGTGTGTGTTTGGTCGTGCGTGGGAAGGATAATACCCAGCGTGTTGTATTTGTTAGTTGCGCTGGCGAGACTTGAATCATGAAGACTATATTGAGTCTCAGACTTGAAGATGTAAGTGAATAGTATATATGGAATTCACTACTTGAACTTGAACTGTGAGCAGATCTACCATGTGAGGATGAATCTTGTCACTCGAAGCAAACGTCTCGTCTTAGACCATGCACATTTCCAAAGGCACAAAAAAAAAAGGATTTTATAATTTTCGAGCTATAGAGGTGCTAAGGATCTCGGCAGCTATACATCCATCTCGGGACGACAAGAATGGCGAGCAGATAGCCGCAGACTTTGCAGAAATAAGCTTGAGTCGTCATCTAACAGCCAAGGGGGCAGACTAGGCAGCCGTTCTCATCCGGAATAGGTGTGCACCAACCAGCTCTATTGCAAATCTAAAGATGGCAAAAAAAAAAAAGAAAAGGGGGTTTAGCACATGGTCTTCTTCTTTGCTTTCCAAAGGCAAGGGACAGAGGGAAGGGGGGGGGGATTTCTTACGGTGATTGGGCATTCCTTGGCAGGGGCGAGGCTCTGATTGTCATCGCCGATAATATAGATCTAGTCGAGCTATTTAAGGTAAGTATACCTCTAGTTATAAAATATATAGTATACTAATAGACTCTAGCTATTAGAATATAAGTATAGCTCTAGTAAGTTATATAGTATATAGATATAGTAATATACTAGGTCTATATTAACTAATATATATAGTATAATATAGTAGTAGTATTCCTTAGTTAACCCTCTAATAAAGCTTTACTAAAAGTAGTAGACTATATAAGCTATTCTATTAATCTTTAAATACTAATATAAGTAAATATTATAAAGTTAACTAAGATTAAGATAAATATAATACTAGCTAAGTTAATTAAGCTATAAAATTCCTTAAGCTTAAAGGTATATTAAGAATCTAAAATTATTTAAAGTATTAAACTTATAAGAACTAAGTTATATTAAATATACTATATTATAAAAATAAACTATAATTAACTTAATATATTTATAAAAACTTACTAAAACTATTATATAAAAAGAATTTTTTATATAATTAATATAACTAAAATTAATATATAACTATATAATAATATTAACTTTAGTACTAAGAACTAATAACTATAAACTAATGATAAGTTATTTAAATATTAAATACTTATAAAGTTAATCATCATTAATATAAATATATTAAATAGTTTTATATAGTTATAATATAAACTATAAACTATTTATATTATATTATTACTTAATATATAAAAGGAAATATAAGTACTTATTAAGTTAGTATTAAAACTTAGTATTTTATATAGACTATGGAAATATAAAAATGACTAATATTTTATATATTTTTAAGATAAAGGTATTATATTAAATTAAAGATTTTATAAATTTACTTTTATTATGATTTAAGAGATTATCTTCTTTTATAGTACTTAAAGAATATTAGGTAATATTTTATATAATATCTAGCTTTATAATATAAAAAAAATAAAGCTATATTTTATATACTATTATCTTTTCAATATTATTTAGCTAAGTATTATAACTATAATATCTTTAAAAGATATAAGGGTTAAGGGATTATGTAGGTTGTTTAAGCGATCAAAATCTTCTTCTTTCTACAGAACAAGAAAAAAAGTGATTGAAAACCAAAGAAGTACGTAAAGGTAGCCAATAAAGGCAACCAATTTTATAGCATTTGCTTGCCGACCAAAACGGGGGTCGCATGGTAGCAGCGTCGTGGGGCATGTACAAAGTTAGGGCCTTAGAGCCGAAGTTAATGCAGTGTTAGAATAAACATTTTGTTAAAATAAGCGTTATCTTCTGTTAGTGATAAAACAACTATCACCTACTGGCGCTTAAACTTGAAAAGTTATTGGAGGTCTGGTCGCACTAGCGTCGGCAGCCTATCTCGGGCTCCCAGTGGCTACTCGGATTCCGTCTCCAGATTTTGAGTGCGACACGTGCGATCGGTCCACCAATTCCGGAATGCCCAGGACAAGCTTTCGGAGTTGGTTGTCCTCATCTCTGAAGAAAGCCGTCACACCGTGTAATGCGTGACGGTTTCTGGCCCTCGCACCGTCGAGAGCGATATGTGTCTGGCCGGGAGTCCTCCTCAATGCATGTTGAAAGGCATCGCGATGGCGCTCGAACTGCGGGATAGCCAAGCTCTGGATAGTCTTGGCAGTAACATGCGCGTCCTTGATATGCACCGCGGGGTTCAAATATTCGAATATTTCTCGCAAGCGTGGGTGCTCAACCTGCCTCGGCTTGGTTGAATCGTCGGGTTAGGTTGTTCGCCAGGGCTTGATCGTTAGGCTCCGAGCGTTTGAGGCCCATGTGGTCTGTGATAGATGCGAAGGCTTTCCTTCCCTCCTTCGTCTGCAGTGGCGTTCGTCGTCGTCGTCCTGAAAGATCTCTGTAGCCGTGAGACTTCCAAAAGGTGGTGCTCGGCATTCTGTGTGCCTTTCGATTCGTATGACTATGGTGATGGTGTTTTTTTGCGCACGCACGGCATGCAGATCCATCACCTGGATGCTTCTGATTGAATCTCAACGCCGTAGTCCCGTTTTCGCGACACTGTATCCTTGGTAGGTTCGGCCAGGGTGAACCCCTTCCAGACGCGGAGTATGCACCGCTCCTCCTCCAAGGATGGCGTCCAAGATGTCAAGAGAATTTTGGCCGCGTCTAGACGGGCAAGCCTCGGGAGGGGTGTACCATCGTGCGTAGACTTGTCGCCAGCCGGTGATGACCGGCTTGGCCATGTTTCAGCAGCCAGCCCCCTCGTGTTGCAGGAGACATGTGTGACGTTACAGAGAACACACGCAATTCAGCAAATACACAAGAGAAAGCAAAGTTGCTCGGAGTAGTGATAACGGCGCGGAATTAAAATGGTTACCCTACTAGTTTTCCTACTGAGGGCAGCGACATCTATCGCTAGATTTGTTGAGCTATACGCTTAAAAAATGGACGCGCCACAACCCCTTATATCATAACACACCCCCCATCTCTTTTAAGGTCTTCTGCCCTGGAAGAGAGGAATTATTTTTAGCACCTTTTACCCATTATTTAGCTCCTTTATAGCCTTATTCTTAGGCTCTAGGTAGCTTTCTAGTAGTCTATAGCTACTAAAATAGCCTATTTTAGTAAGATTTAAACTTAGAGGTATAGGACTTGATAGTAATTTTTAGTAGAAGTTATAGCCTTCCTTAAGAAGGCTCCTAGGCTTGTAACTATTAAGCTATATACTTAAAAAATAGCCGCGCTATAACTTTATAGCGCCTATACCCCCTTATATCACAACAAGATTCGGTAGCATAAATTGCGTGCTGTGGCGACCGAAGGACACCTAAACTTGCTTCCGGGCCTTCCGAGGCTGCAACTCCACTGGTAATTTAGTCAAGTTTTATCAGGGTCGTTGACTTATGTCAGTGGGCCACTCTGGCGATCAAGTCGTCTACGAAAAAGACCGAGTTATCAGCCAGAGGAGCCTGCTACGACGCAGGCTTCGATATTACGGTATAAAGTAGACGCGTACACAAGGCCTTACATTATTATCCCTCATATTCTCCTTATGTTAATAGAAATACCCTACCTCTCTTAGTGACAAATTACCTAGCTCTGAGTCAGTGAACAGCCAGCAGAGCGACAAGACTAGGATAGGTGGTCTTCGCAGCAAAGCGCCAGGGGTAGGTAGGTCAGGCGCGCCAGCGAGTCAACTTAATATAAGCATAAACCATGAGAAAGGCCAAATGCATAAAACAATGGTGTTTGTCTTACGAGCAGCGCGCGCGGCCAATATTCCTGCACGTCAAGTGGCGACTGCCAAAAGCTAATCGCTGCCACACTTTCCCGAGGTAAGCTCAATGACTCGAGATGATAATGCCCATGGGCGACAGAGTGTCAGTAGCTATCGGCGGCATAATAAACCCCCGTCGACATGAGACAAAAACTTTGAGACTGATGGCACTGCTAGCTACCAAAGTTAGCGGCTGATAGTTTATGATGTTTGGTCGTCCCCAACTTTAGTCGTCGTGGAGTATATATAGCAGCCGTCGCCAACAGTCCTAGTTAGTTACAATCATCAACCTCTTATTTCCCATATATCACTACCAACGTATTACTCAAAAATGAAGTTCTCGGCCATTGTTGCTATCCTTTTTGTTGACCTCGTCACGGCTGGTCCTGTGGCGAGAAGAGCCCGTGGCGGCGGCAATGACGTGCCCGATATCAACTCCGGATTCATCCAGCCTCCAAATGATGATGGTGACCTTCCCAACATCAACACGGGATTCATCCAACCCTCAAATGATGATGATGACTTTCCCAACATCAACACGGGATTCATCCAGCCTCCCCCATTGAACGAGAATGCGCCGCGGCCCCTTCCCCTGAGCGGTGCTCGCGATGACAACGCCATTTTTTCCTCTAAAGACTAGAATGTGCGGCTCGTCGGCGAACTCTGAATTCGGCCCGGACACCGTTTGAAAGTTGACAGATACTCTGGAAGTTGAGAACACGCAGCTTGATGTCATGGCCTACTTACTACAATGTTGGCCACGTGATGGCCTGGAACCAGTCGACGCGGTGGATAAGGGCAGCGAATTTACAACGAACGAATTTACATATAAAGTTTGCAATTAATCATATGTCCGCCCAGATTAGAACCCTGCCGTTGAACAGCGGTCAGTTTATGCATTAGGTAATGATTTTTTTTCGTGCAGAGATGCAAAATTGTCGGCCCGACACTCCGTAGTCAAGAAACCATTCGTCAAAAGGTAAGTTATCCCGGCGTGTAATAAGAGTCATGGCTCGCGCCGCGCAGTCATCCCGGCATCGGAAATGTCTAGGTAGACGTTCTGCTGCAGGGCTAGATATAACTCCCGGCACTAACGAACAATGTTCATGCAGGTACTGCAGACACCAGAGTGTCGATGCGGATGAGCCCGTCGGATCATGTACTAAAAGGTGTCGGGTTGGCTCTTTGTAAGCGGTTTCTGGTTCGTCGGCAACCGTGACAAGTATCGGCAACGGTTCACCCGCTCCTCGGCGGATCATTGAGCCGAGTTATTAGATTGAGCCTACCTCTCACCGTCTCATCCGAGTATAATGTCTACGTGGGAAGCAGTATAGGTGGTTATAGTTGGCAACTGTCTGAGCGTCCCATCCAAGCAAAGCTCCGTCTCATATGAAAAGTAGAAAATTAAAACTCTCTTCTAGTGACTGGCATCTGGGACCCTTGCTAGCGTGCTAGTTTTACATGGAGTTACAAGGGGTTATATGGGGTTCCTGAGTAGCTGTACAAATTGTATACGAATTGTTCGTTTCAAGGGGTTACCGGGCTGTCCGTTGGCCTTACAAAGGTATTATCAATTGACAGATAATGAAGGCATTTTGACGACGAGAGAATGTGGTGAAGTGAACAGTTTAAGGCCGCGGTGTTTGAGGCACACATTCAGAGCGCTTTCGCTGCTATCGTAGTAATAATAAAAGTACCTTCAATGCATTAATGGGCCTTTGATTTTTCATAACCATCTCGTTGAACAGAAGTCTTGCAAGAGACTAGGCTGGGCCGAGTCAGAGTCGCAGACCAACTCTCATGATTAGCACCTGATACGCTCACCATATACAAGCTGTCCAGAACCGTTTCTCTGCTATAAATCTCGGACCGGCGTCTACAAGAATGCCGAAGTGTACCCCGGTGTTGTCTCGGAGCATTCTCGCGCTACTTTTACCTAATGGTGGCCATGGGCTGTCCGTATAACGTCACTTATTAAGCGTCCTGTGTTAGCGCTAGCCAGCAACAACTGTCACGCTATTTTCCACTTAGTATTGATGCATATTTGAACCTTGATTGAGCTACTGGGGGTTGGATTTAGTAAGCGCTTGTGGCGGGTCACGTTAGCCGATGGGCATATAGGTATAGACTGTATAAATAGTTACTTCGTCAGGCGTCGTGTCGGCGAAGCGGAGATACATTCACTATTTAAGTGGACTACTCAAGATCCGAGCGAGCCGGTCATGCGCGAGTATAAGACTGATGAGGTGAGTGAACGACTGTCTACATGGATGGCCCATCATTTTGCTGGTGGTTGCCTTTGCAATATATACTCACACTACTTCCAGGGCTTCATAAAAGACAAAGGCCTCCACAGCCCAGTACACACAAAGGTCGAATGAGGAAGAATGCGCAGAGCATCAGTCCCTCTGCAGAATTACCACTGAGCAGATTTTCTCACCGAGTAGTAGTTTCTGGTACAGATTGAAAAGAAAGCCTAGTCCTTCCTCCACGCCGAAAGCTGGGGTTACCAATTATTCCATAGCCTTTGATCATATTGGGTCGCGATAATCAAGCTACCCACAAATGTTTAGTCGCAACTTTGCAAGTCCATGGACGGCGTGGTCCTTTACAAATGAGGATATTCAGCGGCTCGTGCGGGCTCATACGGCTCTCTCGCCATCTTTGGCTCCCAATTTATCAAAAACGGTGGTCATTGTCAAAGAGGGGTCCAAAGAAAGCTAAATGAACATATTCGTCAGACGTCCCTTGGCTCGTCGGGACAGACAAAAGTGACGCGCAGCGCCGACAATGGTTGCCGACATTAGCGCATTTCCCCCTAGCTGGTGGTTTTGACGCCTGCAGGATGCAACTACAGCACTCCGCTCCATTCTAATTCAAGTGTGCTTGTTTAGTAGCCCTTATAATGACTAATAAGCGTCTCCGTTGTCAACCAGCATCCGGGAATTCAACTACAGAATTTGCCTGGTTAGCTCAATCGGTAGAGCGTGAGACTCTTAACTGAGAATCCACAATCTCAAGGCTGCGGGTTCGACCCCCGCATCGGGCTTTTCCTATAAGTACGCGATTGAACCAGGACTTGGTCCCGGATATTTTTTTTACCTTTTTCTACCTGCGAGGTAGGTAGCAACTTTACGTTTTTTCTTCTTCTCTTTTTAACTTCTTCTTCTTCTTATATTTCATGCTTTATATGATGCTCATCTTCCTTCTTACCCCTTTGCCTAGCAATGGCAGTTGAAAAAAATGATGCTTTGATGCTTGTAGAGTCTACATGAAATCATCCTCCCAATCCTCGCTGCGGTTCTGGTTACTTTGCATATCCATATTCTCCTCTGTAAACAAATCATCATACGCATGCTCCTTTTGCCATTTCTTCTCCTTCCACTCCTGCGCCTGTCGCGCCTCTTCCTTTTTCTACGTCCGTATAGATTAGCACAGTCCTATTTCCTTTCCCTTTCCTTTTTCCTTTTCTCAAGCTCCCACGATTCAAGCGAAGCGAGGCCTAAAAAAAAAAAAAAAAAAGAGCTCACCTTGACTTGCAGAGCGGCGTTGGCTTTGCGACGAATTTCTTTATCGTGGTCGTCTTTTTGCTGCTTGAAATCGGGCTGCTTGACCTCGGTTTTGGTCTTGTTCAGCCGGTTGACGATTGCGTTTTCGCGCTCTGACACGAGGACGCGTTTCACGAGACGTGGGTTTTTAAACGAAACTTGGCCAATGTCCATGGAGCCGTCCTTTTTAAGGTTGGACCAGGGCGTGTATATGACGGTGATGTTGTCTTTTTTGTTACCTTGAGGGGAGGAATTTGATGTTAGTTGTGATGGGATTTGGGGGGAGGCTTGGGCGGAGAGTGAGAGGGAAGACGAACCCTCGATGGAATTGGCTTTTGTGAGCTGGGCAAGATCCATGACGAGGTTCTCAGGGAGTGAGTCCCATTGCTGGCCCTCGTTCATCCGGAGGTAAATGTGTGCGCTGGAGAGCTTGTCTACGTGAAACTGCAAAAAGGTCAGCTGCCAGTGATCAAAACAAAAGGGCTGTTGTGTTGCCATCGTACCCTGGAGGTAGCGTTAGCCAGCAAGTATTCGCAGGCACGTCTTGGGGCAGTTTTGGCGAGGGATTATATGCGTACCAGACGTCTTCGTCCCAGCCGAATTTGATGAGGTCCTCGTCTTTTGTCCGGGGGTGTCAGTTTGTTACATTTAGTCCTTACACGCGGTTTCACGGATCCGTACTCTCAAACTTGTCCTTGCCGACATAGATGAAGCCCGGCGGGTCGACCACGGCGGACGTGTAATAGTACACCATGGCGACGCTTTGGTGAGCCAAGGTATATCTCCCAAACTTTATAGCGACCGCAAGCGATTTACGTGTTCTGGGCTTCCGCACTGGCCTGTTCAAATCGTAGAATCGATTGGCTCGCAAAACGTTTCTTTTGTGCCGCCCACTGTGTGGAGAAGCCTGACCTTACGCAGTGAGTTTTTGCACGTGACCGTGATGCTTTTTCTTGTTCCTGTTTCTTCTCTTTTATCAATTTTTGCGACTTTGATTGTTTCTATAGGGTAAAAAATTTAAAATGTTATAAACCTTGCGAGTAGTATTCTGATTGGTTCGGAGCCAAACAGAACCATTTCTCGACTTCTGATGGATTGTCCCGGAGATTGAGACAGAAGGGAGGGAGCCGGGCGCCTAGGATTCCAGCTCAGCAAGACAGGGTGTGGGCACACTAAAAAACGAAGCTGAGAGTGGGCTGATTTTTTCAATCTTTTTTTTTTTTTTTTCATGATTTTTTTTTTCTTTCCTCTTTCGTCTCAGATCAACTCGCAAGTTTGTTCCTCGCAACTCGCAAGGTCAAGCTGAACCCCAGTGCAACCATTGGGTTGGTCGTCGCTTCTTTATAGACAAGAAGAACCATGTTTTGAAACAGTTTAAAGAGAAATGTTTTGGCTTCCCCTCCCCGACACTCCTCGGAGATGCGCGGGACGCTGGTTGGCTGGTAATTACGCTGATGTGTATAACCCTGAACGTGGTTGCACTACAAGAGTCGAGATCGACTCTTTCTCTGTCACTGTCAATTTCGTGGCTGTTTTGAATGCGCTTTTTGATATTTGAATTAATTGTGTCGATTGCATTGCCCATATTGCGCCCGCATCCATGCTCAGAAACCCAACAAACTGCATCCCCATTTTCGCTGCAACCATGATTAATTGTGCCACCAGGCCCGCGAGACATGACTGGCTGGACCTTCTTCATCGGCCTTGTCCGAGGTCCCATAGCTCAACTGAGACTAAAAATCCGATCCGATGAACAACGGATGATCCTAACCCCTGGTCAGCTATGGTTCACCACTCTTCCGGTGCATACACGCACACAGCAGGCAGGACTTCGAATTCACGTGTCATCTCGAGTGTCATGCCTTTTCGCTCTGCCAATTTTTTTCAGCTTCACTCTGGTGGCGATAGTGGAACCCCGGCGTTTCTGGCCAGCTCTATGATGGCCGCTTCTGATGATGCTGGTTCAGCGTCGTATTGTCAGCGTCAACGTCAATCTTTGCCACTTTGAACTGGACAGGACTTACATGGTTGTTGACTGGCTACCGGGCCGTCGCCGACGGAGATGGTGTCCGTCTCGAGCTGGGCAATCAGAGTGGCGCCATCGGTGCTGTTGGGATACATGCCGTAGACGTCAAGGCGCATGGTGTAGGAGCCAGGTGCGGCAATCGACAGGTCGGGAAAGGCAAAGATGATGGTGGTGGCGTCGAGGACGACGCCGGTGGTGGCCGTGGTGCCCTCGAGCAGGCCCTCGGCGACGGCGCCGGACGACGGGTCTAGCAGCACGGCCGTGGTGAAAAAGTGGATGCCGGGACTGCTGGTTTCCTGATCGCTGCTCATCTGGACGACGACAGGCGGCGCGAGGAGCGTCCGAGTCTGGGCGCGACAGGGCGGACGCACGGCAATGACGACGCGGGACATATTGGAGGAAAAATCTGTAGTATTTTGGTGTAAGTGGTGGTGGTGGTGGTGGTGATAAAAAGAGGAGTCGTTGTGCTGCAAGTAGGCAACCCTTGTAAACATGCTAGGATGTTGGGGATCTTATGGATCTTATGTAGAAGGAGAATGAAAAGATGCCAAGCAATAAATTAAAAATTGAAAGACTTCAACAACGGGATTTCAGGCGGATGTTGTGACAAATGTCTGCGCCGTTGTCCGTGTCACTTTTCGGTTCGGCCTTCACTAACAGGTGTCGGGTCGTCGAGGTTCGACGCTCGTATTGGCGTAATACAGTGTACGATGCGAACAGACTTGAGCCTGCAGTTTGATCGGGTACAGACGTCTGGTTTTATGTAGGGACCCGGTCTCGCAAAAAAAAAGGCTTGGGGAAACACAAGTGCCGAGAGCTGGTCGGGGGGTTGATATATGGTGATGTGAGAGACATGTCGTTGCTACGGAGTACAGGGGTGGTAGCTGATGATGCGGAGCGACTTGGCGGCTAACCAAGACTGGCATTTACGGTCGGCCAGCCGGGAAAAACAAAACAAAACTATACGAGAGAAGCGAGGCGAGGATAACGGTGAAGCAAGCGTAGAGAGGGTTGGTCGAATGGGCTGTCTGAGAGGACAATGGGGAATGCGAGGCTGGATTGGCTCATGAGGGTTTGATAGATACGATGGCGATTCAGCCGCGCAGGCGGGCCGATGTGGGTAGTGTGTATACTTTGTCGAAAGAGGAACAGGGTCAAGAACAGGATAAAATGAGGAAAAGAAAGCCAAAGAAAAGCTAAAAAAAGGAGGAAAAAGAAAAAAAGAATAGAAAAAAGGGGGAAACAGGCAGGGAAAAACGACCCGGGGACATGGTAAGCAAGCAGCATGAGGAGCGGCAGGCAGATGGAGTCAACGGGGGCCTGGCGAATGCATCGCGCGTGCATCGAGGCTGGTTCGCAGCAATTGTCTTAGGCCAGGGCTACGCAGCCGACAATGGTCGGTGGCCAATGGCGCCAGTAGCACTGCAGGGTATTCCTCGACGGGCTGAGGGAAGAGAAAAGACTGTGCGCTGGTGGTACGCTGGCGGTGCGCTGTTAATGCGTCGCTGATGTCGTCTGCTGAATTAGAGTTGACATGACGGTCCAAGTCGTTGCCATATGATGAGCGGATGGGGCTTACAGGCGGCCAGGGGTTGTTCTAAAATAATCAGGACCAGTAAAAAAAAAACAAGCCGCTGACAAGTAAACGACCAGGCTGAGAGATAACCAGGATCGGGTATTGACTTGTCGGTTGTCGGGCTCGTCTGAATTTCGACATCGGGGGAGACGAGAAAGTTTGCCAGGGTGTGGCAGTGTGAGTGGAGGAGAGTCCACCATGTCTTGAGGGTGCATTCTCGAAAGAATAAAATCTGCGAATGAGATGAATGGACCGTGAAGATGACGACATCGGAGCGACTTTTTGGTGGCGGCGGATTTGAGTGAGAAAAAAAGGGCAGCATGACAGGGCCAGACACTGTTGACTGTCCCTTGTTTTCAGGCCACGCCAAGCCTGATGGTCGATCCGAGAAAACGAGTGGACGAGTTGAGAAACATTTTCAGCTTCCCTTGATCTCCCCGCCTTCCCTTGCGTTTCTTTGCGTGCGTAGGCCACGTCTACTGGTACGTAAACTTTTGCTTGGGTGCTCTTGTGGGCTTGCAACGCAGGGCATGAAAAAGAGGCGCGGCGGCCAGCGGACCGGTTGACGGACGGACGGGTGGACGGATAGTTGGCACCAAAGCCATCTCGGCATCATGGCGGTCACGGTCGCGGATGCGAGGGCCCAAATCTTGGCGGGCGCGTGCGTTTCTCGGCCGGTGATTGCAGAAGATTTTTTTTTGTTCTATATTTATTTTATTCCCTTTGATGCCGCATCGGTTGGATTAGTGATCGCGGCGCGAGCATACGCTGGCGGGTAGGGCTGCTGTCTCGGGGAAGTTTGTTTGTGACTGTGACTGCGTGCGTGCGTGCGTGCGAGCGCGGCGGAGAGGAAGAGGGAATTCGGAGCCGACGGCGGCAGGCTGCAGGGTGTATCGAAATATATGTGTCGTGCATTGAAAGCGCGGCTGTCGGCGATGGAATAGATGGTGTGTGCGTCGTGGGATGGATAATGGATGATGCATGGTGGATGATGCGTTGTGTGTGTTGGTGTTTGCGCGAGGTGAGCTGTCATGGTGTGCAAGAGGGGGCGCAAACATGTTGAGGAACAGTCGAGGACGGTGACGATGCAAACAATTTTGTAGCACACGATGAAATTTTGCACGGGAAAAATATTGACTTGTTACTGTTTCATTGAAATTTGATCAGTACTTATGATTTTGCTCTTTTGAATGACCCTTTCCTTATTAGACCCTTCAGGCGACCGTCTTTGATCACGTTAGTCAGCTATCGCACAGCGCAGAAAGTGGGATGAGTCTTGATTGGATTTTGACCCAATTTCTATTCGGTCAGTTTTATTCATCGGAAACACATTTTTCATCATGATATTGACTTTTGTTGCTCAATTTTTCCATCGACTTGACTAGCCGAACCGTTGAACGAGGGCTCTGGGTCTACCGTTGGCAATTGGCCAATTGGCGTAACATAAACTCTGCGGATAATTGAAAGGCTGACGCAAGGCGCGAGGCGAGGCTGTAGCTATAATCATGTGCGAGAGCCACGAAACGCAGGAGAGCGAGCATTCTATGCCTGAAAATCATGATGATACTCCCATTAGGAAGCGGTACTAAGAAGCTAATAGTTCTTGGCAAAGAATCCACGTATGAAGCTACTTGCCTAGGAGAGTGTAGTATGGTGTAGGCAAAACGCACCCAGGTACGCTAGATTGCTGATAGCCTCATCACCAACTACACCAAGAATCTTCTCACCTTCCGTTGTGAAGCCGTATCGACAGAACAATCCTATCAGCCGCGCTGTATGGATTAATTCCATGTCTTGCTCCGTGCAGCCCTTGGCCTGTTGCAAAAACGTGGCCCAAAATAATGTTCGAAGTTCATCCTGATTATCGTAGTATTGCCACCCTTCAGCATTCATGAATCCCAGGATATTCTCCACTGCCCATAGTGCGAATCCAAAAGGAAGGACTCTGACTTCTGCCCAATCGACAATGCCTGTGATGTGTCCCGTTCTGGGATCAACGAGAATATTGAGCTCGCACAAATCTCCGTGCGTAACTGAATGCGGCAACTTGGAGAAAACCAGAGGGAGTTGCGACCCAAGCGAAAGCAATGTTTGAGAAAAACGTGCTGGCAGAGTCTCAGCTAAGCGACCGAGCTTGAATCCGTATTCAGCTACTAAAGTCACGGGATCAGATGGCGGTGGTAGTTTACAATTCCACGATTGTGCAAAAAATCTGGCAAATGTTAGCCTCACATTGTTGCACTGAAGAATTTCTATTGTACCTAGCCAGATCTTTGATAGTATTCCTTTGCCGTGATTTGGCGTCATCCGGCTGTGGGATAGAATGGTCCGCTGCTATGATGTAGACTTCACCCGGAAGCTTGTTCATCTCGTAAATATGCAACGGACACTGTTCTCCGATAGTCCCCAGATACAAGATATCAGCCACAAAACCGGAAGCCGCTTGCTCTACAAGGGCCATCTTGGATGGATCAAGAGATGAATGCTCTTCTCTGAATTGTATGATTCTAGAATTGTTTGCGCCAGCTGTCACCGTATAACTCCAGACGCCCTGTACCTGAACGGGCTGCGCCGGAGTTTTGAATCGAGACATGACAAAAGTATCACATTGCTGTCTGCTGACAGATGTGCTGGACTCAAAAAAATAATTGATAGAGTCGTCAATATCATATGCCTGAGCCATTATCACGACATTAGGGGATAGGCTGGAGAGATTGACTAGCGTGTGAAGAACAGTGGCTGACATTTTGAGTTAACCCGGTCGTAGCTCATAGCGGAGCACATGATAACCCCGTAAAGCTCACCGAAACCTAGTATTATACTACTATATAATATATTATTAATACCTACTTTTATAAAGCTATTTTCTAGTTTTAAACATAAATTATTATAATATAGAATTTATAAAATGATTTTTAATAATTAATATTTTTTATAAAATATTTATTAAAATATTAATATTTATTATTATTATTAATTTAAAATCTATATTTAATATTCTAAAATAATACTTTTAAATAATATATATTAAAAGTAATCTTACTTAATTATGAATAAAAAAAATGCTATTATAATAATTACTTTATAATATTTTTAATTTAATTTATTCTTCTTAGAAATATATTAATTCTAAATTCTACTTTTTGACTTATACTCTCTGGGATACGCTGAGATGAAGTGCGTTGATATAGTTTGTGCTTGATAAGTTCGAAGTTTAAAACCTTCAAGTCTATTTTGAGGGTGCATGGTTGTCACCAGAGCTCAGCTGTGCACAAAGGTGATCACAAGAGGGAATGTAGCTCATCTGCTCGAGTGGTTGGCTTTACTCCGAAAAAGGATGAGCCCAATTGTGGCGCTAGATTCAGCAACAGCTCGACCCCAGCCCCTCAGCACCCATTTTGACGCCTTTTAACATTCATACGGCATTGAACGGCGTGCGCCCTGTAGAGACTATCCTCGGAACACCCAATTCCTGCAGCATTTGAGTTGCAATAGCTAGGGTGGACAAATCCAACCCTGATATCTGTTAGTCGCCAGTCATAGTTTTGCGTTATTGCGCAAGTATCTACCTTTCGAACCGATGAGCGAAGCGATGACGCCATAGCTTTCATCACGCTGGCTCGTGGAGGAGAATACGGCAAGCTGGCCCACTAACACGTCACATTCGAATGATTAATAACCTGCTCAAGATTGCCGGAAATAAAGATGTATACCTGGAACAACGATCTCAGGCTGGCCTGCCATCGGGGATTGGAATGCTGCCCGGAGGCCCCATCCAAACTCAGCCTTATCTCTTAATTCAGGACTGAGATTTCAAAGTGAGAAAAGAGTTTAGCACCCAGACCACTTCTCCAAGCTTGGAATAGATGGTACTGTAAACTTACTCTGGTCTGTACATGTCTCGGCTTTCTGGCTCTCCAAACTTAAACGGTGGGATCATGATAGCGTTGTTGCCAAAGATCGCTTCAATAAATCTCTGAAACTCTTCGCGCTTTGATCGAACGGTGGAAAAGTGTTCTTCGGTCATGTTACTGCCTACTGTCCAGCGGAATCTGGACAGTGGATTGACGTACGGAGGTCGACCGAACTTTGCTCTATACTCGTCTCGAAACGAGGCTCTCTCGTGAAACTGCCCCCGGACCACATGATCATAAAATACCTACGCCGAGTAAGTTATCCAATCTTTGGGTTGATATATTGGGACTGATGCATCTACCTCCTGAAAATAGTCCTCGTAGACTTCGTCTGAGCCGGGATGGACCTTTTCCCATTCTTCGCGGAAGTTGACATGGCGCCTGTTCACGCCCAAAACTTTTTCCAGCGCTGTGACCGCCTTGTCATACAGAGCTTGGGCAGCTGGGTCCTCCACGGGAAATAAATGCGTTGGATAGATTATCATCGGGGTTTCAGAAAATGTCTCCTTCTCAGCGACTCCTGATACTGTCTCGATATTGTAGAGATGGCTGGAGACGGTTTCGAGGATTCCCAGGTCCCTTGAAAGAATTCCTATCGCATCTAGGTCGCTAGAGCGAGCAGAGTGTTAGTCAAAACTCATATCATCGAAGCCTGTCGTGTCTTTCAGCTTTCTCAGCCTTACCGGTGAATGATGACTGTTCCATCAACACTTAGCACACCTCTAGAGGGTCGCAGTCCAAATACAGACTGACTTGCCGCTGGCTGCCGTACACTCCCTCCGGCTACAATTGTATTAGAAACTTGCGCCCCGGGAAGGGTTTGTCAGATCATTGGTCTTGAGACTTACAGTCCGTACCAATGGTAAAATCAATCCAATCATAAGCGCCCGCTGCAGCGCCCGAACCAAAGCTGCTTCCGCCTGGCGACCGATTACCATCTCCGCGCGGATTCCACGGAGCATGGAAGTCAACAAAGTCGCCTGTAGGATCTTCTGCATCCGCAAATTGGCTCAGTCCCGTTTTACCGATAACGATCGCGCCAAGATCGAGTAATCTCTGGACTGCAGGGGCGCTCTTGGCTTTAGCGCCATAGAAATGCCCATACGACAAGCAGGATGCAAAGGTCTTTACCCCGGCAACATCTATGTTATCCTTGATGGCGACTCTGAGGCCATTCAATGGCTTTTCCGGTGTCGGAGTATGATATAGACGAGACGGTACAGCAACAGCTCTGTTTGGGCTGCCATCCGCGGTCGTAGCTGCGAGGTACTTGATGCTAAATAACGGTTTAGTGGAGGGGTTAAGTTGATAGACATGGAGACATTCGAATCACATACGTCTGAGAAGGGGATTGCACTAGAGACGCGACAAAGGCGGCGTAATTATCAGGAAATAGTTTCCTGACTGGCAGCAGACCGTCGGGCGTAGCAAAGTACGGTCCCTCAGCAATAATATCAGCTGGGAGCAGAGATTCATGAGCCAGGGCAACCCGTTCGGTACCCAGCGATTTTAATCGACTTGCAAGCTCAGGCGCTAGAGAATGACTGGCGACATTGTCTCCATGATATACAACCACTACACAGGCCAGGAAGTGGCGATCCCAGACATCATCGTGCCCCTCAAAGCGACGTATTATATCTTCTAGATCATCTAGAGAGAGTTCCGAGACACCATCGGCCAAGGTAATGAGGGTCGTCGGGATTAGACCTGCTGGAACTTGGATGCGGAGGGGGTACTGCGTCCAGATTAAACACCAGAGCTCATTGCAAAACATGGTACAGTACTAATGACCAAAAAAAATGACGAAAGGGGGGGCAGCAGACCCGATGCGCCAGGGAGAGGCCAGACAGGAGAGACGCGCGGACCCAGCCACTCAAGATCGTCGGCGCAGGTTTAGATGATGGAATTTGAAGAGACGGAAACTCAGCAGCTCAGCAAAATCGGAGAAGAAAGATCCTGAAGGGAGGAAAGTTACAATGGACGGCAACGATCCTTGGCGGTCGAATCTTGCATCGCCCGCATCGCCGTGCGGGTGTAGCACGCTAATGAGCGCAGGCTGACTTCTGCTTGGTTTGGCAGGGCGATCCGACAGCTGGAAGGTCATGACGAATGTCCAAACAAGGCCGAGGAAGACTAGAAGATGTGGGAGGAACGGTCGACCAAGCCGTCTAGCAGTGACACTGGCGCGCGGTAGTTTCGATGATGGGCCGTCATTTTTGAAAGGGGTCTGCATTTCAGCAATCCTGCGGCTAGTCAAATCCGCTTGCTGGGCAGGGCGAGAAGATTTGAACAATCGATGACTGTTCCTGTGGGCAAGCGCCCAGGTCGTTTACGTGTTGCGGGCTGTCCCAAGTGGTACAGAGAATGGTCCTGCACGACCATGGCGGATATTATTAGTTTAGTGTAAAATAAAGGACTTGTTCAGATCTAGTAAGCTACTAGTGACTTCTAACCGTTAGGTTATTAGGGCTAGATAACCTATTATAGGTTGATATAGCCTAAGCCTATCTTTAAAAATAAATATATTATTCTATAATATTAGTTTTTATTACTTATTTCTTTTATTAACTTAAAGATTTATATAGCCTAAGTCTATCTTTAAAAGTAAAAATATTATTCTATAATATTAGTTTTAATTACTTATTCCTTTTATTAACTTAAACTACTTAACTACTAACTTACTTAATTACTCTAGGTCTACTATTAGTACTTAGCTAGTTAATTTGATATAAACTTAAATATTAAGTTAGTTAAAAGGCTAATATCAAGTAAAGGATAAGGCTATAGCTATAGCTATATATAAGAGCTATAAAATAATAAGAAAGTAAGTATTCTATACTTACAAATAACAGGAAAATCATAAGAAAATAGTCTAATTAAATATAGACTAAGAATAGTAGCATAAATTACTACAAGCCGCTCGCCGGAGCCGAGCCAAGCCGTCGTGGGGCATGGCGTCACCAGGATTGAGCATGGCTTTTAGCGGCTTTGGCGGGAGATTTCCGTCAGTTCCTCGTAGCGTCGCTCTACCAGCAAATCAGCAAATTGCATTTCCCCAAAAGGCCCTCGAAAGGCCCCTTGTACGTAAGAAACTGCCCAAAAGTGCCCGCATCCGACTTTAGCTACCCCGCCCTACCTGACCTGCTGCCCCGCCATGCACAACCCAAGATGCTCGCTGCCCCTCCTCTAAAGCCTCCTTTTGCGCCTCTAATCCATCAACTTCCTCTGCTCGCCGCGGCCCCTCTCCGAGTCCGTCTCATTTTTCATCGGCCATCCTTTCCGGCGCCGTTTGTCCCATTCAGCCACAGCATTTCTTCTCCGACTGCTTCGTTGCATCTGCGGACCCTTGCCCGTTCATCACCACCACAACTCGCTGCTCGTTCATGCCCCTCGCCCCGGCGCAACTTCTCGCAATACCCCCCGCGCAACATCACCTCCACCATGGCCCAAGACTTTGAGTCTATTCTCAAGGGCAAGTACCCCGGCAAGGCGCACGCCAAGCGTGTCGTACAGATCCTTCGCGAAAAGGGCGCCGCCGCCGATGGCTTCATCTACCTCGAGGCCCGCCACACCCAGATGCAGGAAGACAATGACGGGCCTGTGCCATTCCGGTAAGCCAACATTTTCTCTCTTCCCTCCATGTCCCCTTTACCAATTCCACACCACTAACTTTACAGTCAACGCCGCTTCTTCTACTACCTCACCGGCTGCAACCTCGCCGACTGCTACTTCATTTACGACATCCAGGCCGACAAGTCCACCCTCTTCATTCCTCCCATCGACCTTGAAGATGTCATCTGGTCCGGCCTGCCCACCACCATTGACGACGCCCTCAAGCTTTACGACGTCGACGACGTAAAGCCCAACACCGAGCTCTCCGCTACCCTCGCCAAGCTCGCCGCCGCCAGCCCCAAGACCACCGTTTACACCATTGCCGGTCAGGTCTCGGACCACGTCTCCCTCGACGTCTTCGGCGCCAAGGACCTCAAGGCCGTTAAACCGGCCATCGAGCTCGCTCGCGTCACCAAGGACGAGTACGAAGTCGCCCTGATTCGCCGCGCCAACTACGTCTCCGGCCTCGGCCACATCGCCGCCATGAAGCGCGCCAAGTCGGCCAAGTCGGAGCAGGAGCTCGAGGCCTCGTTCCTCGAGCGCTGTTACTCGTACAACTCCAAGGAAATGTCTTACCACCCCATCTTTGCCAGCGGCCGCGCCGCCGCCACTCTGCACTACGTCGACAACACCTGCCCCCTCGACGGCAAGCAAAATGTTCTCGTCGACGCCGGCGCCGAGTGCAACAACTATTGCGCCGACATTACCCGCACCTTTCCCATCAGCGGCAAGTTCACCAAGGAATCCCGCGCCATCTATGACATTGTCCTCAAGATGAAGAATGAGACTAGCGCACGCCTCAAGGGCGGCGTCAACTACGACGATCTCCACGTTCTCGCCCACACCATTGCCATTGACGGTCTGCTCGAGCTCGGCATTTTCAAGGGTGACCGGGAAGAGATTCTCGCCGCCCGCACATCGGCAGCTTTCTTCCCCCACGGACTTGGCCACCACCTCGGCATGGACTGCCACGACACCTGCGGCGGCCAGAACCGCCAGGACCCGGACAAGCTCTTTCCGAACCTGCGTCTGCGCGGCATTGTGCCCACCAACTCTGTTGTCACTATTGAGCCCGGTGTACGTGTTCAAACGCCTTTTTCTGGGTACAAAACTAACTATATAGGTGTACTTTTGCGAATTCATCATCAAGCCCTACCTCAAAGACCCCGTCCACAGCAAATTCATCAACCAAGACGTCCTCGACAAGTACTGGGACGTCGGCGGTGTCCGGTAAGCAGTAAATGTACTTTAATAAAGACTGGCACTGATTGTTTTAGCATCGAGGATGATATTCTTGTCACCGAGACGGGTCACGAAAATCTGACCAAGCTACCCACCACGGCCGCCGAGATTGAGGCCATTGTCGCCAGCGCATAAACAGACCAAAGTCGTATATACAGAATACCTTATAAACCAAATTGAAATGTGTAAAAATTCGAGTACATGATGGTAAATATGAGAGTAATGAATGCTGCGAAGACGCAGCGTTGGTAGGCTGCTGCGGCGCACACTATGACATGCAGCTCTGTGGTCGCACAACGATTGTGCGATCCGTGCTACTCGATCTACTCGCTAATTAAATCAAGTCTAAATTAAGATTGTTCCATTCTTTCCCCTGATTGCATTGCAACTAGTCAAGACCATGACCCTTTTGGTCGGTGAGTAGAACGCCATGGCTTCCGCTACTGACGCCTCACTGGCTCTGTAAGCGCTGGATTCGACACTAAATTCTGAGTGGCCCAGAAGCCAGGTCTAGCAGCAAGATACGTTGATCTTACTCGACGCTGTTGGCCAAGTTTTGGAAGAGAATGGAGTTGTTGCCATCGAATTGTGATGTTCTAGATCATATTGGCGCCGTGTCGCCAACGCAGAGCTGCATCAAGGACCCGTCTCTCCGAGTCCTGGTTATAAAAAGAGCCGTAGTAGAACAATGAATTGCGTCTTCACAGACATTCTCACATATCAACGTCTGTAAAAAGATTGAATATTCTTCAGCGAATACCCATCATGCAGAAATTGACTCGTGTTTTCACCGCACCAACTTACACCGAGGCGGCCACTGCCACTGCCACTCAACGCTTCTTCGACGTCCCCGACTCCCACGGCCTGCACCTGGCCTACACCACAGAAGACCATGCCGGAGACATTGTCTTCATCCACGGCCTAGGCGGCTCTCCTCGCAAGACGTGGTCACGCGGCCACGGCACCGGCGCCTTTTGGCCGCACTGGCTGAGCGACGACGGCCCTGCCGCGCCATCGCCGCACGGCGACGGGGACGCCCTCTCGCGGTTCCGCCTCTGGGCATTCGGCTACAACGCCAAGTTCAAAGGCCCGCAGACCAATCTCGAAATCGCCGACTTTGCTACAGACCTGCTGCTGCTGCTGTGCGGCGAGACGCGCATCCGCGAGAGCGGCCGCCGCGGCCGCCGCAGCACGCCGATCCTGCTAGTCGGGCACTCTCTCGGCGGGCTCGTGGCCAAGAAGGCGTGCGCGATGCTGGCGGCGGCGGGGCACGCGGGGCCTTATGCCGCGCTGCGCGGCCGCATCAGGGGTATTCTGTTCCTGGCGACGCCGCACCGGGGGTCGCCGTACGCGGGCGTGCTCAACAATGTGCTGACGGTGGCGCCGGCGGCGGGCGGGGCGTCGTCGCAGCCGTACGTTGCGGAGCTGGCGGCAGGGTCGGCGGTGGTGCAGGGCATATCGAATGAGTTTCAGGACGAGGCGCAGGGGATGCTGCTGTGCTCGTTTTACGAGACAAAGAAGATGAGGGTCGGCTTCACGTCCATCATGGTAAGTCAGGACAGCAGCTCGTGGGGTTGGACAAAGCTGAATGTGTTGCTGATGAGAGAGGCTAGGTCGTCGATGAAGCATCGTCCGTCATGGGCTATGCGCATGAATTGTCCTATGGGTTGGAGGCAGATCATCGTTCCATCTGCAAGTATCGCAGCAGGAATGATGAGAATTTCTGCAAGGTCAAGGCTGTGCTGAAGATGTGGACTTGCCAGCTCGTATCGATTATCAGTGGGTTACACCTCTGGGCATAGTACATTCTGACGACTAACAGCACGGATAGGTCAGCAAGTTGTCCAGTTGCACGGCGAACGCTTTCCATACCAGCTTCATCCATGCTGGGACTCGGCGAGCTTGGAAAGTCTCGACCCGATGCACGTGGCACTGTTGATGAGGCGGCTCTTGAATGGCGACGATACAGAGCCTGCTATGAACCTATATCAGGCCTAATCCACATCAATGAAGGTGTGGGTCCGCATTTTTTACTACGACACCTGCGGCACGCATTCGGTATTTGCTGGAAATAGACGACACATCTTCTGCGAGGCAGGGTGATGCGACGTAACGCGCGCATGTGCAACACTGTGCACGGCAACACACATCATTTATTGGCTGACCTGTTACTTTCAGTGTGATCAAGTACCTTGTAGAGGCAGTACAGCAGTTTTGTTTCGACGTAGTAAATGGGTTGACGCCGTCTCTGAAAAGAATTCCAACGTACTGACCAGTTTATGATAGTGAGGAGGAGGACGAGTCCAGAACTACGGACGATGAAACTGAGCAAGAAGAAGAGGAGGAGGAGGAGAGGGAGAGCGAATTTGTTTATAATGAAGCGGATGAGTGCTTTTGTATGTACACGTAGATGGAGATTTGAGTTGGACAAATAGGAAGACGCTTTGTGAAACGCCTGGCGAGGCGGGTCCTTGAACAGGCGCCACATAGATAAAGTTCAGCAACCACAACTAGCTTAGATATGCCGCTGCGCATAGATTCGACTTATCAGATCGAGATTAAAAACCTCGATTGTTTCCATTTACAACAGAATTGATGCATAAATCGTGAGCTGGCCGTAAATTATGCCCAGGTTATTAACCTACAATACCTTGCTTGTCTTGGCACTGGCAAGGGGGGGACCCTCCTGTAAGAGAAATGAGACGTCCCCTTTTAAGAGCCCAACAATTCTTTGCGGCGACAGCGCACAACCACCATCAAGCCGAAATCCTCCCGGATGAACTCCCCATACGGCATGTATAATATCCCTCGCCGTCCAGTCACCAGCGCCGCCTCGCCTGGAGATCCGCCACCGCCGTACTCGTGTCTTCCTGAGCCACCGCCACCGCCGCTGCCGCCTCGCCTGCTGCGGTCCAGCAAGTCGGCCACGGGTCTACACGAACCGCCCAACTTTCAGCAACAAAATCCCCATCATCATCAGCAGCAACAACACTTTTTACACCCAGAGAGACCGCCTCCATGCCCCCTCTCCAAGGACAGGCAGGCGGTCACGCTGCCCCCTGGCTTCGTGTTTGACCACGCACCATCATCATCATCATCCTCATCACCGTCGCCGCCGCCGCTGCTGCTGCCGGGCAATGATGCTCTCCGCCGGGCCAAGAGCTCCGGAGATTTGCGCCGCCCGCAGACGGCCAACGGCGCAGAGCCCGCTGCCACTGAGACGGCGGCGTGGTCGTGGAAAAGAGCGTTCGATGAGGCGCAGTACCTCGCCGGCGGACTCATCGGCAGCCCCGCGGAATCAAACAGACACTGCAGCATCATCCGGCACTCGAGCGCCCTGGTGTGGTACCGCGGGCCAGCCACCACCGTCACCGTCACGATCCTGGCCGACGAGCCGCTGCCGCCGACGCGCACTCTGTGGCTCCAGCAAAAGGGCTTCTCCGGCGGCCTGGGCATGTCGCTCAAGGCCATGGTCGGGACCACAAGCGACTGGCTGGACGTGACGCCCACGACGCGCGCCGAGGCCGCGCACTTGGCCGTCAACGAGGAGCGCGGCGTCCAGCGCGACTTGAGGCGCTTTCTGAACAAGGCGACGGGGAGGACGACGAGGCACCTGCCGCGGGAGACGCACATTGTGCGGATCCCGGCCGCGGCGCAGGACGGCTACTTTCGCATCGTGCTATGTCCAGCTCAGGACGGCAAAAAGATACTGGGGAGCAGCCCCGTGTTTCGGCTCGCCAGCACGTCGGCCGACGTGAGCGTGATGCGCGGCGCCAGCCTCGGCAGCATGCCGCTCGAAGTCGGCGCCAAGGTAGCCAGCGCCGTAGCCAGCGGCTACGTCGCCGCGGCGACCGGAGCGGCCGCGGGCGTCGCGAGGATGGGCGCCGGCAAAGTGGCCGGCAAGGTGACGAGCGTGGCGGCCAAAAAGGTTGCCAAGAAGGCGTACCGCGGCTACGAAACGTCGGGCTTCAACGACGCGGTCAAGGCCAGCTGGGCGACTAGCACGGCGGCGCGATACGAACGCGCCGTGTCGTCGGCCATGATGGAGCCGACGGTGGGTGTCATTGGCAGCGAAGAGGGCCCGGAGGCGCCGTTTCCGATAAAGTGCACGGGTCGCGTGGTTCAGGGCTCCGGGTACACGCTGGCGCGGTACGGCTTCCCGACGGCGAACCTGGTCGACGTGCCCAAGGATCTGACGATGCATCTGACGGGCTCGTTTGCGTCGTGGGTGCGCGTCATCTCTGGGCGGATGAAAGACGAGGACGAGGACGACTTGGCATGGTACGAGGCGGTCACCACCATAGTCCCCGCGGAGAACGCGGCGCCGAGCGTCGTGGCCAAGAACCGCGTCGCCGTGCACATCCTCCACGACCTCGAGGCCGCAGATCTACGCGGCGCCTCGCTGCAAGTTCTCCTCATGGGATTTCTGCGGCCGCCGAGCGGGACGACGGCCAACGACGACGACGACGACTTGGACGCTGCGCTGCAGCGGCACGCGGATGATTTGCTGACGACGCTGGCGACGCTCGCGCGAGACCGGTGGCAGCCGCGGTTGACGGTGGAAGGAATGAGGACGGCGCGCGCAAGCGACAGGACGTGGGGGCAGCGGCTGGACGGCGTGACGGGGACGGTGGCGGCGAGCATGGACAGGGTGCCGGTGCATCGCGCGGGGATACGCAGCGAGGCAGGGGCGCTGAGGGATGCGAGTGTAGGGAAAGGGGGGCTATGGATTCAGAGATGAAAAGATGAGAATGGTCAAGAAGAGCTTGATATGGATGTGCTGTGGGGAGTTGTTGTCGTTGCAGTCAGTCAGTGTGTGATGGGCAGTGGTGCAGTATGCATGTGAATAGCATCGCGAGGGAGGTGACGGAACCAACAAGGGATAGAACAGAAACACGTATAACCGTGTATTTTGTGCAAGTACAAGGCAATATGTGTGAGAAAAATAGGCACAAATTTTGTGTTGTAGCCGAGTTTCCTGTGATAGTAGTTGCTAGCTTACGCAGATGGTTCCGTACACGGCCTCGTAGAAGCCGTGCTGGCTCCTTTGCTAACCGACAAGCCTTTTGAGTTATAGATATGAGTCTAGATGCTTTACTGTACTTCTAGAAGTCACTCAAATATAGCGACCTCTTTTATCACGGCAGAGCTGAAATGATCAGAGCCGTCTGCGATGTAGCCAGAGCTGTGAGGTTATCTCGAAGTGTTTCACTGAGACTTCAAGATGATTCGGGGGAGCTCACATTGACAGGTGTGCCTCTATTCACCATGTTCACTAGAGCATGCTCGTCGGCCATGGTTCATGATCTTCAAACTGTTTGCACAGCCACCCAATGTACACGCACCAAGACGATACGACCCCCCCTTATAAGCACTCTTACAGCTACTACACTGCTCACTGCTGCCATTACGAAACAACTTCGAAGCTCAACGTGTATTTCACGCTACTTGGCCAAATGGAACACGCATAAGCTCATCTGGCCATCCTGCTGTCTCACAACTTCTCTTTTTCCCGAAACCCTCACGTCCAGCGCACAGCTCATGACAAGGTTACACCGCGGTCCTTTTGAACAACAACTGTCGTACAGACGTACAGAGACGTCACAACTCTTCCACGACATCTCTCGGCTTCTACTTGGAACTTTCTTGATGTATGTACCGTCTGGGGTAGGACACGAGTAACAACGCATTGGAAAAATACGACCATGGTGTCTTTGCAGTAAATTTTTTCACGTCCCTTCGTGGGCAAGACGCCATCCATCTTTTCCGTTCCCAAACAAAACCCTGTTTTCTACTCTGTCCAAAACATCCCCTATTGACACACTTGTCTTTCTACAACATTGCAGTGTTACCCAGAGATAGCAAGTACATAGTCAGTACCGAAAGCAATCGTGGTATACAAGATGCAGTCTGCAACCTGTTTTTCACCCACCTCCCAAAACTTGCCTCTAGACGATTCCATTCACAGTTAGACTTCCTCAATCGATATTGACAAGGAGGAAAAAAAAAAAAAAAGTACATGGCCATGCCACGCTGGCCATCCGCAAAGTCGCCACCACATCGGGCCGTCGTCCTGCCGGCCCTGCATGACCCTACCTGCACACTGCCTATCAAATGCACATGCGTATATTGCAAATGTGTTCCATTTCTGGATCACGCCTTGTCCATCACGATAACGCAATCGTTTTATACCAACCATGCCCTTTTTGATGCATTATAAGGCACGATAGCACGCCTGCCGCACGCTGTCGGGCCGGCACGATACAAATCAATACACAAGCCACACCAGAAGCCGCTACAGCTGCACCTAGCAAGGATAGCTTGTTGTCGCTCGAGAACCTTGTGACCCTGAGGTATTGATATCTTGCCGCCCATTGGATAAGATGGACTGGCGGGCCCTCGGACAGAGCCATAAGCAGGTTTCCGGGTCAGTTGTAGCTTGCCTTACCCTTTCCCCGCCGATTGCCATCATCAAGGTCGGACCCTGTTCTGCGCCTTGCTCGCAAAGCGTCGCACTACCCTTCCCTGCATAGACGTGAAGCAATAGAATGCTCTGCCTGTATGATAGTTACAGACGAAAATTCGTTCTAGCCAACCCACCAAACGTCGATCACCAAGACGGCTATGAGTCTAGACCATTTGCTGCAAACCGCAGATTTGCCACCCACACCAATTCCTTTGTACAAGTTGGTTGCTCTACTTTTCCAGCCTAATGAAACGAGGCTGAAGAACGTTGACCGCCTACGTCGCAAAAGCAAAGCCAGCAGGTTCGCCGACCTTTGCGGCCTCATAGCCACTGGCCACGGCATGGCGTCCTCTGATGCCTCATTTTTTGAACGCAACGACGTTGAATGGGGCAAGGCCAACACAAGCGTCGCCCGTTGTGCGCGGCTGTGTCTTCTTCTTGATAGCGAGCTATACATGCAGCGTAGATAGCGATGCGGTTTAATTGCGCACATGCTGCTCTTTAATAGTGTCTCAAAGGCACCTGCGGCGTCTGCGGTGCGGCGTGGCATACGATAAGGTCGCCGGTGTTATAGGTGCATGCAGCTCCAAGCCTGAGGCTTCCCTACCCCTGGCGCAGAATAGGTTACACAGCTTTGATAAAGACTCTTCATTCCGGACAGGTTTGAGGCAGGGCTGTCAATACAGACAGAACAAGCTGCATCGAGGCCTTTGATGTAGTTTGACCAGACGGCCCAAATGGCCCGAAGCGTGCCAAAATTCGGATGACAGTTCCCCAAAAGCTAGTCAATCATGTTTCGACAAGCTGCAAATGGCTTTTTGAGAGCCAAGAGGAAAAACTGGATAGAAACGCCACGATGGAGACGCCAAACGGGCGGGTGGAGATGGCAGCGAGCCAATGCAGGCGTGCATGCTTCTCGTACTCTTTTACATGCCTCGCTGCCTTGCAGCGCAGGCTGCCACTCGGTGTGGACTATTGCGGTAACTCGGATGCGTCAGACGGAGGGCAAATAACGCGAGGCATATCACTGCTGCCAAGAGCAGGATGCAGAGGGTGAGGGGGCGGGCTGCTATGTAGTCTCGGCGAGCTGCTGATTCAACGGCTCGTTGCGTGGCACCGGCGCCTTTGACGCATCGCGCCAGTCGCGAGATAATGATTCTGAATCGTTGAAAGAAGCCATGGGTTCTTAATAATTAGTGATGTACGGACGTGCTTACTTCCACTACCAAGACAGATGCGATTGTGCTGCAGTGGGCCGTGTGCAGCGGCTACGCGACAGTGTAACTGCGATATTGGGTATCCGCCAAGAATCGTTATCGTCACGGCTTCCTTCACAAAGACGGCTTGTGAGCGCCGTTGAGCCTCAGTAGTTATGGATTCGGCTGGCAGCAGATAAGAATATCGTGAGGTGGGGCCCGCCGTGCGGTGGGTACGGGAACGATCCTTTGCGACCGAGCTTGAGAGGAGTGCATGCGGGTAGCCTTTTTGAAAGACTTCAGCCTGCAGGTGGTGTTGATGGTGTATACTTTTGATGATTTTAGAGACGAGGCTTAACGGCGCATGTTCCCAGCGATGAGATTGGACGACTAGAGCTCTGGTGGCATTACTAAAGACATCGTCGGATACACGCGAATGCGTCCAATTTCAACAGTTGTGATATACAAGGCTAACCGCCAGTCGAATCAGGTGTTTGCCCATGTTACAGAATCTGCAGTGGCTGGCGTCTTTCGTGATGCTAGAATGTCTGTGCAACGGTACACAGCAACGCAAGATGAAGAGCTTGCGCGATCGACATGCTTGTGTTGGCATGGAGCGGCCGCAAGACTAATTACAAGTTAACGAGCAGCCATTGCCAGGTTGTTAGCAGCATGCGCGACGGTGGAGAGGAACAAAAATACTTGCCCTGCTAGCGCGGGACAGGCGAGCATCAAGGTGCAGGCTGTGCCACTGTGGTGCGAGCGATCGAATCGAGGAGCCAACCAGAGCGACCCGGGGAGGGGGAATGCGTGGTGAAATGGATGAGAGAGGGGGTTACATGACACAGGCGGTAAGAGATTGCCACTTGGGAGATTTGTCGCAGTGTGGTTGCGGAGTTGAGATGCTGTGGCTTTTTGATGCTAGAAGTTGTCAAATGTGGCTTTCGAGTGAGATGGTGCGTCTCTTCAATGCTAGAGCTTGTCAAGTGCGGTCGCAAAGTTGAGATATGCTATGACTCTGTGATGCTAGAGTTTATCAAGTGCAGTCCGACGCCTAGAGGCCAGAGGTTAAGCCAAGCACTCGACAGCATGGCCATGGTCTGATGTTAGAGTCGCTCGCCGCTGACTCGCCGCTGGTCATGGACATGTCCGGACGCCATTCTCCGTCGAGGACGCTTGGTGGATTTCTGGGCGGCGCATGCCTGTATTGGTGACGGCACCGTGCAGCACAACGCGAGGTCCAATTTTGGCCGTGTCCACATTTCTTGTGAGGTGACAGCAAACCCACATGGCGGCATCGTCGATGTGTTTTTTTTTGGCCGCGTCAATGTCCGCCGTGGACGGGGCTCTTGTGTCTCATTAGACTCTTTTCTTTTTCTTCTCTCTGTTTTGTTCCTTGGCTGTTGCATGGGTTCGCTGTCTTGTCGGTTCGCATTGCGCCCCGATGAGTTGCCAAGAAAGGTCGCGAGATGCTAATGTAATAGAAACGACCGACAATCAGCAGCAAAGCTGACAGGGGTTGGTGAAAGATGCCAGCGTTCAAGGTCACAACGCTCGAAAAAGTTGTCGTGATGAAACCCCCGCCCGAAGCCGACGGGTCCGTGAGCACGGGCAATACTGGACGAAGAGCGGTAGTGCCATGGCTCGCCACGGTCGTAGAGTAACTATGCGAAGCGGATAGGAATGCGGTGGGCAAAAATCACCCGTCTTGTTGGGAAGCGCTGGCCAACGAGAGGGATGGACGAGTCGTGGCGTCTTGGTTTGGGTGCCTGGGTTCGGAGTACAACGGTGGGCACTAGCGGTATCTCGAGGAGCGAGTGATTGTGCGAGGCTTGTATGGGGGGTACGCCGTGTGAATACCGGTACGGCGGCTACGAGAAGTGATGATGGGTGTACAGACTGAATATGTTGCGGTGTTGAGACTGCATATTGCTTGGCGCGGGGCAGGCAGCGCACCGGCGCAACTGGCCGGATATTCATCCCTTCTTGGGGCGAAGTAGCGAGGCTGCTGGTCGTTATGATTGTCATGATTGGCAGGGAGCATTTTGGAGGGATGTGGAGATGCAAGACGCTTGCAGTTGTAGGCTTGGAAGTACTTAGACTTGCAGTCGTTGATGAGGTGGTGCGTTGTGGTTGGCGAGAAAAGAAGAAAAAAAAATTGAGAAAGGAAAAATTTTGACAGTTAGCTTTGGCTGGTGGCTGATTATCTCCGTAATAATGCATGGATACTGAGGTTTGATTGATAGGGGCGCCCCACTGGCTCGCAGCTCTTTTGCAGGCGCGACAAGGGCAAGTGCAAGTTGCCTTGGTTGGTGCCCCACCAAACATGGCCTGTGCAGCCTTATCAGTATTTCGAGAGAGTTTGGCGATTAGAATTGATGAAAAACTCTGCTTAATGGATTCACAGCATTTTGCCCTTGAAACCTCGATGGGGTGAATCCTGGAGCAGATCTGGCTTTGAACATGGAGATGGAGGCTCGTCGGCCAAATTTCCCCACGAATATTCGTTATCACTGGAGAAGTAGGGGTAATGCATCGAGGTGGGTGCGTTTGCTGCAGTCAACCAGATCACTGCGTATCCGTACGCTCTGCCACGTCTGAAAACTTTGGATGGGGTCAACAGTTGGCAACTAAGAAAGATTACTACGACGATTTGGAGTTGGTTGTCAGAATCACGCTTGTAGTTTGATGGGTAAGGTCTACCACCTCCCTGCGTCTCAGCTAGAGGGGCCAGCCCGGCAGGCGTCGTCCCAAAATGATAGCTCCGCGCCGCAAAATGAGGCGTCTTGATAAGCAGATCAACAGCCAGGCTAATCCGTACCGGGACAAGACAAGCTAAATAATAATACAGGCTCGCTAGTATTATCAGCGGTCCGCAACTTCTTACTACCGTCTAGCTTCAGCCGCAGCAACAGCACCAGGACCGCTGGGCAGGCCAAGCCGCACTCAGGTTAGCGTACTGGTCGGAGATTCGAGTGATGGCCGGTAACAGCAAATGTCTCATCAGCAGTCTTTCTATTCCGCCACCAGATTGCCTATTCGGGCGGAAAAGTGACGTGAAGAGTTGTCTAGAGTTGTCTTGGAAAGGAAACAACTGCCGTTGATAGTCGGCGAGACAGCGCACGATGTTGAAAGTGGACTGACCTGCACCGCCGACGGATGAGATGACAATAATCTAGACCACTGGGCGTCACAGTCTATTTCATGGATGGTTCCCCACCGGTGCCGGAGCCGGCGGTACCAGCCCGGCGCCACGGCGAGAATTGGCCAGAGAAGGTAGTGCAACGAGATTTGGAAGGGGCAAGCAGGGCGTGAGAAAGTTGACTGCTCTCTTCTCCATGCAGACTCGACCCATTGGATGGTAAAAACTGCGGCCGTGGTTTGGGACCCCTGTCTGGGTTCTTGTCTGGGTTAATCAAGGTGCGCCGTTGCAGTGAGAGGAGCAAACTCAAAGACACCGTTGTGGTCGATGACGAAGGCTTGTGTGACTGGAGATTGTGCATGGCTATCCGGAAATGTCCATACCAAGGCACAGCAATGTGCAAAAACCACACTTGATTTCCTTTGCTGCAACGATTAAGATTTCCAGGGTCCTGACGTCCCCCAAGGTATTCGTACCAGTAGATGGTGTCGACAACGGGCCAAGTTGGCATGCTCACTAATAAGTTAAGCAGTCGGTACTAGTAGAAGCCAGCCATGGGGTGCCAAGTTTTCAGTATTCATTAGACGAGGCGGAGATGCAGCGAACCGAAGTCCGAGTTTTGGATTTCCTTGGAGCGCGCGGGGCGGCGCGGCGTTGTGCATGGGGAATTTTTCGCTAATTCCCTCAACAGTTCATGTTTCCCCGTGGAAGAATGCCATCTCACGTCTCTCTCTCTTCTTTTTTTTTTTTTTTTTCTTTTGCCACCGTGCAGGGTCCAAACTTGCATTGGGACAAAAGTGATGAATATTCGCTGGCCATGTTGCCATGCTGCCATGGTGTGTGGGCTCGGTGGCGAGGGCGCTGGCAGTGGGTTGTCTAGCGGCGGCACGGGAGTTGTGCGGACGTGATAACTGTGTGTGGCGAGATGAGAATTCACAGAGGAGAGATAAAAGTCGTGGTTCACAAAGTGAATACATCAAATCAAGCTAGATGCCGGGCGGCAGTGCAACCCGACAACAGAGGCAAACCGGGTGACGATAACGTGATTGTGCAAAGGATTAATAAAGGAATAAAGCAGCAACAAGTTTTTTTTGTTCCTCCCTCCCCCATCTTTGATTTTGGCATACCATCCTAGCATTGTCCCACTAGACGACACGCTAATTGGCCCGCATAGACTGCACGCGCCTCAATATGCTGCGCGCCATCGGCCGTGATATGCAGGCATAGGCAGAGAGAGCCCCAAGGAGCCCCTCTGAATTGGCTGTTGCCTCCACAGGGTGATGTGATGTGCGATGGAGTGGGCTGTTTTATCATGATTACTGCAGAATTAGTTGATGCAGGTTCTGGTGTTGCTAATTATTTTGGTATGGCCGGTTGTGGCTTGAGAGGCAAAATACTTTTGACCGGTGCAAACGGGCAGCACCTTCTAGTGGCACCTACGACGTCTACGGAATCTTCCATGAATTTGACAACCACCAAATTAGTTGCAGCGATTTTTTAAAAAAGGAAAATAAAAAACAGCAACATCGTCTGTAAACACTAAACATTACTAAATTTACTAAAACCTCCCCAGAGCCACTCCCCTCCCCGCCTCCTCAGCTAGCGTCCTCGGTGCCCCCTTGACCTCCTTCTCAGTGGCTCCTACAACGCCCTTGTAGTGCTCTCGCCACGCCCAAAACATCAAAAACACACCTCCCCCACCTCTTTTTTCCCTGTTTTTCGTCCTCTTCGTCACTCCTCCCCCACGCAGGGCCGAATTTTTTTTTTCCCTTCTCGTCGTCCTGGTCGAGGGGTTGTTTATTCTTCTCATTAAATCATCTTCAATTCGATATTCTCGTTATCCAATTTGGTTTCGGAGTCGTTTGCTCTTCTTGTCGTCAAACCCGCCTCGACCCGCTCGTCGCTTCCGGCGTCGCCTCGCTCTACAGTCCACTGTACCGTTTGCTGCGTCGCCCACCACTCGACCAACATCTCTCTCTTCTTTATACCCTTCACGACCACCTCACCGTCGTCCCCGTCTTGCCGTCTTTTTAATACCCATCTTCGCATCCTCGAGCGTGCTTTAACCGCAAATTGCCTGGTTTGGTTGCTGGAATATTGCCCAAGCCTTGTTTCTGTACGGCACTTGCACTGCGGCGCATCCGATCTCTCCGACGTAGGTTCAACCGTCCAGCAGCAACCATCTACAACTCCATCAACACTTGGATCTCAAATTTCTTTCCCGAGCATCACCTTTATCATCATTACTCTTTCGCATTGCAAATTCGCGTTTCTGCTGCCACCTACGACACTCCCAGTTCGATACGCTAACACACCCCAGTCCCTAGAGCCGTTTGGACATCTCACCCATGTATTAATCGCCAAATTCTTCTTTCCAACTATTCGCTTCATCCTACAGTGCTTCTCATATAGGCACTGCTAGTCGAACAGCGCCCTTCATTCACCCACCCCGTCTAAATTTAACATAGTCGAATTGTTTCGCGAGAGGGCTCTGCCCGCCTCTGGCAATGCCTTATACGCCGCCCTCTCGGTCACCCGCTTCCTCAATCTCTGCCTCTCCAGACGTCAGCCGACGCTCTTCCTTTCAAAATGGTCCTCGTCCCTCACTACCGCACTCGGCCTCGTACCTAAACAAGCACCGTCGCTCACCCTCCATCACAACTATTAGCACCGACCAACCAACAGCCGTCCAGCCTCCTCCAACTGCCAGCTTGCGACAGTCCCCTCCCCCCGTCACAGATGTACGCCTTATCCCTGCCGGTGCCGTCATTTCCCCTCCCGAGTCTGCCTCTGGCAGTGATGATGAGTTCAAGGCCGCGTCCGAGGATAACTTGAAACACCTTCGAGAGGCTGTAAGTCAAATATCACAAGGCACGCCGTTGTCTTCGGATGAGAACCTCGCCGACGCGGCCAATGCTATCCTCGCCCTGTCGCCCATGCGCATGGGCTTCAGCACCTCGGATCTATCGTCTTATCCCAGTTCCGGCCCCAAGGTTAGCCACAGCCGCTCCGCCACGGAGCCACATGCCAGCTTTTCTACATCCGCCGACAACTCGGCCACCATTTCCTCAGAGTCTGAAGAGGATCTCCGCTATAAGCCGCAAATGGTCAGGAAGAAATCTGGCGAGCTTGTTCGACCTGCTTTACGCGGTTCCTCTCGCCGGCGTCCCCTGAGCATGCCAGGCACACCCGTCTTCTCCAAGGCTGTCCACTTTGACTCACACCTTGAACACGTTCGCCACTTCCTCCAGGTTGATCGGCCTCTAGCTGTTAGTGCTGGCTCGTCTCCGGTCGAAGCCTATGAAAGCGACACTGAGTATCCTTTCCTAAACGGCCCCCAGACACGAACACCCCCCTTTGAGTGGGAGCTTGCCACCACCAACTTTCCTCATGACAACAACCTAATTCGCCGATCCTTGCCGGCTCGTTTGGAAAAGGTTTGGCTGTCCAAGGATCAACAGTCTCTACAGGCGTCCATCGACGTCGCCAACCTGGCTTTTGAGAAGCTCATTACCTGCCGCTTCACTCTGGATGGGTGGAAGACAACTTCTGAAGTCACTGGGGAGTATACCAGCTCCATTGACACGCGCAAAGGCACCGCTGGCCACGACCGTTTTACCGTGTCTATTCAGCTGGCAGATACGGCCAACCTAGAGAGCAAGACGCTCTTCTTCTGCATTCGCTACTCGGTTAATGGCCAAGAGTACTGGGATAATAACAACGGCTCCAATTTTCAGGTCGATTTCCACAAGAAACACCTGCCTCAGCGCGGCAAAGGCCAGTTTCAGGGCGCTAATAAGACCGCTGGCAATCTGCCACGCAGCAGCCGCCGACAGAGCCACTCGACTGGCCCGAGGCCAATCTCGATGCCCGCGTCGCTCGACGACTTTGCCGATCACACGGGCTTCCAATTCGACCAGCCCCTGCACGAGTATCTCGGTGAGTGCGGCACCGGTCTCCGCCTCAAGTCAAAGTCCTTCAACAACCTGGCTAGCGACAATATTATCAAATCGCTTGCCACACCTAGCGGGGCTGCTTTTGCCAATCGCTATGACTTTGGTGCTTCTCTGGATGCCGTCAAGTCTCGCAAGGACGCGTCCCCCAAGGAGGCCGACACTCTATATATGAAGGGCAACACCAAGGGCGCGGATGCCACCATCTCTGGCGCGCCACAATTTGTGGCCGCGGCCCCTAGCACGGCCATTGCCAACTCCTCCTACGAGGAGCTTGTCAATAAATATTGCTTCTTCGGCGCCAAGACGTCTCCACAGGAGACGCCGCTGCGGCCCAAGGTAGACACGACCGACGCCAAGATACTCGAAAAGTATCAGGTATCGCCGCCTACTTCTCCTGCCAAAGAGAGCGTCGCCAGGGTGAATACGATCGAATATGCCACAGCCCCGTCTGTGATGCGATCCGCCTCTCCCAGCTTTACGCCTTTCACGGGCACATCGACGGCCGACATGGCTTTTCACACACAGCAGACGCCAGACCGATTTGTTTCTGCGACTGCGATCTGGGGATGATTTATTGAATGGTTTGCCTCACGCCGCCTATCTAGAAGGGCTTCTTTCTACGTGGACCGTGCTATACGGGCCCGGCTATTTGAGATTGACACGAGTATGGAGTTTGGCGCTGTTTATTTCCTATTGTCGATAATGATGTTTTAATGACGGCCGACGGTTCGCACTACGGCTTCGCATGGTTATGCATTTGATTTGCCTTGCATTCTGCTTTCGAGCGTGGTATTACTATAGTTTATTATTATCTCTCAGGTGTTTCTCGGGCTCTTGACTATTATGAGCATCGTCTTTTTGTACTCTCTCCGCAAAGAGTACACGGTTTGCGGACTCGTTAAGAGTACAGCATGATTTGGGTTGGCACAGCACAAAAGCAATGGGTGGCCGGAACCCGCATTTGCGTGGCGGCGGTGTGGTATGGTTAAAAAAATTGAATGATAACATCGTTTATCTTATCCATGTATGTGAGGATGTGCGTGATTTGTGAAGTCCCTGATGCGTGAAACGTCGTACCTTGAGTCCCAAAAAGTGGTTCTAGGACCGAGAATGGCCCCGATGTAGTACTGCGTGGCCATCCCTTGTGTTTGTATTCAGAGACTGGGATTGAATGCGACTTCATAAGGTGATAGAGACATTTATCACCAAATCGCAGTGGAGCAGCCAAAAAACACACATCACATGGCGGACTTGCAAGCGCCTGGCCATGACAGCAATCGTACCAAACCGTCTGCAATATGCTCAATCCGCTCAATCCGCTCAATTTACTCAATATTCTTAAATTTTGAATACATCCATATTAAAACACCAAAATTGAAAAGAAAGTTGTCGGTTGGTCACTGGATGTCACTCGTTGACGATACTTCGGGTGACAGTCCACCCTCATCCGCGACTCTCCACATGGCAGGGACATGCTTCAATACTCCTTGAAAGTCGGATGCAGCATTGGAGACTGTCGTCTGAAGTAACTGAGTTTACGGCTTTAAGAACTTAAAGGGAAAGAAAGTGAGCGGAGATTGACAATGGCGTTCTACTCACTTTGGAATTTCCTCTTTTGTCCATCTTCCTTCCCTTCTAGACACCCACCACCACTTTCATCGCATGTTTATGCAGAAGCGGGCCTGTTTCTGACAAGAAGTTTCTAACTAACCATTATGATAATATTGATGGTTTTGATCCCACTGCCCTGGTGCTCTTCTACTTCTCCCTCGATATGGAAGACTGCCTTGTGATTGGCGCATCATGGGGTATTGGGCTGTAAGTCGCTGCCGGTTCCCTCGAAGCCGGCACAAGAGTTATCATCACTTGTTCGATTGCGTCAACAGTCTTTTTGGTCGTTTCTTTGCCGACATTACGACCATCTTCAGTTGTGTTCGGTCTGGTCACTGTGGTTGACGATGCGGGCATTGCTGAGCACATCCATCCTGGTTGGAGACATAGACGTCAGCCTCAATGGTGAAAGGCTTCAAGAGCTAGGCAGCAGCGTCTTCACGGCCAGCGTGAGCGTCATTTTGGACAAGACTACACAGAAGCAAGGGGCCACAGTGCGGCACAAAGCTTGACTGTGGGGTGTGAGAGGGAATGATCCGAGACACATCGCCAACAAAGAAAGCTTCATTGCGACGTTCTGGTGGTGAGCTGTGCAAGCAATTGGACCTGAAGGCATCCTCCGTGTACCCAGCTAGTGATGTAAGCAGTAGAAAAACTGGCAAATATTGTACTTGCACTCCCGATCTGAGTGAAATTTACCGAGGCTTTAACAACGAACGTGGTGTTGATGGTGGATAGACTCTACCCTAAAAGACAAGATGGAAAGACGCAGGTCAAAAGCACACAAGTATGTGCCTTGTAGTCGAGCGACAGCAAGGATGAAAGTACTCAGTCGTGAGCACTTGTTGACAAATTCACTACAACAACTGAGGATAGGGCGGTAAATGGTAGGAACCATGAGACAGTCGTGATTAATTTGCCGCATGTTCCTTCCCACATGGCTAATTCGGTACTTTGCGGCACTACCTTGTCGTTGCTGCCTGGCACGGTGGCACTATAAACAAACTCGGCACAGCTCATTATAAGCGTGCAAACGGACAAGCTTGGCCATCACTATCAACTTATAAAAAGGGCGTTCTTCCCCTTCTCTTTCTCCTCCATCTCTTCCTTTTCGGCCAACTCATTTTCGCACAGAACAGCCCACGTCCAATCCAGAGAACCAAACCAAAATGTATGCACCCAGGGCCGAAGCAGAGTCGATTCCAGCTCTAAAGGAACTCAAGAATGTTTTGGCCGAGCAAAAGCATTCGTATGTTTGCGGTGGTCGAGTTCCCATCGCCGCAAACGCCATCTCGAGCGCTGGCGAGGCGGCACCAGCCATGAAGCAGGCGCAGCAATCTGATCCAATTACGATTCGATGGGACGTGAGCGGACTCTCGGAAGATGACGAGTCTCCATGTCGCAAATTGACCCTTCCAGTCTCCAAACAAGCTGATCGGAATGCCCTTAGTGCCCTGATCCAGGACTGCCAGCCTGCGACCTTTGGCTTGGGTGGCCAGGATGTATACGACGAGACCTACCGCAAGGCTCTGAAGATGAATCCAGATGAGTTCTGCAGTACCTTTGACCCTTCCTCTCTCGGAATTGTGGACACGATTGCACAGATACTCCTCCCAAGCTACTTGGATTCGGCCACACACCGGGCTGTGGAGGCGAGGCTATACAAACTCAATGTAAGTGTCAGGGGGCACTTGTTGATCTGATGAACAAATCTGACACTTTCAATTTCTGTATATAGGTCTACTCGGGTCCATCCGGCATGTTCAAGGCCCACGTCGACACGCCTCGCTCTCCGATGCAGTTTGGGTCTCTTGTGGTTTGTCTCCCCGTCGAGCACCAAGGCGGACAGCTCAAGGTTCGCCATGAAGGAGAAGAGACGACCTTTGACTGGAGCATGCTTGCCAATCAAGACAAGACGGCGCATATCCAGTGGGCGGCATTTTATAGCGACTGCGAGCACGAAGTCATGGAGGTTTCGGGCGGAAACCGGCTCACCCTGACTTACAACCTCTTCGCGGTCCCTGGGGCCGGGCGCTTGACGGGACAGTACTTGACACTGGACCCGACGCACCTACCGTTATACCGCGCTGTGGAGAAGATGATCTCACTGGATCCGTTTTCTGGACAAGGTGCGCTTGAACAGGTATCAAAATATGATGGACGACTTGCGCTGACTTGATGCTCTGCAGGGGGTATGCTGGGCTTTTGGTGCTCCCATGTCTACGCTTACAACAACGCTACAGAAGTGCCTCTCCCTGAAACACTAAAGGGCGTCGACGCAGCCCTGTGGGAAACCTTCAAAGCTCTCGGCATCGATGTCAAGATTGCACCAGTTGTACAAATAGACGATCGTGCCGAAGAGGATTTTGAGGATTACGAGGAACCTATCAAAGAGATACCCTCAGAGTGGATTGTCGGAGAGAAATTTGGCCTCGAATTGCACGGTTCTTATCCAGTGGAGGGCTTTGAGGAGTACAACGAATTGTACACATCATGGGGTTCCTACCTCAATAAAATGCCCACCTATTGGCTCACGAAACCCGTTCAACGCGAACCCCAGATCTTCTACGCGGCGGTAAGTATTGACCATGCAGATTGAACGTGAATTTGCGCTAACAGATCATGCTAGTATGGCAATGAGGCATCCCTGGGCATTACGTACTCGAGCTGCGCTATTCTTGCAACTCTGCCACCAACAGAGTCGGCGTCTACCGACTAAACAAGACGGCTGTTTCTATACTTGAAAGAATAGCAATAGTTGCTTAGCTCTGTCAAATTTCCATTTTGCTTCTCTCGCTTGGTCGATCAGTAGTAATCGAGGTGAAATTATTCTAAGATGCGTTGAAGTGACGCGTTCATTAACGCGCGCGACGCGACTGATCGACGCAGAGCAACTCACCGCCTATCGGAAAGTGGGCTCCTGGTCATTCCATCAACCCCCTCACGAATACCACCGAACAGAAAGCCCCAACTCTAATAATAGCTTTCCACTAGTACAAGAGGGACAAAGCCGCTTCGAACATGTTGGCTATCCATACGAGGACTTCATGTACCTGCAATCCCTTTTGCGGTACCCAGAGCGAAATGGCGGCCACTGACGCTGACACGGCCGAGAAGGCAAGAGCGTCTGGCAACGAATTTTACAAAGCAGGCCAACTCGCAAAGGTTGAACTGTCCTAGAACTGAACTCTATTGGATTACTTCTGACATTAGCCCTAGCCGAAAAAGCATACCAATTAGCGGCATCCCTTGCTCCGCAAGATCCAGCCCCCGTCTCCAACTCGTCCGCTGTCAAGTACGAAACAGGGGATTACAAGGGTTCCATCACATACATCAAACATGCATTGGCTCTTTCTGCTGCCGGGACCAACGACGCTGCAAAGATTGATAAGCTCAACGCTCGACTCGCCAAATGTTTCCTTCATCTACGCGACTTCAGCTCTGCCAGGGATGCCTTACTCGCCATCAGCAACCGAGACCTCCGGATTGAGCTGTCCGAATCGCTGGAATCTGCGCTAAAGCTCCAGGCTGCCGTTGCTGATGAATGTGCTCTCAGAAAACAGATCCTGAATCATGTACCGCGCTTCAAGTCATGGCTGTATGCTTGCCCTCTTCTCGTGTCCTTGACTCGCTAATGACACAACTTAGCTCCAATGTTGCTGAATACTACCCTTCTGGCCACGACCAGGCTGAGTTGCTCAAAGAACCACTCGGAATTGATAAGAATGGCAAGAGGCTTGACATATCTTTGCTCTTTGCTGGTTGCGGAGACGCATGAAATGTATATGCTGCACTTGCCTCAATGGGAGTGAGGGAGGACGACTCGGAACGTAATTTTGGGCATCTTCACATCACCATGTTGGATCTGAAGCACGCATCAATAGCCAAGGCACTAATTCTCTTTAACATGATGCATGAGATTGACAAGGAGATGACGACGAAAGGCCCTCACCCGACAGACTATTTTCTCGTCATGGCGTACGTGTTTGCTTGCCAGATCATCCCACCCTTTGTCCAAAAGAAGTTGCAGAGCAACATTCAAGATCTCATTGAGAGGCTTGAAAACAAGAAGGAACCTCTTTCATTTATCCACCTTCATGCATGCGATACAGAGGCTGTGATTCGAATCCTCCGACAGTGGCAGAACCCGTGGCCTGCAATCTCCAAACCAGCACATGTGAGGAAATTTATCGAGGAAAAAACCCCCCCGCCGAATCCTCTTGCACCCGACAAAGGTCCAGATGGTCCAGAAAAGAAGGACTTTAGGAAGTTTGCAGCTTTGTTCCCGTCGCAGGCACTCGCGAGACAATGGGAGCCATCTCTTGCGGACACTCTGGCCGAATACAAAAAGACAGGCAAGGGCAAAAAGCTACTGCAGCAAATAGATGCTACCTGGGCCGTCAACAATACGCTGATTGACTATGACGTTGCTGATTATGAACTCGAGATCCCGGGTGGAAGCTGTGCTTATCTCGAGTTTGACCCGTTGGAGATGGTGTCGGCAGCGGATTTTGCATCCAAGAGCGGAGAGCGCGCCAAGGCCAAAACGAACAACTCGATAGATCGCCTCGCTGATGTTTTTCGTGTCATTACAATCTCTACCATGAAGCTGCATTCTCAGAAGAGATTGATAGTGGAAATGATTGTAGGGGAGATGACGGACATCATGGAGCGCATCCGCTACAATGCGCTGGAACACAGACGCCCTGACCCAAAGAACTCCAAGACCGATGAGCCTTTGGACCCGACTAAATTCCCGCAGACCTATGACTACATACACATGAGCAATATCCCGTGAGGCCAACATATATATCCCAACATGACTGGCGCGCGGTGGCTAACCATGACTCCAGAGATTATATTGGCGGCCATCTCACCACCTTCTTAGTGGCCCGGCCGCTGCTCAATGACAAGAGTCTCTCCAGCTTGCGCTTCAATAACCTACTTAATTCCCCCGAATTTGAGAACCACGAGGCTTTCCAATCCGAATATCTGCTCATGCATGACGAGGAGCACATCAAAAGCCACTTTTCAGTGCGCAGGCGACCAGGAGCCAGCATTGCTGATAATCCCATCTTCAAGAGCATGTTTGCAGGCAAGATCAGCTCCTTTGCATTCGAAGGCGACATGATCTGGGACTGAATGCCTAGAAAGCAGATGACTTACCCGCAGCTTCTGCCTCGTGCCGCATTCGAGAAGTGGATACATGGCCATTTTCTCAAGATTTGCATACCTTATCCGCGGCCAATCTTCAGTGGCTCGCCAGTCTACGCACCTCTTAATCTCACCGCCGTCATCCACCTCATGATCAGCATGTTTGAAATGGGCTATCCTGCACACTGGCTGCTCAGGGTATTTTCTCAACTATGCAGTGGGGTCATCACCACTACGGCCCGCCCGCCAACAGAGCGCGTTACTGATGCTCCTGCTGCTGATGCTGTGCATGCGCCCAAAGAATTTTCTGTGCAGCCTTGGGTTTCCGAGTTTACTACCATGCTCAGCATCTGGTGTGGTCTGATTCCATTCGGCATGGACTCGTTGGGCGGATCTCTTGTCCCGCTTACAGACATAAACCAGTACAGTATTGCCTTTCCCCCCTTTGCTGCCCAGCACGAGCGCCTCCCGCATTTTATTCTCTTATTCTGGAACACGAAAATTGGGTACACGTTGAAGCCGCCAGCTTCCTTGTATTCGATTCTCTCGGGCAGCGGTAATTATTACGCAAACACACACGCATCACCCAAGGTTCTGCTAGACAAGGCAATCGTCTGTGTATCCGCTTTCCAATATGTCATGGAATCGAGGAGCGCTGTGTTTTCAATGCGGGCTGATCAAATGGAGGAGATGAAAGCTGGCGAGTGGAGGGCATTCATCTGGCGAACAGATGCTTGGCAAGCTGTGACTGAAGGCGTGGAAGTATCTCGTGGTCTGGTGACTCGTCAAAATTGGGGCAGCATGGTTTAAAAGCCAAATTTTCTTCAATTTGTGTACGGAAGAGGAGCCAGAGTGGTACCTTGTGAACACCCCTTGAAAGTGGCAATTGACGTCGAAGCACAACGGTTTCTAGGTTCATCCTGTCATTCACTCATCAATGCAACATCAACCAACTCCGCAGAGGGCTGAGATTGATCATCTCAACGAGGAGGATCTTATAAATTATATAAAACTAGCAACTACTCGGCCAATTTTAGTTCTGTTTTCGTCTCAACGACCTTTCTCGTCAAGTCCATTAAATCGTCCGCCAACTCTTCATTCTGCGACATGCTGCTACCCTGCTCTGGGACAGCAGGAGGGCAGATGTATTGACCAGATTCTTTCGTGGTCGTAGCCGCAAAAATCGTGCTCACAGCTCCCTGGAACTGACTTTTTTTGAATGGTTCGAATCCTACTGACATGCCATAGCCGGCCACAGGATATCTGGTAACGTAAGCATTACCGAACAAGACGTCCTAGATGGAATGAGGAAATACTCACGGCTCGTGGATATCTTGTTTGCTTTGTTTCGTGCTCACAATGCCTGGGTGGGTTGCGTTCATCAAAATGTTGGGATACCCAGCCATTGTTACTTTTCGGTTGAAATACCGCGCATAGAGAATACCCGCCAGTTTAGACCTGCCGTACTGTTCTTTCGGGCCCAAGTCTTGGTTCAAGTCATTCACAGATTTGAACTTGAGATTGCTTGGGACACTTTCGTGCAGATTGCTCGACATGTTGACGATTCTCACAATCGAGCCGGTACTTGCAGTCTTCTTCATCAAGGGAAGAAGATACGAGGTCAGAATGGTGTGGCCAATATGGTTCACGGCCATGTGACGATCGACTCCGTAGTCTGTGAGTTGGTAAGTCATGATGCCCCTGCCGGCGTTGTTGATGAGTATATCGAGACGATCTGTCGATTTTTTGATGTTTTCTGCAACTTCTTTGACGCGCTTCCAGTCACTCAAATCACACTGCAGCCAGGTAACTTTTTCTCCAGCCTCGTTTCCCATGTCTTTGGCGATGGCCTCTACTGCATTCTTGGCCTTTTCCTCGGATATCGATAGCATGTAGACCTTGGCAATTTTATGCTTGATCAATGTGTAAGTAATGGCATATCCGTTACCCTCGCTGCCTCCGGTGACCACGGCAACCTTGCCGGATTGGTCGGGGGTATCGTCAAGGCTAAACTGATGCGTGGCTATTTGAGGAGCAGGTCCACCCAAGTTCTCGGCGAGTGTGTTCTGTGCGTGTTAGAGTCTGTCGGTAGTAAAGGGCGAAAAGAAAACGGAGCTACCTTGATGTATGCTATAACTGAAGCCATTTTCGTCGCAGTTCTGTCACCACCGGTACAGATCGTGATGGTAATGGGTAAAACTTGGTTATTTGCAGATCTGGCTGGGGATCAAAGGCGTTGGTTGTACTAATGCAGGGACTGCTACTATATAACTAATTATATAACTTATTATGATGAGCTGCAAAAGGATGAATGCACGAGTGTAGTATAATAGTGATGATTCACTATGATGAGATGACTATTTTGGCTGGATCTGAGACGCAACGCGTCAATGACTAGGCAATGATGTAATACGTCCAAGAAGAAGGAATGTAGCCAACATCTCTTTGTTGGCAAAATTATTAACTCATGGCCTAGTATTTTGGGATAATAGACGGTGTGTGATACGGACAAATAATAATTTCGCCTTGGTTACTTTGTCATGCGGAAACAAAACTTGGGTCATTGCAGCAGGCCTTTAGTCGCGGTCGCCTAGTTACCAGCGGCTCACCAGAACAGGCTAGTTAGTTAGCACAACGTCAACACACACAAAAATTAGTGCACCGAGGAAGCCGGCGGCGGTAGAATTTCCTCGCTTTACAAGTCACTCGTCGTGGCGCAAGCTAAAGATGAAGCTCGTGGGTGGCCGGCGGAAAGCCCATGGAATGATAATTATCAGGTGGACGCTACTGTCATCTAGCGTGGTATAATGTTTTCGTGTAAAATACTGGTTATATCTCCAAGTATCATAAGTAGATTAGCCGTATCTTAATGAAAGTCGATATACCTATGGCGGAGGTAGTTTAGGAAGGCATTTTTATTAGGTGTGGCCTTGTTAGAGGCCGCAAGGGGTGGGATCGTGACTTGACGTATGTGGAGGCATCTATCGGGGCCTACAAGGTGAATTTTCTTCAGCTACCTCGCCCTACGAATCAATTACAGGGTAAAGTACTACTTGGAAGTATATGGACAAAAGGAAATAAAAGATAGATTAGAAAGCACCCAGAGAATGCTACAAAAGTCAGGTTTAAAGGCGATCAAGGGCTTACGTGATAGCGAAAGCGCCCTCTACATCAAGCTGGCCTCGACAGGTCGCAAGGTCTCGGAATACGCGGCTAGGTAGGGCCTTGGCCTCAGTATCTGTGGGACACTTTTGATGCGCAAATGGGCGAAACAATACTGGTGTTTATAACTAGTCTAGCATACGTTGAGGGCTGGGACACATATACTGGCACACCCGATGCACTGGTATATACTCGACCCGAAGCGCTGAGCCGTGACCAAAACAGCTTCGCCAACCAGCACTCGCAATTGTCTTTAGTCGGTGGGCTTGTCTTACGCCACCAAGCCGCAATATAGAACCATGTCTACATGACTGGAGAAAAGATGCCCGGCCCTCGTCTGCTTGACTGTTGTATATTAATGTCTCGGAAGGATACAACTACTGGCTAACGGACCTAGAGTTTTATATCCCGATGCGGAAAAATACCCCGTGGGGTCTTGCAAGCCGCGAATGCCAGGCAGTCGACGTATAAAGAAACGGAGTAGTGATACTCCATGCCTACAGTAGATGCATGTTAGCAATCTATCTACGCATTACTATAGCGTGAGTGTTGTATCATGCTGGCTCTACATGTATTTCCTAGCACTTTCTCTGATGATGCGAAATAGGTCGCTGGTGAAGTGCTGTTAATCGGAACGGCTGGACCAGCTGAACCACTCACACCCATCCGTGCTACTACTGCGTCTCAATGTTGCACTCCCAGTTTCAGCTCACGAACAGCCAAATACCAGACAAATGAGGTAACAAAATTCTACATCTCTCCAGGTCACCAAAACTCGTCGTAAGCAGAACAGAACCTCCATCCTGGTGGGTTGGGTAAAGGTCCCATTCATTGTGCTTCATGCAGCATTTAGCGGTTATGCGGCTGGCTGAATCGTTTAGAATGGCTGTACGCCATGCAGGGTATGACGGCGCTTCCATCACACGACGGTCTGGACCATTCTCTGTTCCTCCTTGCACTTGGATATGTGCTGCCCTAGAAACTCAATCATGATATGCCTCCGCATGATGAATATATATAGAGCCTAGTCCTCGTTCTATGATCTTGAAAGAGGCGCTTTAATCTTTAACTCAATCAATCTCCTGACGAACAAATCCTACACACGCAGAGAAAAGGTGAGTAACTCAAAGTACTCGTCGATTACTGTAATATTTTTTATTAACGATGTAGTAGGTGCTTTCTTGTACATCCAACAATGGACACGGCGAGCCCCCCGCAGCGCGTACCCCGGACAGTTACTATTACTAGCCCGGGTTATTTCCAAAACGGCGGTTATCGGGAAGATGATAGGAATACCCTTGTTGTCAGCTGGCAGGCAGGCAACAAGGTAGATGTCTGGGCTGTTCACGATGATCTTGGACCGCTTCCCTTTCTGCATCCAGCCCCTACTGGTCAGCAAAAAGAGCGCATCATCAGAGTTTATGGTCGTGTTCGCTGCCCTCGCTCAGATAGTGTCGTCTTCAGAGTGACGTAGGATCTCCATGCGGGCTGCGGTCGTTGTATGGAGTTCTCCTCTGGAGTTTAAGCTCGGCCGGCCGTCTAGGGGCGAGGCGGACAATGTGTGACTGCATACGTGTTGTTACATTGAACTCACCCATATACAAACTACAGAAATCACCAAATCAGCGCAACACACATCTCTGGCTCCGTGGTTGTCTCATGTCATGACAATATGTGATGAGTAAAACCAGACCACGCAGCAACACCTCTGCCCTGAAATCGGTTCTCGTCTTGGTATTATTCATAAAACTCGACTAATCAGTGGTGAACAGAGAAGCGGCAAAATGTACGGCATACCATTCTGTATGTTTTGCTGACCTCGATCGGCCGCAATGTCCCGGTAAGACGCGGTCAGTACGCCAGAGTCTTGGCATCGAACTCTGTGTAACACTTTTCATACGCAAATAAGCTAATGTCAATAATCTTGTGCGCTATGCTCTCGCTTTAATAGAGTGACATGTAGAACACTTCTGAATCTGCAAGATTCTGACGCGGCTTGCTTATAAAGGTGAGGCTTGCATAGCGATCATGTCGTCGATTGGGCCCAGTAGGGTAAGGGATAGATGCGAGAGCCTATGGTTTCCGCGATGCCTTACCAGATGTCGCATTTAGCCAAAATGCAACATTGACGCGGTGAGCTTGAGGGTTGCATGAGATGCACTTCCATGTGATGTCAACCTGATTACATTAGTGTTTGCGGCTTCAACACATCGAAATGAACTATTGACAAGGCTGGGTGGGGGGAAAGGAAATAAACGTTACAGCAAAATGCGGGGTGCAACTACCGCGATCTGGGGCAGCAGTGGAGTTGGGCAGCTGTGGGAGAACAGGGCGCTATAACTAGATACAAAGAGCATAATGCGTATGAGGAACTGATTGACAAGGACTTGCAAAATTACATTCGAAAGGCAATGGAATGAATTACTGCTACGAGGTGTCGTTGGGGAGCTGCCTAGATGTCGAGTTAGACTTGAGAGATTTCGAGATGTCACAAGACAAATTGAGGGGGCTTCCCCTTGTAAAGCAGCTTTTTATCCGTCATTACTGTGGACTTGGAAGCAAATGCGGGGTTATAGAAGAAGCCTACTGCAGAGTCTGGGCTGCTCAATCCGGCAGTCGACCGTATCAGCGCGGTGACCCCCACGGTGGCATAACAGGTCGACTGGACAGCAATATAATACTGTTAAAAGTTGGACTAAAACGACTAGAGCTCGTAAGCCATGGACAAAACAAACGAATCAAAACCATCCTAGTCCGAATCATATTCAGTTCCCAAGTCCTCGCATCCGTCTAAGAAATACCTTCCGACTTCCCCACAAACCCCCAGACTTAGCATCTCGCACTGGTGGGGGTCACGCCCGTACTGTACTGTGGGGGGCCAACCAAGCCCACCACGGTTAACCACGCTACGGAACTAAAAGATAAACTAGCTGAGCCCGTGTCATTAAAATCTATGCCAGTTTCTCTTCCCTTTTTCTGTAGATCCTTTGAAGTCTTGCTCACTCCCTCCCATTGATCCTCTTGAATTCATCAAGTGTCCTCAGCCATGGGTAGACCTGCCGACGACCCTCAGCCCGAGCTGCAGCACATATCCACGACCCAAGATGACCGCCCGTCCTTTGACAAGCACGATGCGGCCGATATTCGCGAAATCCAGGGCAACGCCAACTATTACGAAACCATTACCGCCGCGCCGCTCGATCCCTGGTCCAAGACGAGCTTTCAGCTATACTTGATCTTGCTGGTCGCGGCCCTCAACGCCACGGCTTCTGGGTTTGACGGAGTATGCAACTTACGACCTCTGTAAGAGCTGCTGTTTGATTAGAAGCTGACGGATGATGTTAGTCTATTTTCAGCTCCATTAATGCCATGCCGCAGTATCAAAAATACTTTCACCATAATGAGCTTGGCTCTGCTACTGGCATGTAAGTACAGTACACATAATAAATTAAATCTCTTTTGTTTTTTTTTTTTTTTTTTTTTTAAAAAAAAAATTATCCTGACTGAATAGCATCTTTATGATTTACACCATTGGCAACATGATTGGCTCCCTCTTTACCGGCCCCATCTGCGATCGCTTCGGTCGCCGCGCCGGTATGATTACCGGCTCCGTCCTCATCATGGTGGGCGCCGCCGTCCAGACTGCCGCCCGATCCGACGCCTACCTCCTCGGCGGCCGTTTCGTCCTCGGCTTTGGTGTTTCCATTGGCACATCCTCCGCGCCGACCTATGCGCTCGAACTCGCACCCCCGCAATGGCGCGCCCGCGTCGTCGGCTACTACAACACTTGTAAGACCAGTCCTACCTCGCCTCCCGCGCAGGCATCAACCCCCCCGTCAATGCTAATCGCCAAACGTACGCACAACAACAGTCTTTTACACGGGCGCCATTCTCGCCACCGGCGTCGCATACGCCGCCATAAAATCCCCCGGCGAAACGGCCTTTCGCCTGCCTCTCGGCCTGCAGCTGATCCCGCCGCTCTTCATCTGCGCCGGCGCGCTCCTGGTGCCCGAGTCGCCGCGCTGGCTGACCATGTGGGGAAAAAAGGACCAAGCCGCCGCCATCCTGGCAAAGTACCACGGCGGCGGCGACATGCAGCACCCGATGGTGCAGCTGGAGCTGCGCGAGTTTGAGGCCGGCATCGAGCTGCAAAAGAAGAGCGCCACCAGTATCTGGAACTACTACGGCCTGGTCGACTCGCACAATGCGCGCTGGCGGTTTGCCATGATGGCCTTCATGTCCGTCTTTGCGCAGCTGAGCGGCAATTCCGTCCTCACGTACTACCTGCCGTCCATGTATAAGCTGCTCGGGGTCAAGACGCCCGAGAGAAAGCTGCTGCTGACGTTTGCCAACACGATTGTCTCGGGTGCCGGCGCGGTGGCCGGCTCGGCGCTGAATGACAGTGTCGGGCGCCGCACCAAGCTCTGGGTCGGCAGCATCGTGCTGGCTGGCCTGTTTGGTGGCGTCACGGGCTTCTCGAGCTACTTTGAAGGCGGCAAGACGGATGTAAGCTCGACTATAACCAACGGAGGTATTGCTTTTGTAAGTTTTTTTTTATATCTTTATTTTGATTTTTATTTTTATTTTCTACGATGGCTACAGATGATGATTCTGGCTAACACTGTTAGATCTTTCTCTTTGGTTGTGCCTACTCCTTCATCTACACGCCCCTTACGGCCACCTACTGCGCCGAAGTCTTGTCCACTCCGATGCGAGCCAAGGGAATGGGAATCGTACGTTTTCTGTCTTTTTCACTCCTAGCTCTCCTGCCAACCAAAAAAAAAAAAAAAGAAAAAGAAAAAAGAAAAAGAGGCTAATTACTTATTTTTCAGCACGTCATTCTGTCAAACTGTGCCAATCTTTACAATACCTACGTTACAGCCGTCGCCCTCGAAGCCATCGACTTTCGCTATTACTTTGTCTTTGTCGGCCTCAACCTCACCTATGCCGCCGTGTGGTATTTTCTCGGCGTCGAGACACGAGGCCGCACGCTAGAGGAAATGGATGAGGTCTTTAATGCGAGATTCCCGCCTAGAGCAGCCCTGCAAAAGGCCGTCATGGTCAAGCAAAGCAACGGTCACTTGGCGGATGCAAGTGCTGTGGCTGGCCATGGGGAGCGTGCCTAACTAGGCACCAGTGCTAGTGATAGCGATTGAGTTGTCATTGAATAGAGACTCGTTCTTTTGTTGTGCATTCGAGTCAGCAAATGTATAGGCATCTCGCGATATTGTTTCGTCTTTCCTTTCAATTCACAGATTTCGTCTTCGGACCGTTTGAACCAATTGTCCCGGGCAGATGTTTCAGCTGAAAAACTCGCAGTGCCCTAGTTCTTGGCCTTTTTTCAAGAGGCTTGTTAAAGTTTCCGTGTTATAATCAGGCAACTTTGTTAGTAGTCATCGCTTTACAGGTTCCTTTTCCAAGAGCGCCAATGCCCAACGGCGTGGCCAAGGCTGGTTCATGTGGTTCATGTCCCCCGCAACAACAACTCGGGTACTAGGGATACCGTTAAAGCCGTGCAGCTGCATTGACAAGTTTGAGGGGAAATGGTGCGCTTGTTGATGGCGCATAGTTAAAAAAAAGGTGGTAAAAAAGGTTTTAATGCGTATACACTAAATTGACAGCGGTCTACTGAATTTAGACTTCATCTTCAATCTAGCCAACTATTGAGGGTCGCTTATTCGTCCACCTATACCAACGGTAGATCATCTCTCTCCAACTACGGATGCATTTTCACCACCACTTGCACTAGATAGTTGGTAAGGCTGATCAAGGAAGAGACGAAATGCGTCTCTTTCGCCAAGCAAGTCCAAGTCACAGCCACCGACTTGCTCATATGTTGCAGATGTGATTCCAACTGAAACGCACTACAAGTTTCTACCACTGTACAAAAGAGCCTTATTCGCACCATTTTCTAGCTTCTGCTTCCTCCGTCTGGTGGTGGTGGTGTTTCACCCGCCAGTTTGCATGATGGCTTCGCGCACACCAGAACTCACCCAGTGAAACCGGACTCTTGCTTGCCGCGTTTCATCGCCAGCCACCATTTTGTCTTTTTTTTTTCTTCTTCTTCACCACGCACACAACTTTATTTTCCACGACAATGGTTCGTCTTATAAATAGTATTCTAGCTTGCCACTGTAAATCGTCGGATCATTGCAGATCTAGTCTAATCAAAACTGTTTCATTCTCGAATATTACCTATTTGGCACCACCACTCGATCCAAATTTCTATACCCAGCCATAATGTTACCGCACGCGGCAATAATGGTCGGGTCGACTTTATGGACGGCACCATATCGAAATCTCATGAGTAAAGCCGTCAGAGCGCCCCCGACCAGCAATGCATTTGGCATACAAAACACCAACAACAATAATAACGATCCATGCGCCATGATTAGCAAAGCGTTCGAAGCTATGCGGAATGAGACGTCGGAAGAGCCCATAGTCCTTGATTTGCGACCGTCCGTAGGCACGGCATGCCTCAAGTCTGTCCCAGTAGCAAAGAACCGCAACATTGATCTCATCAACTACCTGCAGCCCTACATTGAATATCAAAGCACAATCGAGATTCTCAAAAATCCCCCAGAAGAGTATCTACTCGAAGGGGTTGATTTGATGGGCGGGTTACAGGCCATGAAGCAAAAGCTAAAGCGCGACGAATACGAGACACAATTCGATGTCATGACGGACCTTCAGAGCCTGGTATGCAAGCAGGACGGGACAAAATTTCCCTCAACACTGCGTAACTATTGCTAACAAAGTCGTCAAATCAGTTCGTCGCCACTAATGACAACCATTTTGGCTACACGCCGGGCTTGTTGAGCGCATTTCGAACCGTTCGGGACGGCTTAGATCTGGTATCAGTCTCCGAGGATGGACGAGAGCTGCCACAGGTGTATGCCGCTCAGGACATTTTTACACCGGGAAATGTGACATACACTGCGTCTCCCATCGAGACCATAGATGGTCAGGATGTGTACGAATTCTTGGAAAACGAAGCGCTGCGAGTTCCTCAGGGCCTCCAGGACCCCGATGCAAAAATGAATAGTCTTTTCGGCTCGGCCCCCCAAAACGCTGCTCAAGCTGGCGCCGACGCAGTCTTGTCGGTATTCGACGTTCCCGACAACTACACCATTGTGCACAAGAACGGCACGGAGCGGGTGGTGGACAACTCCATCATTACACTCCCGACGACTGATCTCTGTGGCATCAGGAATGGCCGGGACTTTCGCGAGAGATTTGAAGTACCACCAAACAGGGGACCACCACCACCACCACCACCACCACCACCACCAGAGCAAGGGAACCCAGACGACCCAAAGAATCAAGAGCCGCCGCCGCCGCCGCCGCCGCCGTCCAGTTCTGCTCTTCCGGGATATCCGCTTCCACTGGCCAAGCACTCAAACGACATGGTAGCTAGCTATACTCTGAACGATACAGCGTTGCGCGACACTACCGTCATTTCCTTCCTAAGCTTCGTGCCTCTCAATGTTCCTGACCCTACTTCGCCGGATTTCGATCTCAACTCGTTTGTTCGCGAATTTGGCGACGTAGTAGACCGCACGGCCTCGGCGGCCCAGTCTCAGGGTCGCGACAAGCTCATCATCGACATGTCGGCCAACGGCGGCGGCTCGTTGGATTTAGCCGACTTTGCCTATACCACCTTTTTCCCCGGCGCTCCCTTTGACGACTTTGATCGATACCGCTTGAACGGTGGCCTCGAGCTTACCGGCAAGGCTCTGAGCTTCAACGAGTCGGTGGAGCTGCTCGTCGGCTCCGAGAATCCGCCATTGGCGCCCGGCAATAAGACTGTCGAGGAGCCAGACGCCTTTTTCGAAACCCGGCCGGTCAAGGGCCAGAAGATGACGGCCCCCTTTCACAGAGACCCTACTGCTCGGTACTTTGATAACCCGGACGTGTTCCTGCGTGGCTACGAACCGGGCGAGAACCGCACGGCGCCCCAACCGCCGTGGCAGCCCGAGAACATGGTTATCCTGACGGACGGAACTTGCGCTTCGGCGTGCACTATTTTCACGGGTCTGATGGTGCGCAACTTTGGCATCCGCACCATTGCGCTCGGCGGCCGGCCCCTGAACAAACCCATGCAGGCGATTGGAGGTGTCAAGGGATCGGAAGTGTTGCAGAATGCCGAGAATAAGGATCTCATCAAAGGACTGGTCAAGGGCGCTCAGCGCGACAGGACTGGCCGCAAGATTATCAAAGATGTTCAACGAACCATTCCCGACATTGGCGACCCGCCCATCCTGCCCTTCCTCGAGGACCCTGCCAACGGCGGCTCCGTCAACGTGCGCAACGCCTACAGCGGCGACGACCCAGACGGCTTTCCCTTGCACTTCAAGTACGAGGCGGCCAACTGTCGACTGTTTTACACGCGCGAAATGGTGCTGGATGTCGCCGAGTCGTGGCGGCAGGCGGCCAACATTGCCTTTAGAAACGGCACGTGCGTGTCAGGCTCCACGGCCATTCCCGACGGGCGCATGAGCAGCAAGGCGCCGCCGTTTGATCCGAGCGTGCGCGGCCAAGCCAAGGGGATCCCGCGACCTACTCTGCAACGTGGTAATTAACCTCTGGTAATACATACTCGGGGCCATAATAGTTGGGAATTTTGCTGGTTCAAAATGCCAAAAGTGGGAAATTGTTTTGAGAACATGGAGTCAGTGACTGCCAACATCCCTAAAAATATATAATAAATAGACTACGCAGAAAATGAATCCCATCTCTACGCAAGTAGTCGTGTCCTGTCGCGTTTTCTCGCGTCTTGACTGGTAGGTGGGTCTGTTGGGACTGCATTACCTAATACCAAATCACGAATAAAGAGCAATTTTGCACAATTATTTAAAGAAGCTTCTGGTCGGAAAATCGACCTCTTTTTATAGTCCTAAATTCCTTCATTAATCCGCTTGCAAATATCCTTTATTTTGCATTCCTTTGCTGTGGTTGCAAGCGGCCTTTTCTTCCTATGTTGGTACTGAAAACGGTTTTTCTACTGTCAGTGGGTATCTGTAGGCTAATAATAGTTAACTTATCGCTAAGTATTATACCTAGTCTACTGATATTAAGCTAAGATGTATGACATCACTAAATTTAGATGGTATATAGATGTAAATAGACTGCTAGGTCTATTATCTATATAAAGGCAGCCTTTTCTAGAGAAAAGGGGAGCTTTAACAAGCCTCGTAAACCTAATATCCTTCTTCTAACCTTTTATCAGAACTACTTCTTATGTTACTCCATCTTCCACTTCGTGATAATCTTATATACCTTATTATAACTTTGCACTTTACGCCATGGCTGCCACAACATTCCAGCGCCTACCGCTCCCCGATCCACAGGATTGGGTTGCCGGAGAGCGACTGTTTCCGAGCAACGTCATCGCAGGATACAATGCCAAGTATAACGAGTACAACAAGGAAACGTGGGCGGCATATGTTTTAAAACACGGTGAGGGTTTTGAAGCATGCGGGTCAACGATTGCGTATTCTGGTATAGTACTTCTCAGCGTGAGTTTTGCTAGAGTGGAAATGCTAATAATGAATCTAGCAATTAACTCTGGAACTCCAAAGGATCGTATGTGGTTTGGATATGTGTTTAGAGGTGGAAGCACTACGGTGAAGGATTATAAGAGGGCTGAAAATGTGGAAGACACCATTGTTTACACCAAGAAGTAAGAAACACAGCATATAATTGGCATATACATCAGGTCTATTGCCAGCAACTACTACTAGCTACCGATCTTTCTTTAATATATCTATACAGGGTGAAGTAAATAACAAGCAGGCAACGACTGCGGGCCGAATCACTGTGCTACGGGTGCCGTCTTACGGGGCCGTCTTACGGGGGTGTGACGGTACAAGGCTCGAGCAAGGTCGAGTGCGACTTGGATGAAGTGATTGTTCATAAAGAGAAAAGGAGAGCTCCGTAAGGAAAGCTCTCGCAGAAAGCTATTTCCACGAAATCAAGGTAGGGCATTCAATTAGACACGGTTCCCTGACAGGGGGACGTGTGGCTGGTATCGCTGTGAGCCACAGTGAAGGGTATACACGGGTGCTATGAGGACAGATGGTGGCTCCCCAACGGTGTAATCTTCAGGCGTAAACAGTTGGGATGTGTCAGGTATTGAGGTCGTGGTTTCGGGCTGGCAGTTTAACGACTTAGATCCGTTGTTTCTCTCGTTCACAGAGGAGAAGAAAGAGGTCAAGGGCATTCATCTCAATGATGATGAGTTCAGAAGGCGGGAGCTATCGTGGCTCGCCGCCATGGCGTAAATAGCTGGTTATGGAAGACGCGATTCGAGTGCGAAGAGAGTAAATGGATGGGACCGAAGTGGGTACAGGTAAGGGTAGATTCACACCAGGAGAGCCTCGGGAAGCCCCTTTTTTTTGGTACCAACCAGCAAAGCGTATGCCACGTCCTTCTAAACGAAATAGTCTCCGACACTCTTTAATGCAAGGGGATGGTTAGCGTCACTGTGACCAACCTTGACACGAGCCATATGAGATCAAATCAAGACATAGTGCCAATATATTTCTAGAATACTAAGATCAAGAGCAAACAGGTTGGAGCAGGCGCGTGGTCGTGAAGACGCGTTCAGTGCTATCGTGCGCTGCCCCACTATCCCGCCACTCCAGAGGCTGCCGTCACAAACCACATACACTGAAGTCAACTACCCTGAAATCAGCTACATTTGAGGTGTCCGTTGATATACTACATTTGAAGTTTGATTAATAATCTACACTTACTCTAAATTGATGAATGCCGTGTAGTTGATTTAGTCGATTGGGTCTCTGCCGACGACCCACTAGAGAAGCTGTAAGGGAAAGGTTGTCCGATGATTCATAGTCGGCCAGTAAGTGAATTCCGTCAATAGCTACAAGATAGCTGAGTACTTGAGCAAGGTAGTCAGTCCGTTGAAAGACTTACTTTTCGTAGTGAAATCGATGTTAAGATTGAAAGATTGATAAGTGGAGATCTAGACTACCAAGACTTGAACGTCCTTCTTTGCCTTTATATAGTACGTCTCTCTATTTAGCACTCCTTATTCCACATAGCCCAGCGAGACAGAACAAAGGGGGAAAAGAAAACTAGATAGGCATGTTCATTGGAAAGAAAAGCTGGCCTGTCATCCCACCCTAACAACCCAAACCCCTATCCTTTCCCGCTCCTTCAGCGCCTAGACCGCAGGGGGGAAAGCTGATCCTGCTAGCGCCGGCTTAGGCTCGTGGGCGTCAAAGCAGTCCTGAGCGCTCTTGTACTCGGGCTCGCCCATGCCGTCCGCCTGTAGCTCGTCCTGGTTGTCAAAGGCCTCACAGAACCGCTGGGTGCCGCAGCCGCGATCGCTTAGCGTGAACCAGCTTGGTGACCGCGTGTCACGGCAGTACATGCCGTTATAAAGAGGCTCGGTCAGGAACGGGAGCTTGGCCTTGGCCGCGTTATCAGGGCCGCCCTGTGGCAAGGCACCAACAATAGTGGCAGTAGCTATAGCCGGAATGATCGAGTACTTCATTTTCTTGATAGATGAGGTTAATATCGAACGAAGAGTTGAGTAAAAGGTGAATAGGTGGAAAGAAGGTGAGAGAAAGACTGAAACAGCGAGTGTCAAAGTTAAGAACTGTTTGACCGGCGAGAGTGAATGTAGCTAGAGAGCTAGAGGTGTCTATATAGATTGGAGTGAAGCTACGTATTTATAGGACAGATACATGAAAAATGTTATAATACTCGCATAGTAGAGTATTATAACTATTGACGTAGCTTTAATAAGTAAGAAGGCCTCTCGCGAATCCGAGATATCCACTATGGAGTAACTTCTGACCTGATGTGATAACGTAGGCCCTACCTTATCTACACGTCGAAATATTCTTTACTGTACAGTGTAGATAGTTAGCTCGTCTTAATATAGTTAACTTGTTTACTTGCCTAGGTCTATAGCCCCGTAGCTTTCAATTAGGAGTAGTACTCTAATATCACTTGATTATATCCTCTCGACTAATGATTTTCATCTCTATATCTACTACCTACTATATTAGTATACTACGTCTATAGCTTAGTTATATAGTTCAATAGACCAACAGCAATATAAGTCTTGTATCAGTAAGAGAAACCAATGAAATCAACTATATCTATATAAGTATTCTAGGAGGATAAGTAGGTAATGCTATTATGAAAACTACTGGCCTAGTTACTTACTGTTTAAATAGGTTAATAAGGCGTTGTTCTAAGAATACGAGTACTTTAAAATAAGCAATATAAGTATTTCTATTTTAAAGCTTTAGGCTACTATAGCTAGCACTTATATACTATAGCTAAGTCGTTAATTAGGTATAGATTTACCGCGCTGTAAGTATTATAACCTATTATGTACTATTATCACTGGGTATACTGATGTGTTGGCCGAGGGGCTGGTTTCAAGTTGACTCGCGGCTTGGCAAGGTAAGGTAATTTTGCCGCCTGGAGACGGCACTTGACGTAGACTATAGCTCGCAAGTTGCGAGTCGCGGTAGGCTTACAACTAGGGCATATCAGGCCATGAATAGCGCGGCTAGAACCAAAGCCCCGTCACACACGGGACTATCGCTGCAAATGCGGTCATAACAGTTAGATATAATGATTCGATACTACTAAAGAGATATATATTATAAACAAAGAGAAGATATATAGTAGTAAATAGTTAATTAGGTAAGTAGGTATATAATACTCTTATTATCATCTTCTCCCCTATTCTAGATAGCTAGTCTATTACTACCGTCCTATTTAATAACCTAGGTATATAATTCCCTATAGATATATAGTTTTATCTAGTAAAGTACTTAGTTACCTACTAGTATACTATAAAATATACTTATTAAACCGACTAAAATCGTAGCCTTACCTTACTTCTAAAGATATACTTTTAATAAGAGCTATATAATCATTATAAGTAATAAAATATTATAAGCTCTTTATAAGTAAAGGTACTACTAGCTATAAGGCAGTTATATTTATACTCTATAATAAGTCTATATTATAGTAGGGTTACTTACTTAGTACTAGCTAAAGAAGTTAAGTAGTAACTTACTTTATTTTTTTATTACCTACTTTATATATATTTAATATCTACCTCGCCTTCTTCTAATTCTAGTAATATTACTAGTAAAACTAAATTTAAAAGCTAATATAATCTAGGAAATAGCTATAGAAGTATACTAATAATAAAGTATTTTATAAACAATAGCTGAGGTACCCTATTAATAGAGCCTATTATTAATATCTAGTTAAAAGAATAGCTTAGCTATACTATTTATATACTTAAGAGTTAAACTTATTTA